GGAGACCGAGGGGGTCTGGCTCTGGGGGTGGCGTGGGCCTGGGGGGTCCCGGAGCGGGGGCCTGGTGGGGGGCCATGCAAGGGGTTCCCAGCCCCCGGGGCCCCTTTCCTGGGCTCCTGCCCGGGGTGGGGGACAGCAGGGCTTGCTGGAAAAGTACCGCGCGTGGGCGGGAGCTGCGGCGGGAGCTGCCCTAGGTTGATGGTTAATCGCATCCAGGGGACTTGGAAACAATTTGACCTGTTTCTGGGCCTGCCGAGAGCGGGAGGAGCTGGAGATAACTGGGGTGGCCTGGGGCGCCCTCTGCCCGCCCGTAAACCATGCCCCTGGGAGGGCCGGCCTGGCCGTGAGTCAGGCCCCAGGGAGGGGGCCACCCCGCAGACACCCCGCGCTGCCCAGGGCAGGGCCTGCAGCCCCTCTCAGCTGGCGCCTCCCGACCGCCCTCCGGGCCCGGTGCCCAGCACAGGGTCTCCCCTTGGTGCGCTTGGGGATGGGGTGCAGGGCGGGGCACCCCAACCTCAGCATTCCACACACCTTGGACTCAACCCCAAACTTCACTTGAAAACTGGGTTCCCAGGTCGCCCATCTCTGAGACCAGAAACTGCTCGGCACCGGGTTCAGCCCAGACCCCGCAGCGGCCCTGGTGGCCGGCGCCCTCCCCAGGCGCACCGCAGCCCGGCCAGCCTCTCCCCTGGCCTGGAGGCAGCGGCCCGGATAAGAGGGCACTGGACCCCCTGGGCGGACCCACCTCTGGTCTCAGGGCCGCGCGGGTGGTGTGCCCCAAAGCCAGTCCTGCCAAAGCCGGCCGAGCTGCCGGAGCTCAGACATCAATGGTGCCACCACTCAGGGGCCCAGCGCCAGCCACACGGCCTCCAGCAGGCGGAGCCCCGAACGCCCCGCCAGCAGCTCAGCCTGGGTGCGGGTGGCCTGGGCTCTGCAGGGCCGGCCCCCGGGCCCAGGGGCACACGCCGTGCGGAGTGCAGGGTCTTCAGAAATGGCTCTGCCAGCAGGGCCCAGAGGAGAGGAGCCGTCCCTGCCCTGCCTCTCCTGCCCGCCGTCACCCGCACGCCCTCCCGGTGCCTCCACACCGGGTCATGGGGTCAGCCTCCTCCTGGTCGCCCATGTGTCCAGCACCTGCACACGTTAAAACCACAAAATGACCCTAACGGCAAAGCCAACCACACTTCCAAGTATCCCGGGTAAGTGAGCGTGAGTGCTTCGGGAGATGCGTGGGCCACCCGCGCCAGCTGCCCCCCGCCCGGCCCTGTGCTGCCTTTTCCAGCGATGTGTCAGAACGTGTCATCTCAGAAGCCGCACGGACATCTGGGCGGATGGCCTCGGCGGCTGCCCTGGCCACTGCAGCTGCCCACCCGCGGCTCCCCAGCAGCCGCGGGGCCATGGGTGCTGGCCGACGTGGCCGTCCGTGTCCCCCGCCAGTGCCCGCCAAGGCCACACTCAGGCTGCAGCCCCTCACCCAGCACCCTCTTATCTGGCCACTTCCTCCAGGCCCAGGTGACAGCCGCTGTTTTGATAGCTCAGCAGTGACCGCGCAGGGCGGGGCTCCAGGGACTGGGCGCTCGGCTGCTCCTTGAGAGTCAGCAGCAGGGGGGCATTTCCTGCCCAGGTGAGCCCGGGGGGGTATGTGTCGCCCAGACACGCCTTCCAGCTCACTCCGTCTCCCCTCCCCACTGCCCAGACGGGGCGGGAGGGGCCGCAGAGGCAGGCCTGGTGGGCGCCGAGGGACATTCATGTGGGCTTAGCTCTGCCCAGGACGACCCGGCCTCCAGCCAACCCGGGCGCAGGCTCTCAGGAAAACAAGTCCCATCCAGACAAAGGTCAGCGGCTCCGCGACCCCAGGCACTCCCTGCTCCTCCCCACGCCCCGGGCGTGGCGCACGCGCCGGCCAGCACCGAGGGCGGCGCCCAATTGCCCCTCCGGGACTTCCCGGCGATGGCCCTGGCTCTCTGCCGGTGGCACCGCTGAGCACCCCAGGGCTCCCAGGCCGGGCAGGCCTGGCGCGGGGCCAGGCGGGTGCACTCAGGCGGTCAGCTCTGCCCGTTTTCCGTGTGTTTGGTAAATGTATGGAATCAGGAAACATGTGGAGCAGCCGCTGTTGGGCGTGGTGGGGTGACCGCCTGCCGAGGGCCGTGAGGGCCGGCCCTGGCCTCACCTGCGTCCCGCAGACGCCACCGCCACGTCCAGCCCTCAGCCGCTTGGGGCCGCGTCCTGCAGGATGAGGGGGTCCCTAGTGAAGGCCGGGGCTAGTGTGGGGGTGCAGGGTGGGCCCACGGTCAACTGCAGTTGTGGCATTAAGAGAATAAAGGGTGGGGCCTCCCTGGGGCGCACAGGTTGATTCTCAGAGCTATGAAGCTATCGCCAGCCGCTGAGTCCCATCCCCGGCCAGGGAGCTGCCCACAGGGCGCAGCAGACCTCTCTGTCTCCCGCTGCTCCCCTCAGCAGTGGGTTTCAGTGGATCCGCCTGTTCTGCTCCCCTCTCTGTCTCTGGGGAGTCCTCCCATCCCCCCAACCTCTGGCCTGCACCCAGCTCTTATAAGCATAAATAAGTAAAATAAATCTTAAATAAAAAAGAGAATAAAGGGCGAGGTGCTCATGGCCGTCTTTAAAGGGCAGCCGGGCCCTTCGTCTGCTGCCACTGGTGATGGGGGGCCTGGGGCGGGCGCGGGAGGCCCAGCGGGGACGGCCGCCAGTGTGCGTCCACTCAGAGTGACCAGCACGCTCCACGGCACAGCCTGTGCGCCTGGACGTTGCGGGTGGGCTGAAAGGCCCTTGAGGTGCTGGGGCCCCCCGCTGGTTCCTCGGCTTGAGCAGGACGCGGGAGACGGCGGGAGACGGCGGGAGACGGCAAGGGAAGGCAGGAGGGGAACACGGACGGCCTTCCGGCCCGCGCAGCGTGTGCAGGGGAAGCCCAGGCGTCAGGGCTGACGTGCAGGAAGCCCCAACGTGGTGATGGCAGCGGCGGGTTGTTCTGAGCTCCCAGGCCCCTGGGGACCCTGGGGCGGGCCCTGCCAAACTGATGCCCGAGGGGCCTCTGCACGGTGGGGGACGGGCGGCGGGCAGGCAGGTGCGTGGATGGTCCGGCGGTCCCGCGGGCCTCGGGCCCCTGGGCTGCGTGGAGCCAGAGAGGCCTGCAAGGGCAGGGGCCGGCCATGTGCCCGGCCAGGAGACGGGACCCCGGGACAGGATGGAGGGGGAGGGATGCCACTGGGGCTCTCGGCAGGAGCAGAGCCGGCTGGTCCAGGCCGGAGAAGCAGGGTGGAGGCGACACCTCCCGCGTGCAGCCCCATCCCTGGGCGAGGGGCTGGTGGGGGAAGGGCCGGCCTGGCCCCGGGAACATCATGGGGCCCCAGGAACCCACAGACGTGGCACCCAGGCTGGCCCAGCTGCAGGAACACTGACCCCAGTGTCCCCCGCTGCCCAGTGCAGCCTCTGAGGCAGGGCCCACAGCCAGACACAGGGCTGTGGGGTGACTCAGGCCTGGACCCCATCGCCAGGGGTGGAGGCCTCACACCCGGCTGCCGCCCGCAGTGCCCAGGTTCCTCGGCCCAGGCAGCCAGTGGCGCGGGTGGGCACCACGGGGAGCCGGCTGGGATGGGTGCTCAGGGGCTTCTCTGGGGCCCCGCCCCGAGGCCGTCTCCCTGTCTCGGCGTGGGTGTGAGCGTGGGCAGCGAGCGGCAGGCCCCGGGGACGAGGTCCAGCCACTGGCCTCCAGCTCGCCGAGGCGCTGACACCCCCGGCAGAAATGACTTGAAAGGAGAAGTCGATGAGCGGTTGTCACCGTGACGACCCACGTCCCCTGGAGACACGGGCGCGCAGCTCGGGACGACGGCGTCACGGAGAGGGCGCGGAGGAGAGGGCGGGTCCGGGGGCAGCAGCCCTGGCAGCGGGCCGGGCAGGGGCCCGGGGCGGGGGCCGGGCCGGAGGAGCGGGGCCTGCGGGGGCTCCCAGGAGGAGACGGGCGTCGGCGGAGCATCCGGGAGAGCCTGTGTCCAGAGCCTGGCTCTGCGTCTGTGGGCCGGGGGTGTGCGCTGGACACGTCCAGGCCAGCCCTCGCCACCCCACCCTGCCCGGTGCCCCAGGCCACGCTGCCTGCCGCGGCCACTCCCCCGCCCAGCAGCCTGCGCCCCCCGCCTCTCCGTGTCTGTCTGTCCTGCCCTGGCCCTCGGCCTTTCCCGCCCAGGAGCCTAAATACTACCCCTCCTCCCGCCCTCCCTCCCGCCTCGCCCCTCCCCAGCCCCCCGTCGTGGGCGCAGATGCCAGCTCCTGACCCTGGACCGGGGTCCTGGGACGGCGCCGTCCAGTGGTGCAGACCTGAGCAGGGCGCCAGGGCAGCCCCAGGGGGGAGGCCACTGTCCCGGCGCTGCCTGAGCTGGCCAGGGCGTCCCCCGGAAGGGCCCAGCAGGAACGGCGGCACAGCCACTAGCCAGAGGGAAAGCGGCCGGCGGTGACCACGTGGGCCACGGGCCAGCGCGTGGAGGAAGGACCCCCCGACCCGTGTGGCACCGCCTGACCGCTGCTGGGGCCGGGCCCTCGTGCCTGGGGATGGCGGAGGCCGGCCACTCCTGGGCACCGCGGCTGGGCCGCTCTGGGGTCCAGGGCCCGGCTGGCAGGCCCCGCCGGGCGCCACGCCCGTGGCCGGAGGGAGGCCAGGGCCGTGAAGGCGCTGGCTCCGCTGAGTCGGGTGGGGGCTCTGCGCTCAGGCCCCTGGGGCCGCCGCCGGCAGGGTGGGGTGCGGTGGGGGAGGGCTGTGGGGCGGGGACCCCGGGCCCTGGGAGGTGGTCTTGCTGCTGCGCTGGGCGGCGGCCCCACCTGTGCCGCTAGGCCTGAGTTTGCAGAGGGGCGGGGCGGAGGGTCGGCGCCGGCAGATAAGGCATTAACAGCCGGGATCTGCTGACGCCTCCGCTCGGGGCTCGGCGAAGTGCCAAAGGTTCCCTATAAAGCCCCGGGGCCTGCCCTCGCCCAAGCTCCTGCCCGCGCTCCCTGCCCCGGCGAGCACAACGCGGCCACCATGGTGAGGCTGGTGCTGCCCAACCCGGGCCTGGAGGACCGGATCCCCTCCCTGGACCAGCTGGAGGACCTCGAGCAGGCGGAGGCCAGCTCCCGGCCCAAGTGGGACAACAAGGCCCAGTACATGCTGACCTGCGTGGGCTTCTGCGTGGGCCTGGGCAACGTGTGGCGCTTCCCCTACCTGTGCCAGAGCCACGGCGGAGGTGAGCGGGCGGCGGGCGGCGCCTGCGCCGGGAAGACAGGGCTGCGGCTGCCCAGAACCCCCCTCTGCCCCGTCCATCGGGAGGTGGCGCCAGGACCGCCTGCCTACCCGGGCGGAGGCTGCCCCTCGTGGACGACGCGTTCCCCGCTGCTCCCGGCTGCTCCCGGCAGGCGCGGCTGCTCCCCTCGCACAGGCGTGTCGGGTGCCCCGGCACTGGCTGCCTGCCGAGGCCTCTGAGGGTCTCCGGGCACCAAGCCCCCGGCCCCAGCCTGGCCCCTCTGGCCCGTGCCCTGGAGTGGTCAGTGGGGCCCGGGGAGGGTGGCGCCGGCACCCCCGCCGCTGGCTGGAAGCCCAGGAGCCCGGCTCTGTGTGGCCGGATGAGGGGGCGCTGGGGTCAGTGTCCTGAGGGACAGAGGGGCCGGGGCAGCCTCCGGGCTGCAATGTCTGGGAGGGTGTAAGCCCAGAGGGCGACCCATGACCGAGTGTGGGGCCCGGGGCTGCCAGGTGGGGGGCGGCCCCCACAACTCCCTGGCCCCGCCGGACACGGTGGGCCGTCTGTGGGGGCAGCCAGTGCGGGGGCACACCCAGGCCTGGGGGGCGGGGCTGGGCACGAGACCCCCAGGATGGCTGACCCTTCAGGCTGGCGAGGGAGCAGTCCCGAGGCCCATCCAGCCTGGCGGGCCTGGCCTGGAGAAAGGGTCATTTGCCTCCCCTTGTTCCCGGGGGTGGATGAACTGGAAGGCGAGGCCGCCTCCCTTCGCTTTGACTCGATGGCGTGAAATTGGGTCACGCGGGCGCCGGCCTGGGGCTCGGCGGTGCTGCCCGCCGTGTCTGCGGTGGGGAGGGCGCCTCCGGGTGGACAGGGCCGGCCCCGTCCCTCCACGCAGGCCGGGCGTGGCCTTCCACGGCAGCACGGACCCTGAGCCCGGGGAGCGGCCGCACCCCACCCTCCCAGCTCCTCCATTTCCAGATGTGCTCCCCGCACCCCGCTCCAGTCACCTCAGCCCCCCGCCGCCTGGCGGTGCCTCGGGCAGCGCGGGCCTGGGCCGGGGGCTTGGGCTCCGCCATCTGGGCCGAGCGTTCCGGGTCCTGGCTGGCCGGGAGGGGCTGGGCCTGGGCTTGCGGGGCCGGGCGGGGCACTCGGAGGGGAGGCGGGTCTGGGAGGCGGGGATGTGCCCTGCAGGCCCCAGACGCTGGCCCGGTCTGCCCACCTCCTCTGTCCGGCCTGGGCCGGGCACAGGGGCTCCGGTGCCGCCCAGGGAGGCTGGTCTGGGGGCCTCGGGAGCCGCCCGGGCGCCCACTCGGCGCAGGCGCACAGCCCCCTCCCCAAACGAGGGGTTTAAAAGAAAGACCCCAGACCGCCGATCCCCGGGAGCGGAGGGGCTGCCGGGTCTCCGAGGAGAAAGGGGCTGAGGAGCGCCCCACCCCCGGAGGCCCAGGTCCGGGGTGGGGGGCGTGTGCGACCCCCTCGCCCTCAGCTCTCGTGGGCCCCTGTGGGGGCAGCAGCAGCTCCCGGGAGGAGAGGTCATCCAGGCAGGGCTTTCAAGGGGGCCCGCGCATTTCCCAGTGGAGACCGACGGGCAGGGAGAGTGGGGTGAAGGTGGCCTGGGGGTGGGAGCAGGGCGGAGGCCAGCCGGGACACAGGGGGACTCCCTGCAGGCGACCTGGCCAGCGCCCGGCTCGGCACTGGGTGCTGGCCCCATGCACACGCGTGGACACGCACAGGCCATGCACACGCGTGGACACAGCTCGCCCACCCAGGGCCTCTGCTGCGGCCCAACGAGGCGGCTGGGGGTGCCGGCAGGGGCGCAGGGCGGGTGGGGGAGCGGGGGAGGAGAGCAAACAGGAGCCGGTGCGGGGGGGGGGGGGGGGACGGACAGAGCCCAGGGGGCCAGGGCCGCGAGGGAGGGACGGGGGTGGGTGCTGAGCACGTAGGGGTGGGGGTGCAGGCGCGCCGGATGTTGGGGTGTCCCGCGTGTCCCTCTGGGAGCAGCCCCCGTGGCCCTGAAGCGGAGCTGAGCGCGGGGCAGTGTCGGGGGGCGGAGGTCTCAGGTCTCGCAGCCAGTGGCAGACGGCGCCCCCACCCCCTGCGCTGCCGCCCCTCGCGCGCCCCGCCTCCTCGCTCCCCACGCCGCGGCTCAGTCCCACCCTCGGCCTCTCCGCCCCTCGCCTGAAGCCCGCGCCGCGCCGCCGGGTGCTTTGGGCCTGGCCCCCTGGAGTCCCTGCCCCGCCGGGCAGGGGCAGCCGGGTAGTGGAGGCAGAGGACACCCCCGCCGCGGCCGCGGCCCCTCTGGTTCGGGGGTGCCCCTCCACGCCTGTCAGGGGGCCCTAAGGGGCAGCTTGCTCGCCCTGGCCACGGCCTCCTCCCCGCCCCGCTCTAGGGTCTGACCCCCAGCAGCCGCGGGCCCTCCCGTGCCCTCACGGATGCCCCCCGTGGCGCGCCCAGCCGGCAGGTGGCCCGGGCTGGACACGTGGGCCGAGGGCCCGGGACGCTGGGCTCGGCAGAGGGGACCCCGTGAAACAGCTCTGGGGGCCTCTGCGGCCGGCCGGAGCCGTGAGTCCTCCGCGGCCCCGCTCAGCTGGCCCCTCTCCCGCCCGCCGCCCGCCCGCAGGGGCCTTCATGATCCCGTTCCTCATCCTGCTGGTGGTGGAGGGCATCCCCCTGCTGCACCTGGAGTTCGCCATCGGCCAGCGGCTGCGCAAGGGCAGCGTGGGCGTCTGGAGCTCCATCCACCCGGCCCTGAAGGGCGTCGGTGCGTGTCCCCGCCCGCGGGCTGCCCACCTCTTCCCGGAGCTGCCAGGGCAGCAGGGCCAGGACCCGAGTCCACGGGTGCCCAGGGCAGGGGGTGTGGACACCCTGGCCAGAGCTGGCCCAGCCAGTGCCCAGGCGGCAGGCGTCGGCACAGCAGGCCCCTCCTGCCCTCGGGGACTCCTCGTCCACTACACACCTCAGCGGGGAGATCCTCGGGCCAGACCCTTCCGTGCCCCCTGCACCCCACCGTGCCGTGCGCCCCCCATCCCCCCACGCCCCACACTCCTAACTCCATCACGACCCGCAGGGCCCTGACCCCCCGCTCCGGGCCTGCCCTGAGCCCCCGCCCGGGGCGCCCCCGGCCCCCCCGCCCGCCCGCGGCCCGCCCTGCCCCTGACCGCGCTCTGCCCGCAGGCGTGGCGTCCATGTTCGTGTCCTTCATGGTGGGCTTCTACTACAACACCATCATCGCCTGGGTCATGTGGTATTTCTTCAACTCCTTCCAGGACCCGCTGCCCTGGAGCCAGTGTCCCCTCAACGAGAACCGCACAGGTGAGCGGGCGCCGGCCGGGCTGCCCTCCCCGCGCCGTCCGGCCCCGCGGCTGCCTCAGGCCGCGAGCGCCCACAGGAGGCAGGGCCGGGCCGCCGGTGGACCCCCAGGGGCCAGGAGAGGACAGGCCTCCCCAGGGCCCCCCAGGGAACGCGGGGCGCCGCGCCCGTCTCCGAGGTGTCCTCCGGGATTGGGTCGCCTCCCCTTAGAGGGTCTGGGGAGGGTCCGTGAGCCTGAGCGGCGGCCCGACCCCAGACCACGAGGCGGGACAGTCTGCGGCGGGAGCCGGGTCGGGGGCCCCTCGCAGCGCCTGCACCCGGCAAGCCCCGCGCCCTGCGGGGGGGGGGCCCCGGGAGCCCTGCGCGGTGGGGGTGGGGGCGCCGGGCGCCAGGGCGCGTGCCTGGGGCTGGCCGGGCTCCGCAGCGCCCTGGTGCCCCCAGGCTACGTGGACGAGTGCGCGCGCAGCTCCCCTGTTGACTACTACTGGTACCGGGAGACCCTGAACATCTCCACGTCCATCGACGACTCGGGCTCCGTGCAGTGGTGGATCCTGCTGTGCCTGACCTGCGCCTGGAGCGTGCTCTACGTGTGCACCATCCGCGGCATCGAGACCACCGGGAAGGTGCGGTGCCCTGGCTGCGCCGGCTCTCGCGTGCCCGCCCCCGCAGGCCCTGGGGGGGTGCTGACCGCTGAACCGCAGGCGGGCGCGGGGCGCAGGGCGGAAGGCCGGGGCGCAGGGCCGCGGGTGGGGCGGGACGCAAGGGCGCGCGCAGGAGGCTGGTCAGCTGGGGTCCCACCGCCGTGCCGCCCTGCCAGGCCGTGTACGTCACCTCCACGCTGCCCTACGTGGTGCTGACCATCTTCCTCATCCGAGGCCTGACGCTGAAGGGGGCCACCAACGGCATCATCTTCCTCTTCACGCCCAACGTGAGTCTCCGATCCCGGCCGGGTCTCCCCCCAGGGCAGAGGGGACGGCCGGGTTTTCGGGGAGGGTCAGCTGCCCTCTGAGGGGTGGTCCTGGCCCCTCGCCCCATGCCGGGGCCGCAGCCTTGCCTCCCGCTCGGTCTCCCCCGCGGCGTGCCCTGGCGGCCCCGAGGTGCCCGGCTGAGCGTCCCCTTTGTGGCAGGTCACGGAGCTGGCCAACCCGGTCACCTGGCTGGATGCGGGCGCTCAGGTCTTCTACTCCTTCTCGCTGGCCTTCGGGGGCCTCATCTCCTTCTCCAGCTACAACTCTGTGCAGTGAGTGTGCGGGCCCGTGGGGGGCTGCACGGGCGCCTTGGTGCTGGCCTCGGTTTCCCTCCAGGAGGGGGTCTGTGTGAGGACGGAAGCCGTGCAGGTGCGGGCAGAGCCCCCCTGCTGCACCTGCGGGGCCGCCTTCCCGCACCCCACGGGAGGGGTCCCTCTGGACCCAGAGCCCGCGCTCGGAGGCAGCCAGGAGTGAGCGGGGCGGTCCCACCCGCCTCCCCTCCAGCTCGGTCTGCCAGGGCCAGCCTGGGTGGGCACGCTCTCCCCTTGGCCCCCCACGCAGGCCCCCCAGCCGCAGGCTCCCTGAGCCTCCCCTGCACGCACGCCCAGCCTCGCGGCCCCCACCCAGGGGACACAGCAGGGCTGGTTCCTCCCCAGGACACGAGTGCACCTACTGTGCGCCCGTCTGCTGCGGCAGGAGCCCGGGGGCGGGGCGCGGGCAGCTCAGAGTGGGCAGAGGGGGCGCCTTGGCACAGACCCTGATGGTGTGGTAACAGTGACGCCGCGCGCCCGGGCGCTGGAGATAAGGGGGCTAAGGCCGCGGCTGGGCGGTCAGGGGAGGGGCCAAGGGGGCACGAGGGGTGGCCGGGCGTTGAGACCCCAAACTGCACTCAGCTGTGGGCTGCGCGTGGGGCTCAGTGTGGGGGGTCGCCGGCACCCCCGCCGCGTCCTGCACATCCCGTCTGGGCCCGGCGCCGCCCTCCTGCCCGCGGCCGTGGGCGGGGAGCTCCAGGGCCAGTGAGCGAGGCCTGCCTGGCCCTCCCAGAAGGGCATCCCCGGCCGCTGCCAGTGGAGCGGCCTGGACGCGTGTCTGGCCCTGGGCCAGCGGCCGGTGACCGGCGTCCTCTCGGCCGCAGCAACAACTGCGAGATGGACTCTGTGATCGTGTCCATCATCAACGGCTTCACGTCCGTGTACGCGGCCACCGTGGTCTACTCCATCATTGGTTTCCGGGCCACCGAGCGCTACGACGAGTGCTTCAACCAGTGCGTGCCCCCGCCTGGCCCTGGCAGCCCAAGGAGGCGCCCCCCAGCCCCCTGCGCCCACCCCGTCCCGGCCCCGCTCTGTGCCCGACCCACCCTTGTGCCCGCGCCCCCGTCCGTGTCCCCCCACGGGAGTCCCTCTGGCCCCTGCCCCGCCCCGCCCCACCCCCCATCCTGTCCACACCCCTGGCCACCCCCTGGGACCTCACCACGGGTCCTTCCAGGAATATCCTGACCCTCATGAACGGGTTCGACCTGCCGGAAGGCAGCGTCACCCAGGACAACTTCACGGAGGTGCAGCAGTGGTACAATGCCACCCACCCCGCCGCCTTCGCGGCGCTGACCTTCCAGACGTGTGACATGAACTCCCTGCTGTCGGAGGTGAGCCCGCCCGCCCGGCTGGTCAGGCACCGGCCGCGTCGCTGGGCCGGGGCCGCCGCTGACACGGAAGCCCGGGGCGGTCCCGGGCACCGCGGGCTGGGCCCCCCGCGGCCCGCCGGCACCGTCCACGGAGCTCTGCCCGTCCACGGAGCTCTGCCCGTCCACGGAGCTCTGCCCGTCCACACCCGCGCCTTGATGGGGCAGTTTTCCCATCTGGGCCCGCGCAGCCTTTGGGGTGTCGGCACCTGCAGGCCCCCAGCCCGCAGGGCCCCGGCCGTCCTCGGCGGCCACACGAATCCGTGTTTCCCTAAAACCCGCGCAGAGGCCGCGGCCCCGCTCCATGGTCTGGGCCTGTGTGGCCAGGGCCGGTCCACGGCGCCTCCCCGCAGGCCGGCTGGGCTCGACCCCTGCTCGACCTGTTCGCGCAGTCGGGCTGCTCCCCTCAAGCTCCTCCGGCCGCTGGGCGCGTGTCCCTGCCCCGCGCTCCCCCTGAGGCCGTGGCCGAGGCCCCCGCGGGTCTTCCCTCCTGGCCGCGCCAGCCGAGCTCCCCAGGCGGGGGTGCGTGGGCCCGGGGGCAGGGCCCCGCTGACCACCCGCTGACCACTCCCCCCGCGCAGGGCGTGGAGGGCACAGGCCTGGCCTTCATTGTCTTCACCGAGGCCATCACCAAGATGCCGGTGGCCCCGCTCTGGGCCGTGCTGTTCTTCATCATGCTGTTCTGCCTGGGGCTGTCGTCCATGTTCGGCAACATGGAGGGGGTGGTCGTGCCCCTGCAGGACCTCAAGATCATCCCCAAGAAGTGGCCCAAGGAGCTGCTCACAGGTGGGGGGCCGCGGGGGCGGGGCAGGCTGGGCTGCGGGGGCGGGGCGGGCTGGCTGGGGCGGCCGGGTCTGCAGCGCTGCCGTCCACCGCAGGCCTCATCTGCCTGGGCACCTACCTCCTGGCCATCATCTTCACGCTCAACTCTGGCCAGTACTGGCTCTCTTTGCTGGATGGCTATGCCGGCTCCATCCCCCTGCTCGTCATCGCCTTCTGCGAGATGTTCGCTGTGGTCTACGTGTATGGCGTGGACAGGTGGGACCTGGCGGTGGCCGTGGCATCAAAGGGTCATGGGCCTGGGGACAGGCCTGGGTGCTGGGGGCAGGCCTGGCCGGCCCGCTGGGACCCTGAGTGTCCAGCACGGCACTCACTGTGCTGTCCGGGGTGGGGCCGCTCCCACGAGGAGCCGAGTGGGGTGGGGACGTGGACAGGCAGGCCCGGAGATGCCAGGGTCTCCGCTGGGGCAGCCCCTGGGGCTGGGGCGCAGGCTGGGGCACCTGTCCTTTCCCACAAGCGTCCCCGAGGCTCGCTGGCCGCCCGGTTCGCTTCTGCTGCCCTTCCCAACCAAGGTCGCCTGGCGTGGGGGAGCGGCACAGGCGCAGGCCCCCGGGCGGGGGCCAGCAGGGAGCCCGCAGAAGGCTCTGCCACCAGCACCGCCGGACAGGCCTCGAGGGGCCCCGGGACGAGTGGCCACGGGGCCTCCTGGGTGGCCGCACCTGTGGTGTGGGAGGTCAGGTGCAGCAGGAGGGATGGCGGCCCCCGGCTGCCCTCTCTCCCGGACAGGGTGGTGACGCACCCTCTGGCCTCGGCCTCCAGGTTCAACAAGGACATCGAGTTCATGATCGGCCACAAGCCCAACATCTTCTGGCAGGTCATGTGGCGGGTGGTCAGCCCGCTGCTCATGCTGGTCATCTTCCTGTTCTTCTTCGTGGTCAAGGTCAACGAGCAGCTCATCTACAGCGTGTGGGACCCCTCCTACGTGAGCGCGGGGCGGCCTCGGGGGGCTGAGAATCGGGATGGGGGTCTTGCCCTATGGGGCCCCGTGACCTTGGCGCCTGCTCACCCCGAGGCCTCTCTCCCCAGGAGGAGTTCCCCAAGTCCCAGAAGACCACGTACCCCAGCTGGGTGTACGCCGTGGTGGTCGTGGTGTCCGGCGCGCCCTGCCTGGTCATCCCCGGCTTCGCCATCTACAAGCTTATCAGGACCCGCTTACAGCGCGGCGGGGACCAGCAGGGGCTGGTCAGCTCGGCGTCCACAGCCTCAGTGAACGGGGGCCTGAAGCAGTGATCCCCAGAGGGGCCGGGGGATGGTGGGGGTGTCAGGGTGAGTGTGCACAGCCACAGGCCACGGGTGTGCACAGGGGAGCACTGTGTATGAGCGTGTGTGCGTGTGCTACATGTGCAAGTGTGTGCGAGTGTGTGTGTGCGAGTGCTATCCCTGTCAATACAAGTGCAGGCATGCATGTGCCCCACATGCAGGGGTGTGTGTGTGTGAACACGTGTGAGCATGAGTGCACTCGTGTGTGCAGTATGGGCGTGAGAACAGCACATGTGGTTGTCTTGTGTGCACTGGTCGCACAGAGTGGGTGTTTGCGAGGTCTGACTGCACGTGCATTGCATGAGTGTCAGCTCACAAGCATGTGTGTTGGGGCGTGTGCACGTGAGTGTGACCGCACACCTGTGTGTCGTGTGTGCAGGTGCACATGTGGGTGTATGTGCCTTGCACACCTGTGCACCCTGCACACATGCTGCCTGCTCGCTGGCCCTCACACGTGGACGTGCACCACCCACACTCCCGGGACAGGCCCTGCGGGGCTGGGGAGGCGGCACCCCTGCGCCCCGCTCTGTGCCACCCCGACCTCGGCGGGTCGAGCCCTTCGTCCCTTCAGCGGGAAGCCTGGTCTCCGGCCGCGCTGCCCCAGGCTGTGGTTTGAGGAGCCCATCTGCGGCCCTCGGGCGCCCTGCCCCCCAGCCCCCAGCCGAGCGCAGCCCATTAATCATTGCTCCTGGCACCGCCGCGGGAACAGTTGTCACACCCAGCTTGGCACGACTTAGGCAGAAGCCACCTTTGCATCCTCACGGGGATGTGAGCTGCGTGAATTTTTAGCCTGATGTCGGAGAAGACCAGTTACAGGCTAACTCGGCTGGGCCCCGCGTGGGGGATGGCATGCCCCAAGGGGTGCCAGGCGGGCTCCCCGAGACAGCCCGTCGCCCCGGCAGTCACCGCTTGCCCACTCTCCATGGAAAAATCTGCAAGTTTCAACTCCCTGGACTTTCTGAGACCTGTCAAGAGCAGGAGTCCGGGGAGCCGAGCACCCGCCCGCCGTGGGGGCCCGCCGCTCCCCACCTCCCCAGTCTCCCGGCACGGAGATCACAGCGGCGGGTGCCCCACGGCCCAAGGAGGCCCTCCAGAGACCTGGCGCCCCAGCCCAGACGCCACGACCCACAGAACCTCAGACGGACCTGGGTGTGCAGCTGGGCCGGCGCGCTGACCTGGGAAGCCCACAGGGCCACCCCCACCCCCGTGCTGCTGGCCGTCGGGACCCCGCCCCTCCTGAAGCCCCCTGGCCTCACCTGGGCACAGGGTGGTGCCGCCCGGCCCTGACTCTGCAGACTGTGCCCATCCTGGGGAATAAATTGATTTTCGTATTCTTGGCCCAATGTGTCTGCGCGCAAAGGGCCCCTGAAAGGGCGGGGGCGGGGGGGGACTGGGTTCTGTCCGGGGGAGTCTTCTCTGAGGAAGCCAGGGAGGCCAGGCCATGGAGGGGGCTCGGGGCCGCGAGCTCGCAGGGGGCAGCGAGCTGTGGGCGTGACGGGGCTTCTGGGCACAAGAGGGCTGTCGGGAGCCTGCCTCCCTCCCCACCCCCCAGCCACCTGGTCTTCCTAGGCCCACTTTTCCCTTCTCACCCCAAAAGGACCTTGTAGATGAGTCCCCTGGAGCCGTTTCCAGGACACACGCGTGAATCGGACCGTGCAGTGGGCATGGGGCCTGGCCCGAGAACTGTGGACCAGGGCCTGCCCTGTCCTGGGGTGTCTGTGGGCTGTGGGTCTCACGTCCAGGGATCCCCAGACGCTACCCCCCGCCCTGGCGCAGCCCCCCTTGGCGGAGGCGAAAGGGCGGGGACTGCCCGTGGGTGGCCGGGGTGCTCTGGGGGAGGCTCCCCTGAGGCCTGCACAGTGGCCAGAGAAGCCTGAATTCTCTCTGGAAATGAAGGCCCAGCAGCGGCCAGCAGGAGCTGCCCCCAGGGTGGACAGCCGCGGGGGGCCGGGGAGCAGCGGGTGCCTGCAGGGGCCGGGATGCGGGCGGCGGGGTTACCCATTAACTGGCTCCACCGGCTTCCCTTAAGTCGCCCGCCGGGGCGGTCGCCGCTGTCTCGGCAGGATGGCGAGCGCGGGCGGCCCGGACGCGCCGGGGGCCGGGGAGGACCGGCCGCAGTGGGACAACAAGCTGCAGTACTTCCTGAGCTGCCTGGGCTTCGCCGTGGGGCTGGGCAACATCTGGCGGTTCCCGTACCTGTGCCAGAGCCATGGCGGGGGTGAGCTGGGCGCGGGCGCGGGGGGCTCCTCCCTCCAAGGCCCCGCAGGCCCCCCAGGCCCCCAGGGGAGCTGGGAGGGCTCAGCTCCGCGGGTCTCTGGCCGCAGCCCCCCAAGCTGGGGCACACTGCCTGGCACCCTGCCCCGACACTTGGGGGCCTCCCTGGGGGCCCGGCCCATGTTCCCGTCCCTGGCCAGGCTGCCCCCGCCGGGCCCTGCCGCGTGGAGCTCCGGCGGGTCTCACGCTGCCCTGCTGGGGACGAGGCGTCCCCTGGGGGCCGGAGGGCAGAGGGTCGAGGCGGCGTGGGCACGTCCTGCTGGGGACCCGCCGCCCCCCACCCCCGGCGCTGGCCGCCCTGCCCCCACCCGCCTCCCGGGAGCTCGGGCTCTGCGACGGGGGGCGCGGGGCGGGGCTGGGCCGCAGGCCCGGGGCGCAGCGCACCTGCCCCCCCGCCGCCCCCACGCCCCGCAGGCCCCGCAGGCCCCCGGTGGCTTGGACGTCGCGGGGCCGGGGCGCGAACCCGCAGCACAGGCCGCGGCTGAGCCGGGGCGCGGGGCGCCGGCACGACCTCCTGGGCCCGGGGCGACTGGCCGGGGCCCCGACGGACGGCCCGGGGGCCACGGCCTCGCGGGGCCGCCCCCTCCCCCCGCCCCGGCCGGGGCCCCGCCCCTCGGGCCCGACGCCCCGCCCACTGGGGCCGCCCCGCCCACCCAGGCCCCGCCCCGCCCCCAGGCCCCGCCCCCGCCCCGCCCGCCCGGGCTGAGCCGCGTCCCCGCAGGCGCCTTCCTCATCCCCTACTTCATCGCCCTGGTCCTCGAGGGGATCCCCATCTTCCACCTGGAGCTCGCCATCGGCCAGCGCCTGCGCAGGGGCAGCGTCGGCGCGTGGACGGCCATCTCGCCCTACCTGGGCGGCGTGGGTAGGCCCCGCCCCGCCGTGCCCGCGGGGCTCGGAAGGGGCACCTGGGGCGGGGGCGGGGACTTGGGGGGCGCCCTGGGGCGGGGGCGGGGACTTGGGGGGCGCCTGGGCCGGGGCCTGGGAGGCTGGGGCAGGGCAGGGTGCCGGGTTGGGGTGCCTGGGAGTGTACCTGGGGGGGAATGGGGGCACCCTAGGGCAGGGCCGGGGTCTGGGGGGCACCTGGGCCAAGGGAGACTGGGGCAGGGTGGGGGGCCTGGGGAGCAACTGGGGGGCTGCAGCGGGGACCTGGGGGGGCCGAGGCGGGGCACAGGTCCGGCGGGGGCTGGGGGACTGGGGCAGCCGGGGGGCCTGGGGCGGGGGCCGGGGACAGGGCCCGGGTCTGGCAGTGGCGGGGGCTGACGCTGTCCCCCGCAGGCCTGGGCTGCTTCACGGTGTCCCTCCTGGTCAGCCTCTACTACAACACGGTGCTGACCTGGGTGCTCTGGTACTTCCTGAACTCCTTCCAGCACCCGCTGCCCTGGGGCTCCTGCCCGCCGGACGGCAACCGCACAGGTGGGCTGCGGGCGGCGGCCGTCCCTCCTCGCTGCCGCCGCCACCCCCACACAGCCCGGGGGCCAGGAACCGGCGCCCAGCGCCGCCCTGAGCTGGGCCCTAGCTCTGCTCTGCCCAGGGGCCCTTCCAGGGGCTCAGGGCCTCATTTTCACACCCCAGGCGGCGCCCACACCCCTCCCCCCTCGGTGCCCGTGCCCACACGCCCCTCCCTGCTCTGGCCTGGGGCCGAAGGGCGAGAATGGCCGATGGCCGAGTCTCCCTTGGTGGCCCCGCTGGGCTCAGCTGGACACTGGGGCAGCGAGTCCCCTCGTGTGCCCATCCCCCCGGGGGCGGGTCCTGCGATTTGCCCAGTGGGCAGTGACCACCATGTCCCGAGCCCCGTGGCCAGCACTGATGCCCATGTCGTCCAGGCCTAGAGGACGAGTGTGGCCGCAGCAGCGCCGTCAGCTACTTCTGGTACCGGCGGACCCTGAACATCTCGGCCGACATTGCGGACAGCGGCTCCGTGCAGTGGCGGCTGCTGGTTTGCCTGGCGGCCAGCTGGGCGCTGCTGTACCTGTGCATCATCAGGGGCATCGAGTCCAGCGGGAAGGTGCGCGCCGCCGACAGCCCGTGTCCTCTGCGTCCACTGGGTGGCCAAGGGGGCGGACCCCAGGGCTGGTGCAGCCTCCGGGGAGGTCTGCAGGCCCCACGGGCGGCAGTCACCGCGCAGCTCTAGCCCTGCCTGACTCCCTGCTGCTGGGGCGACTCCCTGGCCACACAGCTGCTCACAGCACCGGCCGGACACTCGCACGGCCGCTGTGGAGACAGAATCACCTTCTCGGAGACTCAGGCAGCGGGACCAGGAGTCAGAGCGGAGGCCTCGGGCACCTGTCGCGGTCCAGACTGAGTGCCCTCCTGGCCCCGTGACCCCGTGTCCCTGCCTGCCGTCGAGGGCATCAGGCTGGCGGACAGGGCAGCTCCCAGGCATCCAAGTCCCTACAGACACACGGGGCCCCCCAAGTCAGTCTGTGGTCACGCCTTGGGGGATGTGCGGGGAGAGAAGACCCCACGCGAGGTGGCCCTGTCCAGCGAGAGGCAGGGTCCAGGCCGCGCAGGGGGCGGAGGGGCTGAGCGGAGGGGCGGGGCGCGGCCCGGTGGGGCGCCCCCGTGGGCACACAGGCCTGGCTGCCACCCACCACCTGCCGCTCTGGCTGCTGGGCCCGGAGCCGCCGCCCGAGGCCTGCCGTCTCTCTCCCGAAGGCGATTTACTTCACGGCCTTGTTCCCTTACCTGGTGCTGACCGTCTTCCTCGTGCGGGGCCTCACCCTGCCCGGGGCCACAGAGGGCTTGATCTACCTGTTCACCCCCAATGTAAGTGGGCGCTGGCCCGCCGGGGCGGGGGCTCGGGGGCTCAGGGCGGGAGCGGCATGGAGGGAGGGGCGCCAGCACCGGCTTTGGTCCTCCCCCAGGTCCAGGGGGGGACACCGTAAGGGGGGGCTGGGGTGCTGGCGGGGCCCCTTGGCCCACCTCTAGTCCTGACCCCGTTGCTCTGAGAGGAGCCCCAGGACCAAGGGCCCCGCCCCCCAGAGCCTGCACCCCCTTCCTGGCCATTCCAATTACCCAGGGCCCCAGCACCTCCACCCGACACTCCGGGGCTCCTGGGGGCACGGCTGGTCAGGGCACCCGGAGGCGGCCAGGCCCTGTACCCACACACTCCTCGCCCGCGGCCCCAACACCGACGGAGGCCAGTGCAGACTGTCCAGGCCCCCAGCGGCTCCCACCCTCTGCAGGAGCCCGGCTAGGCGCAGCGGGGAGCCCCCGACTGCCCCTCCAGCGGCCGGGCAGCCTGGCCTGGCCTGTCCTGGGCCACGGGGCGAGCGCCAGCCCAGCTCAGGCCCGTCCCCGCAGTTGCAGACCCTCCAGAACCCCGGGTGTGGCTGGACGCGGCCACACAGATCTTCTTCTCCCTGTCCCTGGCCTTCGGCGGACACATCGCGTTTGCAAGTTACAACCCACCCAGGTAGGCCCCAGGGGCTTCCTCGCGACCTTGGGATGTTGCTCAGGGGTGTTGCTGAGGCTGCTCTGCGGGCGGGCGGGAGGCTCCCAGGGCCCAGGAAGGGCCGCGCTGCCCGGGCTCCCGACGCGGACGCCGGGGCGCCCTGGAGCAGCTGCAGGTGCCGGCCCGTGTGAGCCTCCAGCGCGGTCCCGCCGGGCGCCCAGCAGCGCAGGTGGGGCTGGTGCTCGCCTGGAGAGGGCAGCCGCCCCGCTGCCGCCCTCCCTCCGCCGGTGCCGGGGTGGGCCTGGGGCCCCTGGGGCCTGGAGCTGGGCGGCAGGGCTGTGTGCGGGCCCCAGGTGCAGGGGGACCCTGCGCCCCGGCCTCCTCCTGCCCACGGCCCTGCCACGTGTCCCCAGGAACGACTGTGAGAAGGACGCGGTCAGCATTGCCCTGGTGAACAGCATGACCTCCCTGTACGCGTCCATCGCCATCTTCTCGGTCCTGGGGTTCAAGGCGGCCAATGACCTCGGGCGCTGCCTGGATGGGTGAGCCGCGTCCTCCGCGTGGCCAGCAGGGGGCTGGACGCCAGGCCCTGTGGGAGCAGGGCCTCTGCGGCCGTGATGGGCCAGGGGGCTATGGCCCGGACGGTGTCCTCACAGAGCACGGGACGAGGCCGTGAGCACAGGGGCAGGAGCTGAGTGGACAGGCCACTCGCCCACGGAGGCCTGGGTCCCGGCAGGAGCGCCGCCCAGCCACACTGTGCCCACACTCCGGCTTGACCGCCAGGAGGGGCTCGTGCCGCCGTCAGCGTTGGCTGGGGCAGCGCAGCCCGGGCTGTGGGTGGACAGCCTGGGCAGGTAAAGACCCACTGGCCAGCGGCTTCTGCGCATGGCTCTCCCCTTCAGGCCCACAGGGGTCCCGGGCACCCCATGCTGCTGGCTGTTCCCAGGCCCAGGATGGCGTCTGGCTGCTGCACCTGCCCTCCAGTCCAGGCGCCAACGCCCAGACTGCAGGGGTGGAGGTCAGGGGCAGAGGCTCCCGCCCTGCACCCCGCTCGGGACACAGGCACCCCAGGGCCATGCAGGGGGCATCTAATACGGCACCAACAAAAAGGACACCGTGTGAAGGCCAGGGCGCGGGGGCGCGGGGCAGGGGCGGGCGGCCAGGCCTCGCCTGGAGTCGGCAGCAGCGCCCCCGGCCACGCGCCGCCACACCTGCCGGGAGGAGCCGCTCCCAGGCCCCGGGCGGCCGCCCTGGGACGACCCCGCGGGTGGGGGGGGGTTGCTGCTGCGCTGACCGCCCGGCCCTGCAGGAACATCCTCGTCCTGCTCGACGCCTTCGACCTCGCGGACCAGAGCATCTCCAGGGAGGGCTACGCCGCCGCCCTCGCCCACCTGAACGCCTCCTGGCCGGGCAGGGTGGCCAGGCTGCCCCTGCAGACCTGCCGCCTGCGCGACTTTCTGGACAAGGTACGGCCGGGGCTGTGGGCCGGGCCCTCTGCGGCCTCGGCCTGCCGGGCCTTCGGGACACGTGGCCCCGCCGTGCTGCCCGGGGGCTGCCGCTGGGGGCGGGGGCAGGGCGGCACGGGAAGCCGGCCCCAGGCACATGCCACCAAGGCCCGTGTTGCAGAGCGCCTCGGGCACCGGCCTGGCCTTCATCGTCTTCACCGAGGCCATCCTGCACATGCCCGGCGCGCCCGGCTGGGCCGTGCTCTTCTTCGCGATGCTCTTCACGCTGGGGCTGTCGTCCATGTTCGGGAACATGGAGGGGGTCATCACGCCGCTGCTGGACTTGGGCGTCCTGCCCAAATCGGTCCCCAAGGAGGTCCTGACAGGTGAGCGGCCAGCCTGAGGGCCTGTTCTCCCCGCCAACTTCCTGGGTGCCCCCGGTGGGCACCCCTCCTCCTGAGGGTCACTGACCAGGCCTGGCCACCTCCCAGGGTCGTCCTGGAGCCTCTCGCTCACTGGATGTCCCCAGGGGGTTGCCACAGGGGAGCCAGAGCGAGAGGCAGGGTCCAGCCACACCCCCTGGGCACAGGCCCCTGCCCCCCAGGAGCCCCGGTGCAGCCCCAGGACGCAGGGCGGGCGCCTGCTCAGGCCGGGTGCTGTCCAGGGGCGGCCTGCCTGCTCTGCTTCCTCTCGGCCACCTGCTTCACGCTGCAGTCAGGGAACTACTGGCTGGAGATCTTCGACAGCTACGCGGCGCCCCCGAACCTCATCATTTTCGCCTGCTTCGAGGTGGTCGGCGTCGTTTATGTTTACGGGATGAAGCGGTGAGCTCGGTGGCCTCTCGGGACTCCCAGGCAGCAGTGGGGAACATGGGGCCTCCGAGGCCTCTCCCCAGACACCCCAGGGTGGTGACTCCCGGGGTGCAGGAGGTGCCCAGATCCCACCCCACCACTGACCTCTGGCCTCTCCAGCCACCAGTGCCAAAGGCCCAGGAGCAGTGGACGCCTGGCTTGTCCCAACCCCTCCTAGGCCACAAGGCCCAGCTCAGCCTCTCGCGGGCACCAGCGCCGCTGCCCTGGGGCCGGCGGTCACACCGCCCACCTTGGGTGCCCCGGGCCTCACAGCTGCCTTCCTGGAGGCACACAGGGGAGAGCCTCCACCCAGGGCACCAGCACCACAGGCGGGGCAGTGACCTTGGGCTTGGACGGGCTGGGCCGCAGGAGACCCAGGCGTGTGCGCGGGCAGCTGGGGAGCAGTGGGCACAGCTGACACATGTCCACCTCTTTGGCGTCTCAGAACCCCATGCAGCTGCCACTCCCCACCCCAACCTCCCCGGTTCCTGGATGGCAGCAGCTGCCACCTGCCCCTTGTGCAGGGCTGGGCTGTTAGGACGAGGGTGCCAGCTGCCTGGACGTCACGGGCAAGGCTAGGGTGGGCAGAGCTCCTGTGGCGCAGAGGGTGACCTGGGGCCTGGACCCGCAGGTTCTGTGACGACGTGGCCTGGATGACCGGGAGGAAGCCTGGGCTCTACTGGCAACTGACCTGGAAGGCCATCAGCCCCCTGCTGCTGCTGACCATCCTTGTGGCCTATGTGGTGCTTCTGGCCCGGACGCCACCAGGCTACAGCGCCTGGAACCCCCAATATGTAGGTCCTGGGGAGCCTGGAATGCCCTCACGATAGACTTGCAGCTAAGTGACCTCGTGGGCAGCCTCTGCTGGGAGGCCTGAGGCTGTAGCCTTCCTGGTGCCTCAGGCGGCCCATGGCCACTGTGGCCTGGACCAGGGCCTCAGGCTTAAGGGGGTGGCAGCCAGCCCGGGCAGCACACAGACCCTCCTGGCTCACCGGCAGCTGCTCCAGCCACTGCAGGTGTGCGGCAGGGGCACCGAGGCCTGCAGGTGGCGCATGGCCTGGGTATCTGGTCAGAACGGCCAGCGCCCTCCCAGGGCAGGCCAGCCCGACACTGCCCTGTGGCCAAGGAGCCTGAGTCCAGGGGCAGGTGGGCAGCAGCTCCTGGCCGGCGGCACCCCTATAGAGGACAGCTGGGGAGGGCCCAGGGTCTTGCCGGCAACTCTTTCCAGGAGAGACCCCAGGGTCCTGGCAAATCCCTAGAGCCCAGCCCAGCAAGGGGGCCGCTGCCCTCATGGGCATTTCCAAGCACGGACCCCAAAGCCACGCTGGGTGCTCCCCCGGGGGGAGCAGCGTGCCCCACGCCGGGTCCCCGCTCCACCCGGGCAGTCGCCAGCTGACCCAGCCGTGTCCCCACAGGAGTGGTTCCCCGCGCGGCAGCCGAAGGCCTACCCGGGCTGGGTGCAGGCGGTCTGCATACTCCTGTCCTTCCTGCCCATGTTGTGGGTCCCCGGGGTGGCCCTGGCCCAGTGGCTCGCCCGGCGTGGACGGCGGCCCAGGGACGCGCAGCAGGACGACCACTGAGGCGGCTTCTCGGGGGGAGGGCAGGTGCCCCTGCAGAGCAAACCCCATTATACGTTCAATCCCGACCTCGTCCTGAGTGCTGCTTCCTGGGGCCCTCGCGTCGCTCCCACCGCCGCGGCGCCAACCCCCAGGGACGGCTGGGCCCGTGGCCGTGGCCGTGGCCTGCCCTGGTGAGCCCACAGGAGAGGGGCCCTGGGAGCCAAGACCTCAACCTGGGGGGCGAGGGCCCAGCCTTGCTGCCCCCACCAGACCCCCACCCCCGGGCACAGCTGCAGCCGCTCGGGGTGGAGCGGCTCTGCCTCGGCACCTGCTCCGGGCCGGGTGGGGGCTCCCAGGGCTGGAGGGCGGCGGCAGCCTCCAGGGCAGACACCAGGCGCCGGCTCAGAGCCCCGAGCCTACGCCCACACTCTGCACCCCTGCACAGCAGGGTCCCCCGGCCTTCCTCCCCCGCTCTGGAGGAGCCCCGTGACGTCTCCACCTGGCTCAGCGTGCCCCCAGGGAGCAAGGAAGGCCGCAGGCTCTGGCACTGGGATGTGAAACACTGGACCCTTGTTCTGCCCCCTGCGGCGCCGGGGTCTGAACCTGCACCTTTGGGAACCCTTTGCCGTGCAGTGGGGGTGGTGGCATCACACTGCCCGCGGCACCCCTGCTTCCTCGCTGCTCGATGCCTGCTCAGGCCTGTGGGAGCTGGGTGCGCGCCCGAGGCCGGCCAGGCCGACCCTGAAGAGACCAAGCCTTGCTTTGTTTTTTAAAATTTCACTTGCTCACGCCCTCCCCGACCCGCGAGGACACCCGGGTCTGGAGACGGTCAGGAGAGCTGCGCGGAGCCGGCCTCGCCCCCCCAGCAGCGGCCCTCCTGCCCAGGCGGGGGCGGGGGGCGGCTCTCCGGTGTGGAGGAGCTGTCACCCATGCGCCCAGGCGCCTCCGGCCGCCGCGCGGTGGTCAGGCGACGCCCAGAGCCCGGCACGCGACGCGCAGCCTCCGCCAGTAGCACCGCTGCCCTGGGCAGGGCCCGCGGCTGAAGGCCCTTTGCTCTGGAGCGCGGGCGCTGGACTTTGGATGCAGCGGGGCGGTGGGCGGGGCTCCTGGCGGTTGTGGACAGGTCAGCAGGATGGGCCTGCACCCTCTGCTGAGCAAGCACGTGCCACCCTGCGTCCCGGGGACCGTGTCCGCATGGTGCCGGGGTGACAAAGTCCCCAACACGCCCATGAGCCACCCGATGCCCCAGCCAGGGCCTCGCTGCAGGACGGACTGGGTACTGGAGGGTCACGGCAGGTGGCCTGCCCCCCTGGGGGTGTCCCCTCCCCAGAGCTGCCCACCCTCTGCCCCAGGGCCGCAGGGGAGAGGGCTAGGCCCAGGGGGCAGCAGCTGGGGTGGGCAGGGACTGGGCTGCCGGGTGGGGGCAGCGGTCAGTCTAAGATGGTGCTGAAGTCTGCTGTCAGGGCTGGGTCGGCTGCAGCCTCCAGGGAGGCCAGTGCTGCTGCAGAGAGCTGCCGGCACAGCTGTGCTTTGGCTGCAAGAGAGAAACCAGGTTTGGTCCTGGCAAGCTGCCCGGCCTGGAGATGTGGCCAGTGCCCAGGCGGACCTGCTGTGTGCCGGGCAGGCTCATCTGGAGGCCTGGGCCAGGCCAGCATCTGCCCCACGGAGCAGACGGGAGCTGGGGAGGTGGGGGGCAGGGACAGGCAGCAGAGCCTGGGTGGCTGAGGTGGGTGGCCGAGGGGAGGCTGGCAGGAGCCGGCCAGGCCAGGGAAGCAGAGGGGGCATCGGGTGAGGAGTGGAGGGAGCAGGGCCCGCCCGGCCAGGCCCCTGCCCGGCTTACCGGTGCGGAGGGGCCCCAGGAGGCGCCTGTAGGTCACTCTGTGCTGACCCAGCTTGCGCAGGAAGGCGTGGAAGCAGAGCCACCGCACAGCCTTGGCGGGGAAGGGGCAGGAGGCGCCCTCCGGCCCCAGGGACACCCCTGGGGAGCAGACAGATGAGGCCAGATGCTGGGAGGCCTGGGGAGCGGGCTGGGGCGGCAGTGGGGTTCTCCCACCACACAGTGGGACCTATCAGCCCAGGGGTCTCCGGAGCCCCCCAACACAGACAGGACAGCCGGCCAAGCTGCGCCCAGCGAGCACAGCCTGCACCAGGGGTGAGCAGGACCCCCCACTGGCGGAGGCACCCTGGGCTGGATGCGGGGACAGGGGCTCGGGCCCACGGAAGGGGGCTGGCGGCCAGGGCAGGACCACATGGGGCCATGCACCAGGCGGCAGGGGTGGGGCGGGGGTGCTGCTGAGCAGGTGTGCCCCAGGTGACCCCCCATGTGCCGTGGGGTGGGAGCTTCCCGCAGGCCCTGCTCGCACCTGCATTCTTGGCCCGCAGGTGGGCACAGCAGCGCGACGCGATGTCCGCGATGACCCGCAGGAAGAAGGCGCGGTTACTCCCCACGCGCTGGGCGAACGGGAGCTGCAGCACGCACGCGTGGAACCTGCGTGAGGACATGCGCAAACGTCCCGCAGCCCGCCGTGCCCGCCCTGGGGTCCCCTGCACCCAACCTCCCCTGTGGCTCCCCGAGCAAGGGGTCCCCTGGCGAAGGTCACAGAAGCTGCCGGCGTGGGCAGGTGTGCATGTGTCCCACGTGCGGGGGCACGCGCGGGAGGCCAGGTTGGCGACACGGGCGGGGCAGTGCTGAGAACAGGGCCCGGGCGGAGCCCAGGGCCAGCGAGCCAGCAAGTGCCCTCTGGGCAGGCCCCAGGGACAGACCCGCACCTGGCCCTGGGGTTCCCTCTCCGGTTCCAGGGTGACCACGCCCTGGGGACCGGCGCGGAGGCTGCACACTCCAGTTACCAGGAGACACTGGCCTTTGTCGGGCGATGCACCCGGCCATCTGTCCCCTCCGGGTGGGCGCCTCCCGGTGATAAAGCATCGGAAGCTTGGGGCCTCGCTGCCCTGCGGGCGGGCTCGCCCGGAAACCACGGGGAGCAAAGTCCACTGTCCCTGAGCCCAAGGGGTACGGTGGCCAGCTCCTTCCCAGGGTGTCCCAACCAAGACAGGCATAGGAGACGGCAGAGGCCCAGGTGGGGGGTGCTGTGGAACTGGGGAGCTCTGCTCCAAGGACCCCTGGAATTCTGCCTCCCCCCCCAGCCTGATACCAGGCACCGCCCCCTGGCAAGGTGTGGCGTCTGGGGCGGTCCGGAGGAGCAGCCCCGGGGAGGGGTGGGTGCCCGCACACGTGGGGCCTGTGTGCCCCCTGCTGGCGGCCGCCGGGCGCACCTGTAGGCCTGCAGCAGGAAGATCTTGTACACGCTGGCGAGCACCGTCTGCTGGCTGTTCACCTGCGGGGACACGCACGCTCGGCCCGTGTCCTGCGGCGGGGAGCAAAATCCCGCCGGGGCTGCGGACCTCACCAGCAGCCTACCCAGGGGCCCACCCAGGCGTGGAGCTGCCCTATGAGGAGGGCCTGGGTTCAGCAGGGGAGGGCAAGGGTGAGATGTGCCCCATAAACATGAACACGTGCGTGCACACACCTGCCCTCGGCCTCACCTGCATGCACCTGTTCATACACGGGCACACACACCTCCACGCACATGCACGCAGCCGGCACGGCCCCGCTCACTCGGAGCACAGGGCGCCACGCTGCGCTGCCTCACGCCCCCGCGGACGCGCCTGCAGAGCCCCGCGCGCACCTGCAGGTCCAGGAACAGACCGTGGCACTTGAGCGCCAAGATGGCCAGGAGCTTGCGGCGCAGGTGCCAGCCGGGCCGGGAGCCCTGGCAGAAGGACAGGCTGGCCCTGATGGAGGTCTGCGCGTAGCTGCAACACAGGGCGGGCCTGAGACGCGCGCCGGCGCCGTTTGGGGGCTCGCGCGCACCCCCACACGCGCCAGTCACGGTCCACACAGCCCGGCCAGCCCCCACCCACGACCCGTCCACTCGGAGCCCCAGGCCTCACGAGCCCCGGCTCCCCTCGCCACCTGGGGCCCACCGCACCCTCAGCTCGTGGCCCCTCCGTGGGCCCAGCCCTGGACTGGCGTGCCCCACAGGACACCAGGCTCTGGGGCACCCTGTCGGCGGCTGGCTGAGGCGCCACCCCGGGGCCTCGGCTTCCCGATCCTCGTCTGAAGGACCCGGAGGCACTGGGCGGTCAATCCAGGGGCCTGGCCACCCACTGCCCTGGGCCTGTGAGCTCGGCCCCCTCCAGATCAGCCTGGCGGCCCGGGCCTGCCCTCCGGAGCCTCTGCCCGCCCTCCCCGCCAGGCCGGCTTCGTGTGTGCGGTCAACACGGCGCTCGCTGTCTTCTTCCAAACTATCAACTTTCTCAGGAAAAACCCCAATCGCTGCTTCTCCGGCCTGGGCCGCGGCAGCGAGGGAGGGCGAGGAGGGCGCTCCGGCCCAGCCGGTCCTCGCCGCGCGGCGGCGCTGTGGCTGCAGCTCCGGCCCCGGCCCAGCTCCTCCCGCGGCCTCCCCAGCATGGCCGGCGCTCGAGATGCCGCCTGCACGCCCAGCGGCCCCTCTGCCGGGCAGCCCCTCCGGCAGCGTCCCCTCAGACCGGGCCCACAGGCGCCGGGGCGGGGCCCGCCAGGCCGAGGGTTCCAGCAGCCCCTGGGGGGCTCCACGCGGCACCCTGCGCTCTGTCGGCGAAAGCCCGGCCTCCCGCCTGTGCCGGCCGGCCTCGGGATAACCAGCAGGGGTGGGGGCCGCCTGCGCCCAGCTCCGGCTAGAGCCCCACGCTGACCCGGGGCGGTTCTCTGCAACAAGCAGCACAGCGAGGTGAGGCATAACCCGGGGACCCTGCGTCTGCACGCCCAGCGGGCGGCCCCGGAGGACACGCCCGGCAGCTCCTCTGGCGTCCGGACGTGGAGGTCAGCTCGTGCTGGGGAAACCGCCAGGGACAAGGGCACCTCACACGGGGTGGCCGAGCGGACTCACGCCGTCCAGGGAGACCGTGGCGGGCCTCAAAGGCCTGGGAGGCCGTGGCCATGGGCGCCTCGCCCCTGAACTCGGAGCTACACCCTGTCCCGTGGACACGCGGCTGCCCCAAACCTCCGTTGACGCAAGCTGCCCACGAGGGCCCCACTCCCAGGAGGGACGGCGCCAGCCCCCGCCCCGCCTGCCGCCAGCCCACCTGCTGTAGTCGCAGCGCACCTCCAGGGTCCGCGTGTCCAGCAGCAAGCCGCACCACGGAAACAGGCAGTGGGCCGGCAGCTGGAGGGGGGCCGCGGCCCCCAGCTCCCCAGCTCCCACGGGGAAGTTCACCACTGTCTTCTGCAAGTTCGCCACGCAGCCGTACTCGGGCACCCCTCGGACCAGGGTCCTGCGGCAGAGGGCGACAGCGGGGGCCGGGGGTGCTGCGCCCAGAGCCCGGGCAGCGGGCGCCCGCCCCGAGCCCCCCCCACCTGCGGCCCCGCCCTGCCCGCCCGAGGCCACCCCCACGCTCCCCCCCTCGCCCCTCGCTGGCCGCCCGCGGGGATGCACCGCGTGGGGCCTGGGGTCCGGGCACAGTCCAGACGGCCGCCCCACAGGCAGCCCAGGAGCGGCCGCCGTGACCTCGGAAGGGTCGGGTTTATGACTTTCTTCCAGACGCCTGCCCGGGAGATGCTGGGCTCGGGCTGCGCGGACCGGAACTGACCCACCGCCAGGCCCGCCTCCGAGGCCGCGCGGGGCACTGGCTGAGCGAGCGCCGCCCTCTCAGGGGAAGGGGCCGGTGGGGGAGGCCACAGGCCGTGGGCGGGAGCCAGGGCGACGGCGGGCAGCGGGCGCCGGCGCTCACCTGAGGAAGGCTTTCGCGCGCGTCAGGTACGGCGTCACCAGCAGGAAGTCGTCCACCAGACGCAGGAGCAGCCTAGAGGGGGCTCAGATGAGGGGGCTCGCCCTGCACGTCCGCCCGCAGGGGGGACCCCACACCAGAGGGACCCCAGCCAGATGGTGTGGGGAGCGGCCCCCACACCCACCAGCCCGGCCAGGAGGGCCAGCCCTAAGGATGTCCACTCCCCGGGGGCAGATGCCACTTAGGCCCAGTGCCCAAGGTCCACGGGCTCCTGGGCTCTGCAAGCCCCTCTGGCTCCTGCAGATAGCGCCCCGGAGTCGCTGGGGAGCAGAAGTAAACGGGACGACAGCAAAGCAGACCAGGGCAGGCGCTTACCCGTCCTGCTGGAGCCCGGGGAACAGCTTGGCCTCCATGTCCCCGTAGCACAAGTTGCAGAGCAGGGTGGACAGCATGGAGCCCTGGGGGATGCCCTGGCGCTGGACGTAGGACCTGGGGGCAGGACGCGTCAGGGAGCAGGCAGGCCACGGCCGGCCTCCTGGCCTGGCACAGCCCCGCTGCAAGACGGCACGCGCGTGGGCGCAGACCGTGTCCGTGTGCAGATGCCCGCCCACACGCCGGGCTGGTCTGAGTGGCTGGCCAGCAGGTGCCTGGGCCTGGACCGGCATACCCCCTCGCGGTGACGGGGTCGGCACCCCCGGCGCGCAGGGAGGCGAGAGCTGGGGCCTGGGCCAGCCTGCGGGCTGGTCGGGCAGGCGCGGGGGGAGGGACGGGGACTGGCCGCCAGCAGAGGGGGCGCACGGGGCGGGAGCCCCCAGCTCACTTGTGCCCGATCCTGAGGACGTGGCTGCGGAGGAAGTGCAGGAAGATGTCGAAGAGGTGGAGGCCGGTCTCGTTCAGGGAGAAGCTCTGGAGAAACGGGCACACGCAGGTGAGGCGGCCAGCCCAGCTTTCCGTGTGCGCCTGCAGCTGGCCCGCGCCGCCGGGTGGCCCTGGCCGCGGGGGGAGCGTGCTGGAGGCCCAGCGCCTGCCCCTGGAGCTGGTTGTGCCACCAGCAATGCCGCAGGCAGGGGCTGCCCACACCAAGAGCGGGGCTCCCCTCCAAGGGCCAGCGTGGGGGACACCGTTGCCTTCTAAGCTCAAGGTTAACCCGAGCAGCAGGGAGCCCCGCAGCGGGCAGCACAGCACAGCGCGCAGGCAGGGCCTGGGGCGGGGCCTGGGGCGGGGCAAGGGTTGGGGGGGCGGGTGGCAGAGGTCTATGCCCGGGAGCCGGGCAAGGCGGCTGCAGCGGCACCTCCAAGGCCCCAAGCGCACCGACCTGCTCCACGACCACGGCGTCCCGCAGCGCGCGGGTCTCCTGCAGATGGCGCACGAACGCCCGCATGGACGGCTGCAGGTCCTCCAGGGTGGACACCTGTGGGGGAGGGCGCGAGGCGCTGAGCGCGGCCCTGGGAGGAGCCTGCGGCGCGGGTGTGGGGCGGAGAACAAAGGGCAGCGGGTGCAGAAGCCGCACAACCACGGACGCCACCACAGCTGCCGGCGACGGGACGGGGCGGGGCGGGGCGCCTCCCGCGGGCCCAGGGCTCTGGAGGACGGCACACGCGGTCTGGGTTTCCAGAGCCTCCTTTACAGGCGGGGCTGCAGGCGAACAACTAAGGGGCCTCGGAACAGGCCTGGGCCAGAGCAGAAGGAAAATGAGCAACGTGGGGGCGTCGCGGGTGGACGAGACAGTGGGCGACACGGGACAGGCGAGGCTGGCGCAGAGGCCTCCCCGGGTGAGAAGACGCACGCGGTGCCCGGAGCCAAACCCGCGCAGCGGAGCTGGAGGACGGCAAGCAGGCGGGGCCGCTACAGACGGGGTTTCGGCCACCGGTCCCCGCGCAAGCACCCCGAGCGCGGGCCCAGGAGGCGGGGAACCCGGGGGTGCCGGGGGGAGGAGCGAGGGGAGCAGCGGAGCCAGAGACCCACCCGCGCCTCCAGCACGGAGGACGGGGCGCACCTCGCGGACCCACCATCCTGCGCTCATCAGGCCTCTGGGGTGAAAGGGTGGCGGACGGGGGCCGTGAGACACGGACCCTGCACGGGCCAGCCCTGCTGCGGGGACCCTGCACGGGCCAGCCCTGCTGCGGGGACCGCCGTGTCCTGCCCAGGAGACGCGCACCCCGAGCAGCAGGCGGAGAGCCCCGAGACCCGCTGGGGCGCCGCTGCCACAGCCCCCGCCGTGCACAGAGCAGCCCGCGGCCCGGGCTGGGACCGGCGACCCGCGGCTGCACGAGCGCGTGGAGAAAGTGGGGATGCGGGGGCAGTGCCGGGCGGGGGCAGGGGGTCGGCGCCTGAGGTGGGCGCAGGCCGCCTCGCGTGTCACAGGCGCCCATGGGAGCCACACCCCCCCAGCCGTGCCCGCTCTCACGTGGCACCCGAAGGCCCTGTGCACACGCCCGCCGCCGGCGCTCCTGAGGGTGGCGTAGCGGCGCACGCAGTAGGTGCTCTCCTGCGGCCGGATGGCGCGGGCCACCACCTGCACCAGCTTGTCCTGGGGGAGGGCGTCGAAGGCCCCCATCACGTCCACCTGGGCACGGGGGCGTTGTAGGTGCCAGTTGCCCGTGGTCCCCTGCGACCCGAGGCCCGACCAGCCCCCCCAAGCCCTGGGGTGCAGGGACAGCACAAAACGCGCCGTGTCTGGGAACCAGGCCTCCAGGGGGGTCGCACGCCTGCCCACCCCGCGCCCGGGCCTCAGCGGGCAGACACCCACCTTGACGAACCAGAGCTGGGGCGCAGGCTGCTGGGCCCGCACGCGCAGCACGAAGGCGCGCCAGGCCCTGTGGATGTCGTCCAGGCCCAGCACGGAGGCGCCCAGGAGGCCGGGGCGCCGGGCTCGCTCGTAGTTCAGCACCCCAAACAGCGTCCTGACCTGCGAGGCCAGATGCTGGGCCTGAGGGGCCCCAGAGGGCAGGGTCAGCCGGGAGGCAGGAAGACCCCCACTAGCACAGGAGGCCAAGTGAGGGGCTTCCCGCCCCCCTTCTGACCGCCCAGGCCCCGCCCTCCCCTCTACTGCAGTTGCGCGCCCTGAACCAAGAGCAGACGACCTTCCGTTCTGCGCGTAGGGTCCTGGCCCCCAGCGCGCTGTCCATGTTGACGATGGGCCGCAGCCCGCTGGGCTTGGGCACGAAGCGCAGTCTGGCCGGCGGCAGGGCGGGCCTGGCCTCCTGACTCCGCTCAGCCTGGGTCAGCTCCCGCAGCTGCACCCTCTCCAGGTGCTGCCTGAAACAGGGGCCTCTTTGGATGTGGCCGGCAGGCCTGGGGGGCTCGGGCGCCAGGGAGCTGCGCTGTGCCAGCCACGCTGAGCCCTGACCCACGCACCGGGGCTACCCAGGGCAGGTGCCCCATCAGAGCCCTGGGGGGGAGACGGGGGGGGCAAGCCCCAGGCAGAGAGACCCCCACTAGCCCAGGAGGCCCAGTGAGGGGCCAGCTGCCGGGGGCTTCCTGCTCCAGCTGCCAGTGATCCTGTGTCCTGCTTGCCCCCGGGAATTAAGACAGCGTGCCCGCCTGCGGAGGCCCGTGCGCTCAAAGCCCGGATCTCACAGCAAGAAGGGGGCTTCAGGGGCTGTGCTGGGGCCGGGACCCCGTGGCAGGACGGCCGTGGGACCCGAGGGGGTGGGGCAGGGCCCCGTGCCCGCCGCTGTACCGGACACCGATGGCCTGCAGCTGGCTCCACACGCGCTTGCGGTAGAAGAAAAGCCTGTTCTTCTGGAACGTGGTCTCTGTGACGTAGAAGAAGCTTCTGAGCAGCCCCGCCACGTAGCCGTCCATCAGCCAGCACAGGAACGCGGCCAGGACGGCCTCCCGCCGGCGGTGCTCCGCAGCCGGCACGCAGCGCACCCCTGAAACGGTGGGGCAGCCCGTCACCCGCCAGGGTGACCCCGCCACACGCCCAGGACGGCAGCCGTGGCCCGGCGTGGCGGGCGGCGGGCGGGGCAGGCCTCTTGCGGATGCGCGCAGAGCACGGGCGGGCGCCGGGCTTTGGGAAAGTCTGGCTTGGCTTTACGCTGACGTCACCTTTTCTTCCTCCCGCCCTAACGCGGCGCACGTGCGCGCCCTTCACACGGGCCAGGCGGCCAGCGCCGGCCCGGGCAGCGAGAGCCACCAGCCCTGCGCGAGCCGCACGGCCGCCGCCCTTCCCCGCTGCCCCCTGCACCTGCCCCGCGGGCGTGTGTCCATGGGCAAAGCACAGAAGGCGGGGCCCGGGCGAGCAGAGAGCAGTGAACGCGGGGGAGGGGGTTAAACGAAGCAAAGGTGGACCACAGCGAGCCGGGTAACGAAGCCCACGACGTCGCGCGGCTCTGGGGCGCTGGCACGCTGGGTTTGGCACCCACGTAAGCCTGGGGTGCGATGCGCTGTCGCCCACGGAACTCCAAACATCCAGGGAACATTTTGGGGAAAAGCACCCGCGTGCGAGGTTCAAATGCAAGGCTCCACGGGGTCAAAGGCAATCCGGCCCGCAGAGACCCCCGGACAGCGGAGAGGGAAGCGAGCAGATAATTTAAAATACATCCACGTGGCTCCTGATCAGAGACGAAGTCCTGAGAATCAGACACTCGAAACAGCGGACACCCCGACGCGGGCGACCCATCGAAACGGGGGTGCGGCTGAGCCGTATTTAAAGGCGAGGCAGAGCCCAGCCCGCTCAAGAAGTGAAGGAGGGCAGAACCCACCCGCGGAAGATGACTGGGACCCGACGGTGCCCGACGAGGCCCTCCCCGTGTTGACACCCCCTCTGAGGGCCACGGGGCCTGGCCCGAGATCTCTGCACAGCTGGGGCGTCCTCAAGGCTGGGGGGCTCTGAACTGGGCTTCTCCCAGATGCTTACGTGCCCCGTGAGCTGCGGGGAGGTCAAGTGGCAAAACACGAGGCTCTGCTCCCACCGCCCTCCACCAGAGGGAGGGGGCTGGTCCCTCCGCTCAGGGTGTGACCAGCAGGCTGCACGAGGCGGGTGCCCTCAACGTCAGATCCGGGGAACCCCAGGGACGGGGGTAGAATGCGGGCGCAGGGTCTCAGAAAACACCCTGCAAGCAGCACGCAGCGGAGCCTCCCCGGCACGGGGGCGCCCGCCGGCCCCTCTGCTCGCTGCAGCCTCCGGTCCTACGGACGGCTGCGGGGTCCTCGTGCAGGGAGAGAGCCGGCCCTTTACCCGCCTTCCTCGGCCCGGCCCTGCCTATTTCAACCTGAACGCGGCCCTGGACCCGGCCCAGGTGCTCCGGCGCCGCGGGCGCCCCGGGAGCGCCCCTCCTCCCGCCTCCCACGTCCACAGGGAGAACCCCGTCGCCAGGGGCCGGCGCTGGAGACAAAGGGGGCCAGGAACAGCCTACGGGGGCCTGCCAAGGGCTCCCGGCTCTCCTGTCCTGCTCCCGGCCCTGGCCACGTCTCCTGGGCCCCTGCGCTGGATGGGGGCCCTCGGAGGCAGCGGGTCAGCGGCGACCCCGACAGCCCAAGCCCAGCCAGGGGCGGGGGCCGGGCCGGGCGCTCACCTGCACGCGCCGCCAGCCAGGCGCAGTGGCGCACCCTCATCTTCCACATGAGCTCCGGGAGCGAGAGCCGCCCGTGCTTCCCCAGGGACAGGAGCTTCTTCACGTTCCTCAGGAAGCGGCGCTGGTTGTGCCTGGAGCCCCAGAGGCCGGCGGGCACCAGGCGGCGCAGGCAGGCGCGCAGCAGCGTGTACACCTGCCAGGGGCTGCTGTGCTGGCGGAGCAGCTGGACCAGGCGCTCGGGGCCGGCGGGCCGGGCGGGCCGGGCGGGCGGGCGCGGGCGCAGCGGGCAGTGCGTCCTGAGGAGCGCGCGGTAGGGGCAGCGCGCGTGGTTCGCCAGCAGCTCGCGGAACAGGGGCCGCAGGCGCCGGTAGCGCGGGGGCAGGCGGCGCCCGGGCCGGGGCGGGCGGCCCAGGAAGATGGCCCCGACCAGCGCGCCGGCCCCCGCCAGGCTGGGCCGCAGGGCGCTGAGCAGGAACGCGGCGCCCGGGCCCTCGCGGCCGCCCGGGCTGTAGAGGAAGCGCTGGGTCTCGGGGGCGCGCGGGGGCCGCGGGTCGCGCTGGCGGGAGCCGCGGCCCCTCGGCCCCCGCGGCGGGCCCGGGCTGGGCCCCCCTCCCTGGCCTCGCCGGGGCCCGGGCCGCGCGCCGTCCTGCGAGGGGCGCCGGGGGCCCGGGCCGGGCGGCGGGGCGCAGGGCCCGTAGAGCGGCGGCCCGCACACCTGGTAGGCGCAGCGCGGGGCCACGAGCACGAAGAGCGCGCAGCGCGCCAGCAGGTGGGTGAGCACGTCGTCGCCCACGCGGCGCAGCAGCAGCGCCCACGCGCCGCTGCCGCGCAGGGAGCCGGCCACGGTGTTGGGCAGGCGGCTGGCCAGGCTGGCGGAGAAGGCCAGGGGCGGCCCGCCGCGCGCCTCGTCCAGCAGCGCGAAGCCGAAGGCCAGCACGTTCCTCGCGCCGCGCTCGCAGAGGCCCTGCAGGACGCGCGCCAGCAGCTCCTTGAGGCCGGACAGCTGCGGGGAGCGGGAGGCGCGCTGGGCGCGGGCGCGGGGATGGGGCGGCGGGGCGCGGGGCGCGGGGCGGCGGGGCGCGGGGCGCGGGGACGCGGGGGCGCGGGGCGGCGGGGCTCGGGGGCGCGGGGGGCGCGGGGCGCGGGGCGGGGCGGGGGGCGCGGGGCGGGGCGCGGGCCCACCTGGCGGAAGGCGGGGCGCGCGGGCGGCGGCGGGGCGCCCCAGGGCACGCACACCAGGCAGCCGGCCACCAGCGCGCGGAAGGCCGCGGGGTCCCCGCGCCGCACGAGCCGCCGGCCCTCGGGCCCCAGGCGCCGCGCGAAGGCCGCCAGGCGCAGCACCTCGCGGTAGCGCGCGCGCAGCAGGTTGCGCACCGCCCGGCACCGCGGCGCGCGCGCCATCGGGGTCCGCGGCCTGGCGGGGGCGCAGGAAGGGGCGGGCGCCGCGCCGGAAGGGGCGGGCGGGCGCGCGGGTCCCGGGCGGTGGGGGCTGCGGCCGCGCCCCCGTCCCGGGGCCCTGGGTGCTCGGGGGCGCCGGGGGCGCCCAGCGGGTGGCGTGGGCAGGGCTCTGGGGGAGCCGAGGCAGGGGCCCCCTGCACCCCGGGGCGGCCCCCCACGCCCTCGGCCCGGGCGGCTGGCGGCGGGGCGTCCTGCGGGCCCGCGACCTCGCGGCGGCGGGGCGGGGGTGCCCGCGGGGGCGGGCACGTGGCCAGGGGGTGGCGCTCGTGGGCACAGGGGCGCGGGCGGCTTCTCCGCTTCACCGCGGTCCCCACCATAAACCCGTTAGTTCCCTGAGCGCCCCCAGGGCGCCACAGCACCTCGCCCTCAGCCCCGGGGAGCGGGACGGGGGGCTGGTGGCCCAGGCTGCAGCCCGGGGAGGAGCCCCGCACCCCTCCGCCGGGACGGCGGCTCCGAGGGTGCGCCCGGGCTGGAGGGAGGCCCCAGCGGTCTCCGCACCCCAGCTCCTGGCTCCGGGGTCCCCCGTGTGGGGAGGCCACAGCCCTGGCTCCACACGCTGGCCACAGGGGGCCGAGCGCCGGCGACACCCACGCTAGCAGGGCCAGGCCCGGATGCTGCTGGCCGCTGCCACCGCGGCGGGTGCCCGTCCCCTGCAGGCATGGCCCTGCCCACGCCCACCAGACCCGTCTGGCCTGCCGGCCACTCCTGGGACGCTGCAGGGTCAGCTCTGCGGCACACGGCCCTTTGCAACGGGCTCCTGCTCAGCATGGTTCTGGGGTGTGGGCACCAGCCCCGCCGCAGCACCCCAGGGGGACACAGCTGGCCCAACCCCTTGCCTTGTGAGGTCGGGGCTTCCTCACGACAGACATGACATCCCTGCGCTCATGCTGCCCAAGTGGGGGTCACGGCGCCCCGCTGATGACCTCTCCTGACGGCAGGGTCAGGAGGCTGCCTCGCCTGGGGCTTCTGGACGCTGCTGAGAGCCCAGCGGAGAAGAGGCCTCCGTGAGCCACCAGAGCGTGCGGCTCTCGCGCCATCGCCGCAGCCCCGGACGAGCGGCCAGGGCCCTTGCGCTTCCCACAGGCCCAGCAGTGGGCAGAGCCCGGGGGGAGGAAAGCCACCCACTGGGAGACCATGTTGGGGGGCACCAGGCCCTCCACACCATAGGAGAGGAGCAGGCAGAGCCCAGACAGCGGCCCCGTGTGGGGGGCACCAGGGCAGCTGGGACCCCCGGCTCCTCTCCAGCCCAGCGAGGCCCACAGCTGCAGCGCAGGGCAGCAAGCGAGCGGGGAGCAGCCAGAGGCCCCTGCGGACACCAGCTGCTGAGGTGCAGAGAAAAGGCGGGGAGCAGAGGCGCCGGCTGCCGCCACGGGCCGGCCCCGCCAGCGAGCACCAGCCCCGCCCCGACGCGGCGCCCCCGTGCGGACGGTGCCAGGCCCAGGGAGCGTCACAGCCAGGGGTTTATTTTAAAATAGAAACATACGCGGAGCTTTACAGGATTGAATCCCAGAGGAAGGAGAGCGGTGTGACCCCAGAACCCTTGGGCGGGTTTCCCGAGCGGCCGGCAGCCCTTGGAGGGGGTGGCTCCCCCACACCGCGTGGGCTCGGCCGGGAGAGCCGGAGATTTGGCAACGCGAGCAATGTCCGGGAGCAATGTCCGGGAGACGCCCCCGAGTGTCCAGGCAGGCCCGGGCAGCCGCGGCTCAGTCTGCGTGGGGCCTCCGCTGCGGCGCCTCCTCGTAGGACTCCCCGTATTCATTCACCCTGCTCTTATCCACGGGGTACAGCCTGCAAGAAAGCAGCGTGCTCGGGGCGCCCGCAGGGGAGGCCGGCCTGCGGGGGCGGGGCAGGGCGCCAGGGCCTGGCGGGCAGCTCGGGGACGGGCGGGCGGGCGCACTCACCAGCGCTGGTAGAGGTAGACCAGGAAGACCACGTCGTCGCGGAAGCAGGCCAGCCGGTGGGAGGTGGGCATGGTGATGATGAAGGCGAAGACGTCGTCGATGAAGGTGTTGAAGGCCTGTGGGCGGCGGGCGGCGCGTCTGGGGCTGGAACCCGCCAGGCCCGGCCTCCTGCCGCCCGGGAGCCAGCGGGAGTGGAGGGGCTGTGCGGGCGCGGGTGGGCCCAGACACTCTCGCCCGGGACCCGCGATGGGGCACGGGGCCTGGCCTGGTGACCGCAGGGAGGGTGGACGCAGCCCGCGGGAGCCAGCGCTCTGGGTGCCCAGGGGCGCCTGTGGGCCCCGAAGTGAGGCCCGGCGTCCCGTACGGGGCTGCGGGCTGTGCGAGGGCCGCGGCCGGACACTGACCTTGTAGGTGAAGGCCTTCCAGGGCAGGTGTGCCACCGACTTCATCTGGGGACAACGGGACAAGCAGGTGAGCCCGCTGGCCCGCCCCGGGGGAGGACGCGGCCCCGCACAGGTGCCCGGCCTACCTTGTAGTTCACGAAGAGCTGGGGCAGCATGAAGAGGAAGCCGAAGGCGTAGACCCCTGAGGAGACGGGGGTGAGCGGGCGCCGGCCGCCCTGTGTCCCTTCCTGGGCAGCCCATGTGGCTGCCAGCAGGGGGCTTTGGGAGAAGGTGCCCCGGCCGCCGCCGCCGGGCCCTGGACTGGGATGCCCTGGGCAGGATTCTGCTCCCGCCCCCCACCTCCCCCCACAGAAAGCAGACCCGGGACTTTGGCCTGGCGAGCAGGCCGACGACAGCGGGCGGGGAGGCCGCCCCACTCACCGTTGACGAAGCTGTTGATCAGCCACGAGTACCAGCTGGAGGGAACAGGGGGGTGCGTCAGCCCCCAGCACCGCGGGCGCCCGCTGCCCAGGACTGCACCACGGCACCTCCCCGGCCTGCTGCCTGCCGCGGCCGGAGGCAGCCGGGCTCCCCGTGGACGCCGCGGCCCTCCCAGCCCCAGAGGACGAGTCCCGTTGGGAGCAGGAGGTGGGGCGGGGTCCGCAGGGGTCTCAGGGCAGGCCAGGGCGCGGGGTCCCCAGGCCCCACCTCTTGTACTTGACGTTCCACAGCGAGTACACGGCGCCCCCGACGCACAGCGGGTAGAGCAGGTAGGACAGGTGCTTCATGGCCTGCGGACGGCAGGGCGCTGCTGGGCGGCTCCCGGGGAGGCCGGTGGAGCAAACCGGGCTCCGAGGACGCCCCCGGGAGCGGGAGCGCGTGAGCAGAGCTTTCGCAGGGTCTCTGTGACCGCCACAGGCAAACCTGCGCCCGTTAAACGGGTGCTCTGCAGACCCCCGCCAGGCCCGGCGCGTGCGGAGAAGGGAGAACAGCTCACGGGAGCCCCGGGGCCCCCACGCCGCTCCCAGCGCCCACCCTGCCGGGGAAGCCCACGCCCGCCCGCCGCTGACCTGCGCGTCGTACTCCTCCGTCCTCCGCTCGGACTCACTGGAGGCGCCGAACTACGGAGACCAACACGCTCGCTGGGTGGGGCCGTCAGCAGGACCCGGGCCGTCAGCGCCGAACGCGGACCGGGGGGCAGCGAGGCCAGCCCAGGCACCCAGAGGGCCTCCACCCGGCAGGACCCCAGCAGTTCCCCCAGGTCAAGCCCGGCAGCCCGCGTGGGCCTGGACCCCAGACCCCACCTGCCCCTCAGCCCTGCGGACGCCGAGTGGGACGCTGCTGCCCGCGGACCGGCCAGTCCACAACACGGCGGGCTCCGTCCACTGCCGAGCCCCACCGTGGCCCGCCCGGCGCTAAGACATGGGGGGTCTGCTCCCAGGCGCTGCTCCCTCAGTGCAGCCACCCACCTTCGCCGCGACCTCTGACCCCCGGCCCCAGCCCAGGCCTGCCGGAATGCTCGGGGAGGTGTGGAGCCGCCTGGGGCGTCCACGCAGCTCGGGAGCAGGGCGGGGGACCGGCGTGGAGCTGGCTGGAGCCCAGGATCCGGTGGGGGGGCATCAGCTGGGGCTGGGCAGCAGGGCCTGCAGGCGCCTGCCCTCCCGCGCAGAGCTGCTTCCTGCCCAGAGGCGGCTGCTGGGGAACACGGCCGGGACGGGGCGCTCACCTGTAGCTCAGGCCACAGGCCCCTCCACCGCACGGTCATCTTCAAGGCCTTTTTCACTTTCCACAGCTGAGGGGAACGAGGCCTCCGCGTGAGACTCAGACCCGGAGAGCCGGAGCCGGGGCCGCCTGCCCTGCCCCCCCGGCCGGGACCCCATCACTGCACAGGCAGCTGGCGGTGCCGTCCCCGCCCTCCCCCCACCAGCCGAGGGGGCCCTTCCCGAGCCCACACAGCCAGCCCGGGGCAGCTAGGCGTGGGGGGGGTCGGTGTGCCCCTGCCACTCACCTCGATGGCGGCCCCGACGCCCGCCGGGACCAGCACCAGCAGGCTCGTCTGCTCGTCCAACAGGAACAGGAAGATGACGACGGTGCTGAAGCAGCGCCAGAGCACTGGGGGAGGCGGGGAGAGGCGCTGGGGGCCTCTCTCGCACACACGCACGCCCCGTGCACATGCAGGTCCCCTCCCAGCACCTCCTCCCTCCCCCCACTCAAGCAGGCCAGAGCCTGGCTGGACAGGCGCTGCCCGCTCACAGGCACGTGGGGAGGCTGGTCAGGGCGGACGTGGTGACAGCCCTGTCACCGCCCCCCGGGCCGTCCTGCCCTGAGGACCCTCCCTCTGTGGGAAATGCCCGGGCCCCTCAGGCTGAGGGGCAGGAGGGCAGAGCCCCGCAGAGCTGCCTGGCTTGGCTGGCAACCCCAGTGTCAAAGGTCAGGGAGGGGCAGAGGCTGCGCTCCGAGCCGAGGATGGAGTGGTCTGGGGCACGGAGGACACAGGCCACCAGGCTATGTGTGCCCAGGCACCCGCCTGGCTGCCCACCCCAGCGCCCAGGGCCTTACCTGCCTTGGTGGACATTCCCATCATGCTCTTCTTCTTCTTCCAGAAGCTGATGTCATTTTTAAATGCCAGGAAATCGAACAAAAGCTGAAACCAAGAGCAAGTTTGCACCTTCAGGCGCCTCTCATGCGTTTGCCTGAGGCTGCAGGTGGGGCTGGGACTGGCAGCAAACCCCCCATCAGCCCCACGCCCCCCACCTCATCCCTGCTCGCTCTGCGCTTGAGCGCAGGAGCAGAACGCCAACCTCTTGGTGGGTCCCGCTGCTTTCCAACAGCTCTGGAATGTTCCGGCCTGACCTATAGCCAGTCCCCAGGCCGCGGGAAACCTGAGTGCCCCTTGGCGTCTGGTGAGACCAGCTGGCACCAGCCCGACCTCCACCCCTGCAGCCTCAGGCCCACTGCGCCAGGGCCTTGTTGCCATTGAAGATGAGCTCTGAGTCGACCCCCAAGTGCTCAGCATAGAAATGCAATCGCCTGCCCATCACTCACTGCTCCTGGGGTCCTGTCCCAGCTGGGGTCCAGCCCCAGCCCCGCAGATGAAGCCCCGCTTGACGGGCATGCCCGTGCGGACGCCCCCCAAGGCCGCCCGCCTGCCCCTGCCCGGACCGAGCCAGCGCTCACGTGGAATGCGGCGACGAAGAAAGTCAACGCCAAGAAGTACAAGTTGGTGTCAACAAAAATCCCTTTGACCTCGTCGGCATCTTTCTCTGAAAAGCCTGGGGGGCAAGAGCAGGGCGGTGGCCTCAGCCAGTGGGCTGGGCCAGGGCGGAGGGGGCGGGCAGGCGGCGCGGGGCTCACCGAACTGCTGCAGCGAGTACACGGCGTCCTGCATGTGGATCCAGAAGCGCAGCCGCCCCAGGGAGATCTTGTCGTAGGACACGGTCAGCGGCAGCTCGGTGGTGGAGCGGTTGATGACCTGGAGGCCATGTGGCTGGTGGGTGCCAGGCTGCCCCGTCCCTCTGTGGCGGGCCAGGGGCCCAGCAGGGCTGGTGTCTGGGCCAAGACCCGCCTGTCTGTTCCAGGGGCTCACCTGAGCCCGCGGGACCTGAGGCTGTTGCTGCCCTACCCCGCACCTGAACTCGCACCTCCCAGCCACGCCTGGTGGCAACTCTTCCCCACGTGTGCCCGGGGCACCCCTGCAGGGCTGACGCTGCACATGGCCAGCGCTCCAGACACTGGCCCCATGACGCCTCCAGGGCCACACATCTGCTCACCCGCCACCAGCACACGCCAGGCTGGCCAGACACCAGGGCCAGGCCAGCTGCTGGCCTCGGGGCACACTTGAGGGTTAGGGTTAGGAGCTGCTGGGCCTGCCGGGGGCTGGGTCAGGGCCAGTGGACTGGCTGCCCGCAGAGACATGCCCGCCCCAAAACAGCGCCAAGAGGGGCTCAGTGCTTGAGGACCGCTCCCGTCCAAGCCAGACCTGAGAGCGAGACCCCAGCTAGACACGGGGCGCGGCGGGTGTCTCAGGTTGGCTGAGACACAGGCGACTGCAGACCTGTCCCAGGCAGAGCAGCCCCTCCGGACATGCCCTTCACACCCGGGACCCCGGCAGCACCACGGCGCTCTCGAGGCGAAGCAGCCGGTGAGGCTGCGCCTGCACCCTCAGCGAATCAGGCCCTGTGCCGGCTGCTGGGCTGCAGATCCCCAGAGGTCTGGGGCGTGAGGCCCCCAACTCCACAGCAGAGCCACGCGGGTCACTGCTGGGGCCTGGCTGGCGGGAGGCAGCAGAGCGGGGACGGGGACCAGAGTCAGGCTCCCGATTCTCGAGCCGTTTCTGGTCTGTCAACAAGGGCGTGGCAACGAGACAGCTGGACCGTCCTGCACAGGCCCAGTGCTGACCAGGGAGTGGCGCCTGAGCTGTGTACCGGCTGTGCTGACATGACCGAGGGGTGACTTCCCCGAGATACCACAGAGTCAGCCGGGGACTCTGCAATGTGGGGTGTGGCCAGGATGCCCATCACACCATGGCCAGGGGTGGGTCAGCGGCCCGTGATCGCCAGCTGGGGCCTCCGCTGCACCGGGACCGCCCACAGGAGGTGGCGCGCACAGAAACCAACTGGGCAGGACAAAGGCTTTTCTACCGTGCCGAGCTCCGCTGTGCAGACACCCGACACTGCAGCCTTCCAGAGCCTTCCCCCGAGGAGGGCAGGCAGGCAGGGCGCCCCAGCCAAGTGCTTACCATGAGGTCCTTGACCCGACTGCTGAGCTGGTCGATGAACAGGATGGGCAGGTAGTGCACGGTCTTGCCCAGCTGGACCCTGAGGCCAAGTGCAGGGGTTAGAGCCAGCACTCTGGGGGCACTGAGGGCCAGGACCGCGTGCTGGAGGAGCCCCAGACCTCTCAGGCCTTCCCGGTGGAGGCAGAGGGCCCCTCAGCAGCCCGGGTTGGGACGGCCCGAGTGGCCACAGGAGGCAGCAGGGCTCAGCAGCGGGGCAGGCGCGGAGCAGGCCCACAGGCTCACACCGGCGTCCTGGGCACCCCGCCAGGGTGCCTCTTCACCCAGTGACCGTGCCACGCGGCCAAAGACGAAGTCTCTGTCTTCCAGACGGACCCCTGAGACGCCGCCACGGGCCGTGCTGAAGGCGGAGGAGGATGGGTGGCTCAAGGGGCAACTGAGGTCCTGGTGACACCCTCGGGGGCACCGGGGTTGGGGGGCACAGGTGGCCTGAGCTCAGGCAACGCAGCAGATCAAGCACACCTCGCTACGGAGGTCGATGTTCCACGAAGGTCGACGTGCCGGCGAGGATGCTGGGGTGCCCCACGGGGGACCCGGCACACAGGCAGGCCAGACCCCGCCGGCGCGTCCACCATGCTGGGGACGCCCCTTCCGGAACGTCCTCTGCGCCCGGGCTCTGTGAGAGGCAGCCCTTCTGGTTCTCCCTCAGGGACGCACTGGGCCCTCCCCTGTGGATTGTCTGGCGTAACCCCGGGGCGCGCAGCTCAGAGAGCACACGAGGGAGGCCCCGACACTCACATCTTCATGTACCGATGCACGTCGGCCGGCAGGGAGGACCCATCGAAGACAAAGTCATCCACCATCACGTTCAGGGTCAGCTTCGGTCTCCAGTGAGAGACGGGCTCGTCCAGCGCACTGGCCGGCCCCTCCTCGGCTTCACCCTGCTGCTGGCGACAGGAAGAGCCACTGCTGACAGAAGGTGCCGCTGGGCCTGACACCTGCCTGCCCACGTCCTGTTCGGACACACGTGGGCCAAGCTCCCGCTTACTCTGCGCCCCACACCTCAGGGTCCAAAGGGGATGCGTCCGGGACAGGTGCGGAGGCTCAAGTGACTGCCCCGTGGTTGACAACGCGGCTGAAAAGGAGACCCGGACAGCAGCAGCCAGGTGCCTGGGACGGGCTGGGCACTGCCCTGGAAATAGCCGAGTCCAGAGAGAGACCGGCCTCCAGGACAGCCCCGACTTCCTCCAGAGCAGAGGACACATTCGGCAAACAGTGATTCCGTTCACCCGCCCGGAATGTGGTCTACGTGTGACGGCTGATGCGAACTGTCCAAGTCCCGCTCACAGACACCTGTCCGTCCGCTGCAGAGCCCCAGTCTCCTCACCTCCCTCACCTCCCAGAGTGCCCCAAGAGGCCGGGGGCACAGCCACTGTCCCTGCAAAGGGCGGGCACGGCTGCCCGAGACCGCATGGCAGGAAGCACAGTCTAGGAGCCCAGACAAGGTGGCTACCCTTCCTGAAACCTGGACGCCCGGCCTATGCCTAGAGACGCCTCCTGAGAAGCTGATGGCGCCCTGGGCCCCACCCCTTCCCTTCCATGCAGGCCAGGGCCCTGCTGGGTGTGCCGAGGCTGCCGCGTGTCGCCTAGGGCTCCCCATCCGATCCCCCTTCCAGGCGACAAGCCTATAACCATCGTCAGTGCTGCCTGCGCCCCCAGCCTGCCCTCACGAATGGCTGCAGCTCAAGTGCTCTGCGCCCTGCTGGGGCAGGATTCAGGGTGAGGTGGGAGGGCGGCCGACTGCACGCCGTCCAGGGCATTACTCTGCTCAAGGTGTGGGCACACGCACCTGGGTGTCGGCCTCTCCAGTGAGCAGGTTGACCTCCTCCGGCTTGGGGACCATGTAGGTTGTCAGCGGGCTCACCAGGTGCACCTGCTTCCCATCATGCCATGGCAGGAGACCGGCGTGGTGGAGGAAGATGTAGGCATACAGCGTCCCGTTGTTTCTTGTCTTCTTGGGCACGGAAACGTTGACCGTCCTGAAACAAGCCAGGGCCCGCCATCACCCCCCCAGTGGAGGAGGAAAGCTCAGAGCTGACCCCGCCCCCAGCGCTCACAAGGCACGCCTGCCCTGGCCGCTGTGGCTAACCGACTTCCTCTAACACCTGTCTCCATGCGCGAGACTCAGCGAGGTCACTTGCTCGACCTCAGGGCTCAAGTGCTGGTGGGCAGAAAGTGGCAAGGAACCTGGCCAGACTGCCAGCATACAGGGCATGCGGGGCACCACAGTGCAGGGTACACAAACAAAGCCCCTGACCCCAGAGCAGGCCCAGTGAACCTGCTGCCGGCACTGTGGGCGGTCTGTGTCTGCTTCCCTTCTAGAGGACCACCGGGAGGCTGGAGGGCCCTGCCAGAGTGACCGCAGCCTGGCCGGCCAGGGTGCTCAGTAGTTGCTGCCACTGCACAGGGCCCCTGAGCACAGCACAGCTCCTCTACCCCCATGCCCTGAGCGGCAGATGCTGGGCTTGGTGCCCTGCTCCCCTCGGGCACCCCTGGCTAAAGGCTCACTGAGACACCGAGGGAGGACGGGGCGGGGGGGGCCCTGAATGAGGACGCCCTGTCCCTTGCATCTCCAGGCTGGGTGACCGTGCTAGTGGTTGCAGCAGCAAAGGTGCCCTCAACACAGATGCCGCCCAGGTATTTCCTCTGCAAGTGGTCCGTTGGAAAGCGCCGCGCTTGCCATCTCCGGTCTCGGAGGCCGGGGTCACTGGCCTGAGCGCGCAGGCTCCGGTGCCAGGCAGCGGTCGCCCTGGGAGCGTGACCCCGCGCTACCTCCCCAGCTTCCTGGCCGGAGCCTGTGAAGCTCACCTGCTGCGTCTCAGGCAGCCGGCAGCCAGGCAGACCCTGACGCGCTAGCCCTTCTCAGGGCACACCCCAGGGCGTCTGAACTGCAGGAACCACGCGCCACACACACCTCTGGAAAGCCATACGCTTTCCCACACTCATCTCCATGTGTCCTAACGTTACGCTCCGGTTTTACGGCCTTCCGCAAGGCTCGGCCCTAATCAGCCCTTTCCCCAAAGGGGCTCAGGATGGCCTCCGCCCGGCCTGTATGTGGGTGAGGCCCCTGCGCCCCCAGGCCCTGCCGCTCCTGCTTTCCTGCGCGGGAAGAACAAGCTGGAAATGGCCAGCCCGACCACACCAGGCACGACAGCGCCCCGCGCCCAGGCAGCTCCGGGCAGCGCCCCCAGACAGCCGCCTGACAGCACCCCCAGGCTGCCGCGCCCCGCCACGTACCGCTCAAACTTGGTCTCCACGTCGAAGTCCTCCACGTTCAGGACCAGATCCACGCTGCTCTCGCCGCCGAGGCTGGCCCGCGTGGCGGTGTACACGCTCAGCTGGGGGGGGCAGCGGTCAGCAGGGCCGGGAGGGGCGGCCTCCGGCCCGGGTCAGGCCCCGCCCGCCCGCAGGGGAGGCCGTGGCCGGCGGGGCGGCCGGGCGGGGCCCGGGGCCGGGGCCCGGGGCGGGGGCTCACCTGCAGCTTGGGCCTGCGCGCCAGGTAGGGCCGGATGCAGGGCGCGGCGCCGGCGCACGGGCGCGTGTGGACGATGCCGTACATGACCCAGCAGGTGTGCAGCACGTAGACCACGAACACGCCCACCACCAGGCTGGTGAAGGAGCTGCGGCCGCCCCACATGGCGCCGCCGGCCCGGCCCGGCCCCGGCCCCCGGCCTCCGCCGCTCACGCGAGGGCCGCCGCGCGCCGCCGGGGAACGGCCGCGCCCCGCATGCTCCCGGCGCCGCCCGAGGCCGCGGGTCCGCCGGCGCCGCTTCCGGGTCCGCGCGCCGCCGGAAGTGGCCGCGCGGCCCGAGAGGCGTAGTCGCGGCGGCGTGACGCGCGCCAACGTCAGCGCGACGGCTCAGCGTCATCTGTCCGCGCCGTCCTCCCGCCGCGCCGCGGCGCTGGTTGCTGCTCGTTGCCGGTGAGGCGCCGGGAGGCGGGGGGGGGGGGGGGGGATGGAAGGGGGCGGGGGCGTCGCACGCGGGGTGCGGGGCGGGGGGTGCACACGGGGGGCGGTCTCCGGGGGGCGGGGAGTGCACACGGGGGGCGGTCTCCGGGGGGCGGGGGGTGCACACGGGGGGTGCACACGGGGGCGGTCTCTGGGGGGCGGGGGGTGCACACGGGGGGCGGTCTCCGGGGGGCGGGGGGTGCACACGGGGGGCGGTCTCCGGGGGGCGGGGGGTGCACACGGGGGGCGGTCTCCGGGGGGCGGGGGGTGCACACGGGGGGTGCACACGGGGGGCGGTCTCCGGGGGGCGGGGGGTGCACACGGGGGGTGCACACGGGGGGCGGGGGGTGCACACGGGGGGCGGTCTCTGGGGGGCGGGGCGTGCACACGGTGGGCGGTCTCCGGGGGGCGGGGCGTGCACGGGGACGGTCTATGGGGGGCGGGGGGGTGCACACGGGGCGGCCTCGGGGCGGGGCGGGGCGTGCACGGGGGGGGGGGGGGGGACAGTCTATGGGGGCGGGGGGTGCACACGGGGCGGCCTCGGCGCGGGGCGGGGCGTGCACACGGGGGTCGGGCCCCCCAGACCTGGAGGCAACCGGAGAGAGGCACGATAGCGGAGGGCGCGGGGCCTCGTGGGGCCGCAGGCCCCAAGCCTGGGGTTGAGGCTGGGCCGGAGGTCCTCCTGGCTGGGGCGGTGCAGACTGCTCGGCGTTGATTCCTTTTTTCAATAAAAACCCCGCGGGGAGGGGCCTCCCAGGTGGCGCAGCGGTTGAGCGCTGGGTTGCCAAGCTGCCCACGCCCTCTGCAGCGCCAGTTCGATCCCCGGCTGCTCCCCAGCCACCGGAGGAGGGTCCCACATGGCGCGCAGACCTCTCCTGCCGCCCGCTGCTCCCCTCAGCAGTGTACTTCGGTCCTTCTGCCTGCTCTGCTCCCCGCTCTGGCTCTGGTGAATTCTCTCACCCTCCTGCGCTTCTGACTGTACCCAGTGCATGCATAAACAAAACAAATAAATAAATAAAACATGCCTCTATAATAAATAAATTAATTAATTAAACTGCTCTAAATTAAAAAAAAAAAAAAACCCCGCGGGGGCGCTTTCGGAGAGCAAACTCTGGGTAAAGCGCGGAGCGAGGGCGGGAGGAGGAGGGGCGGGCGGCCCGGGCCGTCCAGCCGCTGTGGGCAGGGTAGCGTGGCCTCCGAGGGGCGGCGGCTTGGGCCCTTCCTTCTCGGACTCTTGGCGCGCCCTTCAGCCCGGGCATCTGGGGATCGGAAGCGGTGGGGTGCTGCCGGGCAGAAAGGCTGCCCTTGGCTTGTGGCCGGGAGGACAGCGGTCGCGTAGCCCTAGCGAGGGTCCGGGCCGGGCGGCACGTCGCCCTCTTGGATCCGGCTCCCTGCCCCTCCGGCCCTTGGCCTGCTCTGCCCTCCGATCCCGGTTACCTCTGTGGGGAGAAAGCCTGTCCCAAGCGAGCAGTTCAGTGAGTTCTGAGTCGCTGGGTCCGGTGACCCTGTTCCCGGAGAGACCACCAGGCACCCACCCGCTCCCAGGCAGCGCTGCGTCTGCCCCTGTGGCGGGAAGGGCTTCCCGGCGTCTGGGCTTGCCGCTGGCCCCTCCCGCTCCCTGTTGTGTGGGGCTGGGGGCTCCCCTTGCCCCCGCCAGCCACTCTGCCCCACTCTATCTTTTTATTTCTCCAGAGGGAGATCCTGGAAGTGGGGCTGTGGGTCCCTGGGGGGTGTGTGGCCTGTGGCCTGCAGCTTGGGAGTGTCGGGGCTGTAATCCCAACCCTGTAATCCTGACTCGGTGGTTCCCAGCAATTCAGTCTCCCCGGGGGGGGGGGCAGGGGGGGCCTCAGCGTTGCCTTCCCTACCACTGAGCTGAAGGATAGAAAAGCTGGGAAGGAGGCCCACAAGGCAGGAAACCTGGCTCACCCGTGCTGGGAGCTGGAGCCATGGGCGGAAGGGGTGAGCGCAGACAAGCTCCAGGAGTTAAAGTCCTTCGGTGCCAGGCACAGCCCCGGGAAAGTGTCAGACGCTGTTGCTGTCGGGTGCAGACCCGAGATAAAGGCGGAGATGGAGGCCGTTGGAGACTCTCCGTCCCTTTCAAGTTCTACCTGGATACCCCGAATCAACACTGAACAGATCACTCCATGAAGGGGTCAGCCCCCCCCCCCAAAGAAAAGACCCTACTGTCTACTGAGGCATTCTCTGCCCTGGGAGGGGCAGTGGCCCTTCCGCCCTCCTGGGCCTGTGCAGGACTCCGCCCCCAGCCCTCTCCCGCCACAGGACGTTCCCTCCTTCCCGCCCAGGGCCTGTGGCCGCGCCTGGGCTTCTCCCCACTGACCCCCTGCAGCAGGGGCAGCTCCCCTAGGCTGCCCGCCTGGGACCACGCAGGCCTCTCACAAACCTGTCCCTCTCGGGGCAGGCCTCTGCCCGCTGTGTCCATGTGAGTGTCCCTTATTCTCCGCTCCTTTTCACAATAAACCTGCCCTTTAGGATACAGCCAGTGTCTCTGTGGCGTGGAGAAATGCGCCTGGGAGCTCGCCCGGTGCCGCTGAAAGGGGGGCTCTGGGGAAACTTCCCAGAGGGAACCCAAGCACCCGGCTCGCCAAACCTGACCTCACCGCCGCCAGGGGAGGGGGCATCGGGGGGAGCCCCACAGGTGCTCCCACAGCAGGACTGTCCGCCAGCTCTGGAGGCGGCCCCGGCCGCTGGCCTTCGAGCGTCCTGACCCCCGGGTCCCCACACCACCACCCCGCTGTGGGTCCCGTCCTCTCGTAAGGATCCTAGTCCTGGGCCTTAGGCCTGATGGCCACGTCTAACCCCGTCACCCTGGGGCCCGGGCCAGGGCTCCAGCGTGGAGTCTGGAGGAGTCCAATGGGCTCTGCTGCTGGGCCCTGCGGTCCTGAGGGCGGGCACGAGGTCTGGTGGGGGGACTGCGCCTGGCCTGCGGGGGTGGGGGTTGGCCCTCGGGGACCTCCGCCCAGCAGCTGGGCCACGTTCACCAGCCAGGACCTCTCAGGAGAGGGAGGGGTGTGCGGAGGCTGGTTCTCCAGGAGGGGAATCCAGGTTTTTGTGGACCGCGCAGCCATCTCCCCAGCTGGCGGCTCCCCGGTGACCCACACGACTCAGTGCTGCGCCGGCGCTGGCGGCTACCCAGCTGTGTCCTCCGGCGGACGTGGGGCCAGCAGCTCCCAGGCCACGGGCTGGGGGTCTCTGCGGTGGGGGCTGCCCGGGAGGCGCCTGTGGCGCTCCAGCCCCTGGGGCTCTGCCGCCTCCCACGCCTGGGGAGGGCCTGCTGAGGTGCTGGGGGTCCCTGCCGACCAGGGGGAGCAGGCCGTGTCTCCCCGACCCCCAGGCCTCCCTGCAGGCCACAGGAGAGGGCTGAGGGGTGCCTGCACCTCCGCTCAGCCCAGAGCGTGGTCAGCAGTGCGACAGGCCTTCGGGCCTTCAGGCCTCTGGATGCTCCTGTTGGCCTGAATATTGGACATTTAGTTTTCGGCCAGGCGGCCCAGCTGGGCCGTGTGCTGGGGGGCTGGTGGCCACGTGCAGAAGCGTCCCCACACCCTGACAGGTGCCCGCAGCCCGGGGCGGCGCAAAGACCTCTGTGCCCTCGCTTGAAGAGTGCCGGGTGTCTGGTCAGTCCCAGCATCAACGGGGCCACCCAGGACGCAGGCCCCTCCCTGTGGGGCGGACAAGGCCCCGACGTCCCCTGAAGTCCGAGTGCGGTGCCCGCCTGCCCCCCTCGCCTCATGCACCTGACCTCCCCAGCCCGAGGCCGTCTTCCTGGAGCCGCCCACCTGGCCCAGGCCCCACGGGCAGCAGAAGCGTGTGGCCAGGGCACCGGGCTGTGTGTCCAGGGCAGGCAGGGCGGCGAGGGGACCCCAGGAGCCCGGCGGGCCTCCCATGACTCGGGCACAGGACTGGGGTCTGTGCCACCACCGTGTCCGCTGCCCAGCCAGACGCCGTGCGTGCGCAGGTGTAACTCGAGAGCGGCCTCTGGGGCGGAAGCCGTCCTGAGGAAGCAGCCTCTGCGGCCGGCCCCTCCTGGGCCGCAAGCTCCGTGTTCCGCCTCCGGTAGACGGGCGCGTGGGCACCTCGGCCCCCGGGGAGGACAGCGCCCACCACGGGCCGAGCGGGCGGCGAGTGCCCCACGCGCCGGCCTCACCAGTCGGGCCCTCCGGCGCGGGGAGTGTGCCCGCTGGAGACGCGCTCCTGGGAGGCTTTGAAGCAATGGTTCCGCGCGGCAGAAGCTTCCGGTGTCCGGCTGGCGTGTGGCCAGGCGGGGGCGTGGTGGGAACAGCACCTTGGACCGGAGTGCGCCCGCAGGGCCGGGTGTGGCTGGGCCTTACCTCCAGCGGAACCGCAGCAGCGCCCGCTCCGGGCCAGGGAAATGAACCCAGTTCCGGGTAAACACCTGCCGCAGGTGGACGCTGCGCGAGAGGGTCAGCGATGTGCACGGCGGCTCCCGGGCCTGCGCCCCGGCCTCTGGTGTTGCCCGTTCACCTGGTGGCCGCCTGGTCCTCAGGGGACCCCGGCTGGGCTGCGGGAGCCACCAAGTAAGGTCCCCAGCCCCGGCGCTAGCGCGACGGCAGCGTGTGCCTGGGCCCAGCGTGGCCTGGTGACGCGGAGGCAGTGGATGCGCCCATGAGCCAGGGGCAGGTGGGGCGGGCCGGGGCGGGCCGGGGCGGGCCGGGGAGATGTGGCCGGGGCTGCTGATGCTGGAAATTCTGATGCCACAGTTCATTTTAAATAAAAGTACCCCTCTGAATTCCTCCCAAAGTCAGAGCGCTGCGCTACGCCACGCGATGCTGGGGTTTCCGCTCCAAGACCCGCGGCCGGATGGGGCTGCTCCCTCCTCGCAGCCCGTGTGTAGGAGCCTGTACCGTGCCCGGCCCGGCCTGGGGAGGCGCCAGGGCCTGCTGCGGACATGAGCGCCCTCCTGCACAGGAAGCGGGCGACCTAGCGCCCAGCCCTGCACGCTGAGGCCCTACTGTGCGCGCACGGCAGACGCGGGGGCCGGTGCAGTCTGCCGCTCGGTGCCTTCTCTCCCTGCCCGGGTCGAGGCCCTCTCCGGCTCTGCTCCGGGGTGCACAGGAGGGCAGCGCGGGTGCAGGGCTGTGACGGGCCTGGGAGTCCCAGCAGCGCAGGTGGGGGTGGGGGGCGCTGCACCGCTGGCCCAGCGGCCGGTAAGGCCGGCCCTCACCCTGCCTGCCGGCCCACCCCCTGCGTGCCCTCGGCCAAGGCTTCTCTCAGCAGGCGCGGGAGAGCCGGCCCCACGAGCAGAACTCGCCGTCAGGTGCTCCAGCTTGATCCTTGGTCACGCCGCAGAAGGTCTAGCTCGGCTCCCTCGCTGGACGCAGCCGCAGCGCCCCAGGCTCGAGGACGCCGCCCGAGCAGGGCAGAGGGAGCGGCCGCAGGCCTCGTCCTTCCCTGCGCTGGCCGGCAGGAGCCCGCAGCCCGGCTTGGCCCTGACCTGCGGAGCGGCCCGAGGGGGGGGACCCGCGTCCCTGGAGGGGCACCGCGGGCCGGGCTGAGCCCCGCACAGGCCTGGAGCACGGCCTCCCAGGTAACTGCCTCCCAAAGGCGACTTCTTCTTTCGCGAGGAAGCAGGCAGGCCGCGGGCGCGAGGTGACGGCGGAGATTAAAGGGGATTGTGGAGCAGAGACCGCGCCGCCGTGGAGGGGCCTGTTTGCTCTTTAAAGCGCGCGTCCACCGCGGCCGACCTTTATTAAAATGCCGCCCTCGAGGGAGCGCGGCGGCTTCTCTGCGCTCCGCGCCAGGCGGCGTCTAAAGGTCACGGGGCGCGGAGCACAAATCCCACTGCAAAGTGCAGAGTGGACGGGGCTGCCCACCGACAGGACAGGGGCGCGCCCTCCCGCGGGGCCCGGCGCTGCTCGGCCGCGGCCTGGCTCGCTGGGTCTGGCCGCCGGCGGGGGTGAGGGGCGGGGGCACCTGGAGGCCCCGTGCCGGGCAGGGCCCTGGGCCCGCGCCTGCGTGTCCCACCCGTCCGGCCGTCCTCCCTTCTTCCTTCCTGCCCCCTCTCCGTCCACCCCCTGCTCACCCCGTAAGCGCCTGCCTGGCTCCTCCGCGTGTGAACACACACCAAGTGCTCCACACCCACTCCAGACACAGGGGTCAGAGGAGACTCAGGGCCGTGCCCAGGGGGCTCCCACCCACTAGGGACGGCGCCCCGGACGCCCGAGAGACCTGGGGTGGGGTCAGGAGCGCAGACGGGCAGCGCCGGTGTGGAGGAGAGGGGCCGGAGGTGTTGCCAAGAGCCGCTCAGGGGTGCTGGGCCTGCGGGGCCAGGCGAGGGGGCCGGGCCCAGATGGGCGGCTGGGACAGGCCAGGGGTAGAGCCTTCTGGGTAGAGGGCCTGGGCCAGGCCTGGAGGAGGGTCTGGGGTGGCCGCAGGAGCTCTGCCCCTCTGCACGCGCGCCTGGGGCTTCCTGGGCGCTGTCGCGCAGCACCCGGCGGGCGTCTGTCCTCTCACAGCCTGGGAGGCCAGGGCTAGAGTTGCCGGCGGCGGTGAGTGGGTCCGTCCCCGCCGGTCCCAGCCTCGGGGCGACTGGAGGCAGCTCCACTGCCGTCCACCTCCTCTGGGGCCCGAGTCTCGCCTTCCCGCGAGGTCCCCACCATGTGGGGGAAGCCCGCCGGTCAGTGCCTAGTCCTCGGGGCGGGCGGGGGTGGGGTTGGTGTGGGGCGGCCACCTCCCAGCAAAGCCGCCGCGAGCGCCTGGGTGCTGGTGAGTGCTGGGCAGGCCCCGTGCCCACAGCAGGGGCACAGAAGACAGCACTGCCCAGAGGAGGGCGTCTCGCGGGCTGGCCGGCCCCATCATGGCCCCTGAGGTGCCCCCGCTGCTGGGTCCTGGGGGTGGGCGCACGCGTGCCTGGGGGCAGCTGGGCCTCTGCTGGCCGCTCACCCACCAGAGGTTCTGGCCTGCACCCTAGCTTCCCGGTCAACGAGGCGGTGTGGACAGGCGGGGGGCCAGGAGCTCCTCCAGGATGCCCCCCTTGGGCTGCCTGGGGTCTCGGGTGAGGCTGGGTCAGCTCTGTGTGGGGTGGTGCCTCCGGCCGCCCACTGACCAGACCTGCCAAGCTAACTGGCGGTGTGGCGTGAGCCGTGAGCCGGGCGGCGCCCACCTGGCAGGTAGGAGAGAGCCCCAAAAAGCGGTGGCGAAAGTGGGGGCAGAAGGGGGAGCCTCCCCGGGGGTGGGGGCGCTGGCGGAGCAGCTCTGGGTTCTGTGAGCTGGGTCGGGCTGCTTTGAGCTATTGGTCAGACGCGGCGCCGGCCGGACCTTCAGCTGAGCTGCCTGCAGCGGGCTCCTGAGCGTGAGGTGGGGGCTCATGTCCGGTGGGACGTGTGGCGTTGGGGCGCAGACGGCCCCTCTTGTCGGCCCCTCCATGCTGTGCTGAGGGGTCCCTGCCGGGAGGGCTTGCTGTCTGCAGCCCCCCAGACCAGAGGCCGAGGCCAGGGACTCAGGGACCCACGGGTGACCCGACAGAGGCGGTTCTGGGGCCGGCCGGACCCCCCGGGCTCTGCGTGAGGCCGCTGCTCAGCTGGCCCCGGCCAGGCCCTGGTTGCGCAAGAGTGCCTGCGGGCAGCGGGCTTGGGCTCGTGGGCGGACACGGCGCCGTGCTCTCACGTGGGCACACGTGCCCCTGTGTGTTGGGTGTGGCGGGTGGACATGTCCCCTCCCAGGCTCTGGAGCTACAGCCCCGGCTGCTGCCCCTGCAGGTGTGGGGTGGGCCCTGTCCCCGGGCTGTGTCCACAGTCAGGCCACTTGCCCACTTCTCCGGGGTCGAGGCCCAGGCTGCTCGGCCTGGGCACAGCTGGAGCGTAAGAGCCCAGTCCTGCCCACGGGCTGGCCATGGCCAGCAAGCCCAAGGGGACGCCTCCCCCTGGGGCCCCTGGGGGGTGGGGGTGTGCGGTCAGCCGGCATCACCCTCCTGGGACGGCTGGTGTCCAGACCGGGCTTTGCGGTGGGAACGTCGAGAATGGGGGCCTAGCAAGCCAGGAGGGGTGGGGAGCCCCGGAGAGGACGGGCAGCTCCGGGAAGGTCTGGACCCCGGGCCTCAGCCACCGGCGGGGGTTCGGGTGGGCCCAAGAGCAGGGCCGTGTGCCCACTCCCTGGAAGGGGCACCCCAGGGGCACGAGGCTGTTACCGGGGTGTTGGGCAAGGCCTTGGGTGGACAGACCCAGGGCCAGGCTGGGGCTGGCGGAGCGGCTGCCCCGCCCCGCGCCACGGTGGGGGTGCTGGTATTGATTCCGGGAGCAACGGTGAGCCTCAGCGGCTGCTCTGGGTCAGGCCTCAGCTGCCGGGCTCCGGAAGGACGTCTTTGGCCACAGAGTGGACAAGAGATGCTTGGGGCAAGGGCAGGGCCGCTCGGGCCTCTGGCGTCGCGTCCCAGAGGGGCCCTGGCCGTGAGCAGGCGGCTGGGCTGAGTCGGCGGCAGGGACCCTGCAGGCACGGCGGGGCAGGGGGAGACCCCGAGACCGTGCTCCCGTCCGGAGGAGGCCCCAGGGGCGCGCCCCGCTGGCGGCCGCGGCGGGAAGGATGGCAGCACACCGGCCACACTCGGCGTCCTCCATGGCTCTTTATTGCCAGCCACGCCCCGGGAGCTGACCACGGCGATGCCGGGGCTCCGGCCACCGCCCGCCCCCGCCTGGCCCCCCGGGGGAACCCCTGCAGTGCCGAGTCGGCACCCCTGTTCCCTGGGGGTGTGGGGGCACCCCCGTTCCATGAGGGATGGGGGCACCCCCGTTTCTGCAGGATGTGGGGGCATTCCTGTTCCTGGTGGCACAGGGTCACCCCTGTTCCTGGGGGGTGCAGGTCACCCCGTTCCTGAGGGGCGCGGGGCAGTCGTCACGCGGGCCGCGCTAAGCTTCTCTGGCGGCACAGAGCATCACTGAGGATGAGGCGCCTGCCGGGAGCTCCGCCCCGCGTGCTGGGGGCAGCAAGGGGAGGAAACTGCCGGCCCCTCCTCCGTGGGGCCCCGCGGGCGCCCGGGCTGCGAGGACGGGGCTGTCCGCAGGCGCCTGTGCGTGGGCGTCGCTGCCCCGTCCCGCCGTCCGCCTTCTGCACGATGAGACAGACAGCGCTGGGTTTCCGAACACGAGCAAGACACACGATCCAGAAGCGACTGCGGACACGTGTGGGGCGGGCGGGCGGGGCGCGTGGGGGGTCGGGCGGATGGGGGGGGCGGCTGCGGAGGGGCGGGGGCAGGTCGCCTCCTGGGGCGCGAGGGCGTCTGCGGCGGGGCCCCCCAGGCGTGTCCAGCGGAGCGCGGTGAGAGCAGGGCCTCCTTCCCCCCGGCGGGCCGCGCCTCCCCGCAGCCGGGCCGGTCCCGCTACACCAGGAGCCAGTGGCGCAGCTGCAAGGGAAGCACCAGGTTACGGGACGCGGGGGCGGGAGCGCCGCGCGGCTGAGGCCCAGATGGCGGGTGCGGCCTCGTCCCCACCAGCACGCGAGAGCGACAGGGGCAGCTATTTCGACTCCGGAAATTGTCGCAGCCTGTCACCCTGCAGCTGCGGGCCCGCCCCGCGCCGCACGGCCGCCCGCTGGCAGGGGCTGTTTTCACGCGAACGGGAGTGTGACAGCGGCCGGGGGCTGCGGGGACGAGAGCCGAGGCCACGCCGGCCGCACCCGGAGGGCTGGGAGACGGTCCGGCCCGGGCAGGGCTCAGCCGGGTGCTCGGCCAGGAGTGGGCACGGGCAGGGCTGGCAGGGCCCCAGGCAGACTGCCCCCCAGCAGCGTCCAGATGAGAGCCCCGGGGGCAGTGGCCGCCTGCCCGCCCGTGGGCAGCAGCAGGCCCCAAGCGTGGGGGGGCGGCCGGAGCCCGCGGAGAGGAGAAGCCGTCAGTCCAGGGGGAAGGAGGGGGGCCGGGCCGGGCCCGGGGCAGCTGTGCACTCCTGGGCGGCAGGGAGGAGTCGAGCCCGGTGCCCACACTCCTGGCCGCTGCGCATTTCCCGGGGACGAGCCGCAGGACACCACCCAGTGCTGCTGCAGGACACAGCGCGCCCGAGGGCAAGCGCACAAGGGTCACCCCCACAGCCGCGAGCGTCAGGGGTGCCTGGGGGGGCGTCAGGGGCCTCACAGGGCCATGGGGCCCTGGTCCCACATGAATGCTGCCCCGCCCCACCTAACAAGGCTCGGGGCGACCCCCAAGCCCCACCATCACCGTGTAACTGGCCCCAGAACAAGCTCAGGCATGGGCAGGGCACGGGGCGCCTGCACCCCAAACCCGAGGCCCATAAGGCAGCCGTGTGGCCAAGGCCAGTGCCCACAGGGGCTCTGGGGAGGGGGACACACCGCTGGAACGTGCCCTCCGGGGTCAGAAGCTCCGCAGGGACGAGAGTGACCCAAAAAAGACCCAACTGCACGTCCAGGGAGTGGACAAAGAGCAAACGTAAGCTCCAAGCAAGACCCACAGAGGACAGAGGCCACGGCCTGGCCCGGGAGTCCCTGATGGAGGCCGGAGAAATGGCCAGGGAGTGAGAGCCAGACAACGTCCCCTTGGATGGCGACCAGAAGCCCCAGCCCCTGGACGCTGTCCAGGAGGTGCCTGGGATGCACAGGAGAGCCAGGGCCCCCTGGGTGTCCCACGGGGCACGGCCACAGCAGAGGGAGGAGCGGCCGCGGGGTCCCTCCCCAGCGCAGGCCGCGCCCACCCCGGCCCCTCCTCCCGCTGAGCCAGCAAGGGCCGAGGGCCCAGGCTCCCCGGTGCCGGGCGCCCCGCCCCGCCCCACCCCGCGACCCCTCCCCAGGGCGCCACGGGCCTGGCCTCCCCTCGGCCCTGCGCGGGACTCACCGTGAACTGCCGCACCTGCCCGCTGTCCACCAGCTGGTGCTCCTTCTCAGGCGCGATGGCGTAGGCCAGCTTCTGGGGGGAGACGTGCCGCGGACTCAGCACGGCGTGGCCCCGCCCAGCCACGTCCAGTGGGCTGCGCCCGGCGTCCCCCGGGCCCCGCACTGGCCGCCCCCTCAGGCGCTCATGTCCCCCACACGCACCTCCCGCAGGGTCCCGGGCAGGCTGCAGAACTTGTAGGCCGCGTAGATGGGCACCATGGACATAGAGGACGCGGCGATGGTCCAGCCCAGCGTGTTGGCCCACTCGGGGAAGATGTAGGTCCCGTAGTGCGGGGGCCGGAAGGTCACGATGCTGACCACAACCACAAACTGAAACCGAGCACGAGTCAGGCGCTGCTGGCCGGGGGCTCGCAGAAGAGGGCTCGGGACGCCTGGCGGCCACGTGCTCCGGAGCCCAGGCTGCAGGCCGCCCGGGCCAGGGGCCGGCAAAGCAGGGAGCGGGGTCCCTATCCCAGGAGCAGGGTCCCTGTCTGTCCCAGGTGGCTGGTCCAGGACGTGGGGGGGGGCGTCCTTCCAGGCCCGTCTGACCAGCAGGGTCTCTCCCACCACACTTCAGAGACCCCCTGTGGCCTGGATGGGTCACGGCGACACCGACATGTTTGACTGGCCCTGGGGGGACTGTCTGGGCTGCTCAGAGGGTTCAGGGCGCACTTTAGAAGCCCACTCCCCGACGTCTACGTCCGGGGAGTCTGTGAGTGTTGCTGGAGCTGGACCGCGCGTGTGGACGGGGGCGGCCGGGCGGTCAGCTGCACCAGCCCCGTCTTAAGGCCCAAGGCCGCGGGGGGGGCGGCCCGAGGTCCCACGGTCAGCGGTGGCCGCGGGGAGGGCCGCTGGGGGCAGGCAGAGGCGGGCCTTCGCTTGGAAATGGCCTTCCCTGCTAGGGGTGTGGCAGGACGCGGGGGAGCCCAGAGCCTCCGCCATGGGAGGGAGGGGCTGTCCCTGCCGCTGCGGCCCCACCACGCTGCGGTGTGCCCGGCGCCCGGCCAGAGGCCAGCGGCTCGCCCTGGACACCCTGCGCCCTGGACCGCGGGCGGCCCCTGGGGCGCGGAGGGTCCCGGGGGGTGGGGGCGGAGCACGTGGCTGCTCTGGAGTCTGGCTGCGCCGGGGAAGGCGTTTCTCTGGGGAGGGGAGGGGGCGCGATGCCCCTGCGGCCGCGCACAGCTGCCCTCGGCGGGGCTGGGGGGCAGCGGCCCACAGCTGGCTCACGGTCTGCACCCCTGTGGGTCCTGGCACCGGGGCCGCGGGCCCCACGCCCCTGGGCAGGGGCGAGCCTCCCCCTCATCCCAGACCCCAGGCCCTGCTGCGGACAGGCCAGAGCCCCTCCTGGGAGCCCCTGCGACGTCGGGTCCCAGCGCCGTGTGTAAGGAGGGTGCGCACACGCAGCCAGTCACCACGCTGGCCGTGATGGGTCTGCGGGGGCTGCCAGCTGCCCTCGGCGTGGGGTGCCCCCCAGGCTGGCTGGGGAGCAGGAGGGCCTGGTGGCCAGGGAGGCGCTTGTCTCCTGGGGCTCTCCAGCCCTATGGGGCCACTGCACGGACTGGCTCCAGAAAGAGGCCGCTGCCCCATCAGCCTGGAGCCCCAGCTCGCTGGCCCAGGTGGTACAAGCCAGCGGCTACTGGATGAGAGCCAGGGCCTGGGGAGCCCCGCGGCGCCGGGCAGGAATCCAGTACTGGGCACCCCGAGGGTCTAAACCATCCCAGTGCCCCGGTGGAGGCTGCTGGGTCCGAGGTCTCAATGCCAGTCCAGGGCTGGGCACGGGCTCACCCTGGCCAGGTCTAGTGGGGACAGCGGACACCTTAGAGGCCAGAGGGGATCTTGGGGGGCTGCGCTCCAGACTGAGAGCCCTGAGCCTGTCTCGGGAGCCTCCCCCGGTGACACCCAGTGTGGCCGGCAGGCCGGGCCTCACCAGCAGGAAGCAGGGGCTGACGAACTTCCAGCACAGACGCCAGTAAAGGCTGGGCCGCTGCCCGGTCATTTGCTTGATGTCCTCGCTGAACTGCCGCACGCCTGGGGGTCAAGCCAGAAGGGTCAGACACGCGTGGCCTCGTGGTGTGGCCTTGGCCCCTGCAGCTGGGCCACGCTCCTGTAGCCAGGCCCCGCCCCTGGGCCCTCCGGCTGCTTGCTGGGCCCCTCCCTGTCCTCGGAGCGCGGCTCCACGTGTGCCATTTCGACTGGATTCTGATCCTGACGCTACGGGGTCTCTGGGGCCTCACGACGCCCCGCCCCCCAGGGCCACCCCCCAGATGCCCATGGAACGTCATGCCCAGGTGAGTGTCCACCTGGTGAGTGGCTCTTTCCGTGGTGTTGTCCAGCCCCTCTAGGAAATGACAGGCCGCGGGGGCAGCACCCTGCCGCCCCTCCACGCAGCTCCCCGCTTCACCCCCAGCCTATCATGGAAGCCGGCCCGGGACATGGAGGCAGACCCAGAGGCACCGTGGATGGGCGAGGGCAAACCCAGGGGTGGCCAAGAGGGGGCCGTCCCCTCCGGCCTCCCGGCGCCCGTGCAGACTGTGCCGCCGGAAGGGGTGCTGGACAAGTCCCATCTGTGCGGTGCTGTGGGGTGGCTCCGGGCTCAGGCTCTGGGCGCTGCTTCCAGCCTCCTCGGTGGGCTTGTTCCAGGGGTGCAGGGAGAGTAAAGTGGGGACAGTGCACTGGCTGCAGGTGCCGTCCGCAGGAAAGAAGGGCGGTGGCCTGGGGAGGCGTGGACGGGGGCAGCGGAGCTCAGCTAGCTGCTTCTGGAGGGACATGCCTCCCTGCGGTGGCGCCCTGTCCGGGACCGGGGGGGCGACCCCGACCACGAGCACCCAGCGGGAGCACGCTGCTGCAGGCCCGCACGAGCCGCCAAGGGCCTGGCTGGGGCGAGGCAAGGCCTGACCCTTGCGGGGAGAGCGGGGGTGGCGTGTGAGGCTGCCAGGTCGGTGCCCTGGGAAGGCACAGCTCCTTGGGCATCCGGGCATCATGGCGCCGGGAGGGGTGCATCAGGGGGTCCAGCCGACCCCGCAGGCTTAGAGCTGATGTGGGGTCCAGAGGCTGCTGGTGGGGGCAGGCCAGCAGCAGTGGCCCTGTGAGGAGGAGCTGAGGGCAGCATTCAGGGCACCCGGCCTCTAGGGACTTGGCACCGCCTCCTGCCAGCCGCTCTGCCCCAGGGCCTGGAGCCTCCTTCCCAGCACCAACGAGGGTGTCTGCAACTACATGCCCCCACCGGGCGCCTCTGACCACAATGAGGGTGCTGTCCTCACCGACCAGCTGGGCAGAGGGGTGGCCAGGCCCGCGCCCTCGGTGGAGCACCCTGACCCCTCCTGGAGCGAGAGGCGGCCTGCAGAGCTGACGCCTGGCCGGCGCCCAGAGCAGCACCCAGGGGCCCTGTCCTTACCGTAGAACCAGGCCACCCCGATGGCCTCGATGAGCACCCCGAACAGGATGGACGTGCCAGCTGCGAAGTGGTCCAGCAGTGTGAAGACGTAGATGCCGCCCTGGAAGAGGGGCCGCCGGACTCGGTGCCGGAGCCAGACCTGGCCTGCGGTCGGCTAGGCAGACCCCCCCTCACCGCCCCCAGCCCCACCCGGGCACGAGTTCAGCCGCACACAGCCGCTTGGGTTTGTCCTTTACGCAAAAATGAAAAGCCTGTGCCCTCCCCCGCCTCCCCCTGCACTCCTGGAGTCATCGGAGAGGCCACGCACGGCAGGTGCTCCAGGGACAGGCGTGGCCGGGCCCTCGCACACTCCGCCTGCTGCTGCAGGACAACAAGGCGGGTGCAGCCCAGGGAGCTGTCCAGGTGCTGAAGTCCCTCCAGCCCAAGTCCCCATCCCCCGTGGCCACGCCCCCGAGGGAGCACGCGGCTTGTCCGGGAGGATGCTGGCTCTGTCCCTGACAGCACCTACGTTGGTGACGCAGAAGAGGGACAGCAGGAAGGTGGCCAGGACGATGAAGAGAGTGAAGAGCTCCCGGTGCCGGTGCAGCAGCTGGAACTCGTCGATGAGGCCGGTGATGACCGACTCCATGCCGCCCATCTGCAGACACAGAGCGGGGCTGCAGGCCAGGCAGACGGGGCCAGGGACAGACGCCAGGTGGACGTGGGGCGGGCACTACCCAGTGTCTGTCCAGGGAATGGGCACCAGAAGGCGAGGCAGCCCTCCCAAGACCTCGCTGTGCACGTGCGGGAGTGGGGACCTGGAGGAGGGCGGGGGAACGCTGCGACAGAGAGGTGACTCTGAGGCGCCCCCACAGCGCCCAGCTCCACCAGACTTTTCTGAGCAGATGTCTCCGCTTAGTGGTTCCCAGGGCGCCTGGCCTGGCCTGGATGCTGGCCACTGGCCGCTAGCCAAGCCCTCCTGGTGACACGTCCTGACTCCAGGGTGGGTGGCCTCGGGCAGGTGGGTGCCCCCGTGGCTTGGTGAGCCTCGCTGCCTCTTTGGAGGGTTGTCTGCCCTGGGAAGTGCTGTTCTTGGGGCTCACCCTTCCAGCACTGATGCATCTGGGGTGCACCTGTGGGTGGGGAAGGGGCTGAGGGGGGCCTGACCTGTGCGAGTGAGGGGAACCGCAGTTGTCGGCACACCCGTGGCTGGTCACGGACCCTGAGGACCCACTCTTGGTCCCCAGCAGGCGGTGGGCAACGAGCGGCTCGGGCTAGACTGGGGCTGACCTGCGGCCTCCCAGTGCCACACTCACATGCACACGCGTGTGCACACAGGCACACTCAGGGCCACGGAAGGCCTAGGGGTGGTGGGAGGCTTCTGCCAGCCCTGCAGCGCCCGTTGTCCTGGGGCAGAGGCCCACCTCCCCGGCTCCCTGCTGCCGTGGCGTCTACTGCAGGCTGTGCCGAGCCAATGCCGGGGTGCACTCAGACGCCCCGCCCCAGGAAGAGCACCTGGGCGGCCACCGCCACACTGGGAGAGGGACGTGAGGCTGCGGGCCGGTGGGGTCTCACTCACGGCACTGTCGATCCCCAGGGCGAGCAGCATGATGAAGAAGACCACCGCCCAGGCCGAGGACAGTGGGAGCGTGGCCAGTGCCTCGGGGTAGATGATGAAGATCAGCCCCGGCCCTGGAAGTAAACCCCCAGACCCATGGGTGCGAGCCCCAGCCACGGCCCCGCCCAGACGCAGCTTCCTGCTCCGCTGGGTCCCCCCCACAGCCCCCCCACAGGACTCCTGCCCAGCCCCTGCAGCGATAAGACCCTCTAGATCCTCCTTCCTGCAGTTTCGGGGCGCTGGGGGAGACCGGATAAGGGTGGGGCTCTGCTCCTGTCCCCCAGGGCCCGTTTCCTGAGCAAGTGGAGGACCCACCACCCCAGTCCACACGCTTCACCTAGTGACCCGCAGCACCGTCCTCGCTATGGCCTCGGGCCGACAGCCGCTTTGGCTCGTGTAGCGAGGCTGCTGGGCAGACTGGCACCCTGGGGCAGCACCCGTGGAGGTGGCTGAGGGCTGGGGGGGGCCCTCTGGGCCTGGGGGGCCACAGGCGGTGGGCCTGGGGGGGCTGGTTGTGGGCCTACACAAGATGGGGGTGCAGGGCTCAGCCGGGACCTCATGCAGTTTGGTCCCCAGGATCCCAAAGTAAATGTCCCCGCAGGAAACGGGCAGTTGACCATTGTCACGGCCAGTCGTGCAGGCTGAGCACCCCAGCTCACCAGCCCCCCAGCCTTGGCCTCCAGAGCCGCAGCGCCCAAGCCTGCATGGGCACCTGGACAACGGCCTCCCGGATCTGTCTAAACAGGTGCTTGTTCCAGAAGCTCTCACAGGCAGGGCGGGGCCACCCCGGGGGGGGGGGGGGCTATAACGCCCAAGCCAGGACCCAGGCGAGGGCCTCAGCCTGCTTCTGACCCGCCGTCCCCTCTGGCGGTCAACACCCGCCCCCCACCCCCCTGAGGATCAGGGCTGCTGACATTTGCTTGCCCCAGCAGAGCGGCTGCTGCCTGGAAGGGGCTGGTTATTGCTATTTATCATAATAAAGGGCAGGAAGCAGGTGGAGGCTCCCGCAGGGTAAATCTCAGGCCTGATCTGCATCCGCCTCCCCTTCCCGACTCCCAGAGGCAGGGCCAGCCCCTGCCAGCCGCCTCCTGCCTTCAGAGTGGGGTCCTGACGCTCGGACCCCAGACCCACTGGGATGAGTGGCTGGCCTTCCAGGAGCTGCGGGCACCGGCGGGGTACCCAGTGCCCCCCCACCCTCGCCCCTGGCACCGGCAGGGTACCCCAGTGGCCCCCTGCCCCTCCTGACTCAGGGGTCAGAGAACTGCCACGGAGGCCCTGACCCGCAGGGTGTTCTGGGTGTGAGGAGCAGCCTGAGGGCGCGAGGCCTGCACACCTCCCTGGGTGGCCGGTCCCCAGGGGACACTGCCCGGCTCACAGCAGGGCAATCCCGAGGCGCTGGGTGGAGGCGCTGGCGCCAGGGCTGGCCAAGTTTTCACCCCCTGAGCACCAGCGGCCCCGGCCCCGTGCCCCACCCCTGCCCGCCTAGCAAGGCCGTGCCCTGGCCCCACCCAGGGTGCAGCCTGGCCGGCAGGTGCTGCAAGAGCTCCATGCCACATGCGCCGGACTTTGGGGCTTCCAAACCTACCCAGCTGGCACGCGGCAGCCGCTGGCAGGGGCCCTGAGGTGGGGGAGCAGCTCGTCAGGGCTGACCTCGCTCAGGGCTGTCACGCCCAGCACCCCAGCAGCACCCTCCAGCATGCACCCCCAGCAGCGCAGACAGCGCCCGGGGCCCCGGAGGCACGGTGCACCCAGAGACAGAACAGCCCCCTGCGCCACCCACTCCCCAGAGCCCGGGACCGGCCCCGTGTGCGGCCCAGACCTGAGTGGGTGCCAGGGCCGCGGAGACTCACCGTCCTTGGCCACGTCCCCAATGGGCACGCTGTGCTTCTGGGCCATGTAGCCCAGGAAGGAGAAGACCACGAAGCCAGAGGAGAAGCTGGTCAGGGAGTTGACTGAGGTGGTGATGATGGCATCTCTGCAAGAGCAGAACGGCCCCGCATGCGCTCCAGCCTCGCTCCAGCAGCCGCGCCGGGTGGGCAGCTGGGCGGTCAAGGGCCCGAGGTGTGCCCTTGCGGGCCTCTTGCGGAGGCTTGAGGCTCTGGGGTGCCCGGCCTTGGCTCTGGGTGGGCCCCTGCACCCCTCCGCCCACGTTCACTGGGGACGGCGAGGCTCCTGGGGCCGAGGCTCCAAGCCGAGGGTGGCATAGGGCCGCCAGCTGGGCCGGCAGACGGAGGAGGGGCCTGCGCCATGCTGCAGGCCGTCTGGCCCGGCCCTGGGTGCCTTCCCGGCGACTGGTCAGACGCAAGTTCTCATGGGGCGTCCCTGAGGCTGCCCTTCCCGGCTGCTGCCAGGGGCCCCGGCTGCTGGGGTGCCCTCTCTGAGAGCCGAGGGAGCAGGCCTCGACCTGTACCCTGACCGGGGGGCAGCACTCTGCAGGCCATCGGGTCCCAGACTGAACTCTTCCTGAATTCAGAAGGGTTTCTGCCGCAGTCTGGGGCTCCAGTCACTGGTCACCCTGGCCGGAGGCGAGTTCCCAGCAGCTTGTGGCTTCCCTGCGGGCACCGCCCTCCAAGGCCGGTCGGTAGCCCGAGCCCTCTGCGGGGCCAGCGATGAGCCACTGCGGCCTTGAGGTCTTGCCGGCTCGTTCCCCCTTCCTCTGGGGTCACCCATTTCCATAGTCACCGTGCCCCCACCCCAGGATGCCCCGAGCAGCAGCCCCCCATGGGGGGACAGCAGGGCTCACCTGTAGCAGTTGTTGGTGAATTTATTGTAACTGGAAAAGGCGATCAGCACCCCAAACCCCACGCCCAGTGAGAAGCAGATCTGGGTGGCGGCGTCGATCCAGACCTGTGATGGGGAGACGGCTGTTAGGGCCATGCAGGGGCTTCGGAGCCCGGGGCCACCTCCTGCCACCTGCTGCCTGGCTAAGGGAGCAGTCGTGCAGCCTGGCCCCCCCAGGGCTCCCCTGCAGCCAGTGGCAAGCGGGGGCAGGGCGGGGCTGACCGGGCGCCACTGCTCGCCGGCACTGTGAGGCCCGGTGCCTGGACAGGACACCTGCCCCTTTCCGGGATGCATCCGCCCTCGGCAAGCAGGCCGCGCTGAAGGCCTGCGGGGCAGTGCTCCGATGGGGAGGCCGGCAGGTGCGCGCAGGGTGACGCGAGGGGGTTCAGACGTGCACAGAGCCCAGTGTGAGCATGGCCCGTGCTGGGCACCCTCTTGGGAGAAACGCCTGAGCTCCGAGACAGGCTTGGGGTCCTTAGCAGGACAGCAGGGGGCTTAAAAGGCAAACGCGGCCTGCTCAGTCCAGATGAGCGGAGGGCCCTGGCCAGGTGTCGCTGCCCTGGGCAGCCGAGGGGACAGCAGAGGTACCGTCCGCCCTGGGCACCCCCTTGCTGGTCCAAGCCGCGGCCTGAAGCACGTCGGGGCGTGCCCCTCTGGGGAGCCTCTTCCCTGCCCGCGCCCGCCCTGCGCTCAGAGGCTGTCGCCAAGGGTTTTCAGCCAGAATCCTTCCCTCTTCGCTGAAAGGCCAGCCTGGCGCCGCCAAGTGTGGAGCAAGCGGCCGCTCGCTGCTGTGTGCGCACCGGGAGCCTTTCGCCCGGAGCTGTGGCTTCCGCGGGCCTGGCCCTTCGGCCTCGCTGGGGCTCGGGCTCGGGTGGGCAGCGAGGTCCTGGGCACAGCCGGGGCAGCCCTGGGGCTTGGCCCCGAGACCAGGGCTCGGGTTCCGTTGCTGAGCTGACCCCCAGGCGCCAGCTCCGGTCCTCGCCCCGCCCCGCGCAGCTCCCCTGCGCCCTCCCCACCCCCTTCTCAACGGACAGTGTTGGGGTGCAGGTGGGCCGCACAGCTGCGCACAGTAGGGCGGCGTGCACCTGCCGGCCTTACGGGGTGAAGAAGAGGTCCAGGCTGAGGGGCGCCTCGGGCTCAGCTTCTGAGCGCAGCCCCGCCCCCGCCCCGCCATCCCCGGCCCCGCCCCATACGCCAACCTGGCCCACCTGCCCGGCCCCGCCCCGCCCCCAGGCCCCGCCCGCCAAGGCCCTGCCCCCACACCCGCCCCGGCCCCGCCCCTACGCCAGGCCGCCCGCCCCGGCCCCGCCCCGGCCCCGCCCCGGCCCCGCCCCCACCTGCCTAGGCCCGCCCCTACGACAACAGGTCCCACCGGCCCCGGCCCCGCCCCGCCCCGCCCAGGCCCCGCCCCCGCCCCGCCCGCCCAGGCCCCGCCCCGCCCAGGCCCGCCCGCCCAGGCCCCGCCCCGCCCAGGCCCCGCCCCGCTCACCGAGGCCTCGCAGAGCCGGCGGAAGTCCACGCTCAGGTAGGCGCGGATGCCGTCCAGGGCGCCGGGCAGCGTGACGCCGCGCAGCAGCAGCGCGAAGAGCACCACGTAGGGCATGGTGGCCGTGATCCACACCACCTGCGGGCGGCAGCGCGCTCGGGCCGTGCCGGCGCCGGCGCCCGGGGTCCGCGCGGGGGCTCCCGCCGGGCCTGCCCTGGGTGCCCGGGCCCGGGCCCGGGGCGCGGGGCGCGGGGCGCGGGGAGGACCCACCCGGGCCTGCTCCCGGGTCAGACGCGCCAGGACTTTCATCAGCAAAAAATGTACTTTGCTTCGACGTGTGGACGTGGGCGTCCCCGCCCCCCCTTTCCAGCGCGCCCCGGAGCACCCACCTTGCCCGAGGTCTTCACCCCCTTCCACAGGCTGAAGTAGAGCAGCAGGATGACGAGCGCCAGGCAGCAGGTGAGCTGCCAGCGGGGCGGGCCCAGGTCCTCGATGCCGCTGCTCTGGTGCAGGTGCAGCACCCCGCGCCTGGGGAGGGAGGCGGCGTCAGAGGCCCGGGCCCCAGGCGCTGTCCTTGAGGCGCGGGGTGCCGGCCGCGCAGGGGTGAGGGTTGCGGGGCGTTGGCTCTGCTGTCCAGGCCAGGGCCTGCGGCTGAGTGACCCCTGTGCCCATCCCTGCGGCGTCCTGGCTTGCGTCCAGCTCCCTGGGGCGCGCAGTCGGCACTCGGGCCTGCACCCGGCCCCAGCACTGCCGGGAGGGCCCCGCGGACAGGACTCGAGCCAGGGGGGCCGCAGAAGGAGCCCCACCTTCCTCCCCTCTGCCCACTAGGGCACATCCGCGCCCTGCTGGGTCTGCTAGGGGTTTGCAGTCCTGGTTTTGGGACGGGGGCACCAAACCAGCGCCTTCTCCCGCCGCCTCAGCGCTCCTGGGCCGCTCGGCCAAGCTCCGCCCTCCCACACCCGCAGGGCCACCAGAGGGAAGCAGAGGCATCCTCATCACAAAGGGGTGCAAGACCTGGAAACGGGGGGGGGGGGGGGGGGGGGGGGGGCCGGCGAAAAGCAGGGAAGCACCAAGTCCCGGCGGCCATGGGTGCAAGGCCAGGGCCTGTGCAGACACCACACCTGGGCCTGGGAGCTGGGAGCGGCTCCACAGAGCCTGCGCTGAGCGCTCAGGCCCCAAAACGCACCCCGTTGGCACCGCCTCCAGCACCACCCAGCGCAAGCCCGCAGGAAAGGCCCGGGGCAGCCTTTCTCCAGAGGGGATGTGGACCCCTGACCCATCATCAGGACTGCAGGACCAGAGACGCGCTGTCCAGGACAGGACAGAGGGGCCGAGCACAGCTGGGGGTGGGACGGAGCAGGCGTGAGGGCGGCTCCCCGAAGTTAAGCAGAACAGTCCTATGACCAAGCAGCTCCACTTGGGTTTTTACTCAAGAAAACCGAAAGCAGGGACTTGACAGGCCCCGTCCCCGGGCCAGCAGAGCAGTGGAGGCTGGCGAGCCAGGGGCGCGCGGGGAAGCCCGGTCTACACGCGCGGGCCTCACGAGGGAAGAAATCCTGAAACGCACCTCAACTCGCGTGAACCTCGAGCACCTGGCACTGAGTGAAACACGCCAGTCACGCAAGGACAGTCCTGGGTGACCCCACTCACAGGGGGCCCCCGAGGATCAGAGCCACAGACACAGACGCCAGATGAGGGGAGGAAAGCAGGGGCGGTGGGCTGGGGTGCGGGGCGGACACTCTCGGGTCCGGCTGCTGCTGAGAAGGGCCAGAGATGACAGCGAAGGCGGGGAGGCCCGAAGGACCCAGGACACAGACTGAGGACAGGCCCGAGACCTGGCCCGGCTAGTGGGGGGCTCGCGCTGAGGGGCTGAGGGCAGCAGCCGGTGGAAGAGCCAGCGGCGCCGTAGTCAGAGGGACAATGGCTCTCGTGCAGGTGGCACGTGGGGCCGGGCTGGGCCGGGCACCGAGGGTGTCTTTCTGGACGGAACTGGGCCTCGGGCCCGCCTGGGGAGGGCCAGGGAGGGAGCTGCTCTGGAGGGAAGCGTGGCCCAGCCCCGGCCCACTCCGCCCAGCCCCTGCCCGCTCCCAGACCCGGCCTGCTCTGCCCAGCCCCAGCCTGCTCCGCCCAGCCCCGGCCTGCTCTGCCCAGCCCCGGCCTGCTCTGCCCAGCCCCGGCCTGCTCCCGCCCAGCCCCGGCCTGTTCCCGCCCAGCCAGCCCGCACAGGTCAGTGCAGCGGGGTGGGGAGCCGCCCATGGGCACCCAGAGGAGGGGCCGGGCTGGGGTGGGGGGCGCTGGCTCGCCCATCGGGGCGCAGGGACTCACTCGAAGTACTCGGCGGCGGGCGTGGTCCTGAAGGAGTCGCCGGGGCCGGCGCTGGTGTTGCCGGCAGGGGCATCGGAGCAGTTGGGGCTGTTCCAGGTGTGATTGCAGCGGGTCCAGGGCAGCTCCAGGGCGAAGGAGGAGAAGAGGTAGTGCAGGGCCCAGGCGATGATGACGTTGTAGAAGAAGCCCACGTACAGCGAGATGAGGATGACCGTGTAGCCCACGCCTAGGGCGGAGGCGGCCGGTCACCCTTCCCGTGGACATGCTGCCTGTGCCCACAGGCAAGGCTGGCAGAGGGCCGCCATCCAGGCCACTGGGTCCGTCTGTGGCCATCTGGGGCCCAGGGCCCCCAGGGTCCTGCCTGACCACCCGAGACCTCTTAGGGCTACCAACGCCATTGAAGACCTTCCAGGGGGCCTGGGGCCATCCATGACCGTCCATGACCACACGTGACCATCCAGGGTGACCCAGGGCCATCCATGACCATCCACGACTGCGCATGACCCCCCGCGACCCCCCGGGGGCCCAGGCCTTCTCAAGGGCCCTCTCTAGGATCACAAACCTGGGTTGGGGGCCAGGCTCGGAGGGGCTCTGGAGACCAGACCTGACCAGAGCGATGAGCGGCTCGGGGAGCTGTGCCTACCTGCTGGGGCGTCGGGGTCCTCCCCTGGCACAGGAGCTGCTCTGTCCTACCGAGGAGGGCAGCGTCCTGCTGGCCGCCCCACCCGCGAGCCACGGCTCTCCATGCCGACAGTCCTCTTCAGCCCTGGGGGGCTGGTTCGGCCCAAACTGCTCTGTGGCCTGGCCCAGCGCCCTGCCCGGTCCTGCTGGCCCTGCTGCGGAGGGCTGCGCCCCCAGTGCCTTCTGCAGGGGATGGTGGTGGATCTTTATGGTAACCACAGCGAGGGGCCCTATGCTACGTGCGGCCCCTGCACTGGCGTCCTCCTGTGCTGAGGGGGAAGGGCGGCATCCAGCCTGACTTGTCTCTGGGCATCAAGCAGACCCAGCGTGGGCAGAGACTGAAGGCGGGCGCTGGTGCCCTCCCGCCCAGGAAACGCCTGGGCAGGAGGACCAGCCCAGCTGCTTCTTGGAGGCTGTGCTGGCGGGGGCTGGGCCTGGCGAGTCAGTCTTCGCCGCATGGCGCGGAGCTCGCAGGAGAGCCTGGCACCCAGGTACTGCCCATCACAAAGCCACACTGCCGGGCAGCCGTACGTTTGGAGCCCACGTCATCAGGAGGCCACGCTGTGGGGGGCCACGCTGTCCACGTTGTGGGGAGGCCATGCTGTCCACATTGTGGGGGGCCACACTGTCCTCATTGTGGGAGGCCACGCTGTCCACACTGTGGGAGGCCACTCTGCCTCAATGTGCGCCACAGACTTTGCCATCTGGTGGCTGCGGGGATGATGCCTTGAAGCCTTGTGAGGTGAAAGCTCTCCCCTAAGCGCTCAACTTGTGACTCTGGGAGCGGAAGACACCTCTGATCAAGCCCCGGAGCGGACTTGCCTCTGGGCCTTCAGGAACCAGCAGGGTGTGGGCAGCTGTCCCCCTGGGCGGAGCGATGTGCTGCGAGTGCTGACTGGTGCTCCCAGAGCAGAGGGCTCCCTCCACACTGGCCGGCCACACCGGAGCCCCTCCTGGTGCCACAGGCAAAGAGGCCACCTCTGACTGGGCTGCGGGCTCGGCCCTGAGGGGTCACCCCAGTTTCTGGGCCTGGGTGCAGAGCCTGAGGGGGCCGCAGGCCCAAGGGCAGCCCCTCGCCGCCCCACCTTCACCAGGGCCCTCCTGCCCATCGTGAAGACGGCCACCCTGCCCGGTCCCCCGCCGCCGCCGCTGCCCACGGGCCTTGACGACGCTGCACGGGTCCTGTGCCCAGCAGCCTCCCGGGGCGCCCCAGCCCCTGCTTTGGCGTCCGTCCTGGATGCCAGGAGGACGGGGGCTGCTCATGGACCGCCCCCGCCGCGCCCGCCGCCCCGTGTCTAGAGTCTCCCGCGCGTCTTTATGCGGCCCGGCGGGTGCCGTGGCCTGGTGTGGTTTCAAGGCACCGTCACCTATTTCGAAAGAGGGCGCGCCTGATCGATCACGCAGAAACACTATTGACAACGCGCCATCGATTGCTCTGCCCGTGAACGGGGCGGTGTCACACGGACGGTGGGAGCCGACTCTGGCAAAGGCCGGGGGCATTTCATGCCCCAGCCCTACGGAGGCAGCCCCTGGGGGCCACGGACGCGTGTGGAGAGCGTGGCCCCCACACGGGCCCAGGTCAGGCTGCAGAGCAGGAGCGGACCCCATAGGGCAGCGAGGCCCCCCGTGCGCCAGTGCCACGGAAAGACTGGGGGAGACTTGAGACCCTGGTCCCCAGGGTCCCCAACAACCCCAACAACAAAGCCTCCCTGCAGGCCCTGGCCAGCGGGGGGCCCTGGGGAGCCCACACAGGGCAGCCGAGGCACAGCCCCGTGACGGCCCTCATGGGCAGGCGTCGGGCGGCATGGGGGGCCGGCTTAGTGGGCGCTGGCGCCCTGTGGCCACAGGAAAAGGAAGGACGGGGCAACCCCTGCCCTGTGCTCCCGTTTGGGGCATTTTAACTGGGGTCTTCACTCGTTACGTGAGCCCCTATTTAATGAGACGTGAGGCTAGAGGGAATTAGCTTTTTTAGAGACAAGGACGAGGAGGCGCTGGCATCAGCGTGTCCAGACCGCAGGGATTTGCCTCCCCTGGTGGGGGCCACGCACGCTGCCCGGTGCCCCCCAGACGCCCAGGCCCCCACGGCGGGCACCACGGAGCCCAGCCGCAGGCGTCCCCACGGGCGCGCCGTCTCTTCAGCAGACACAGCCCAAGCTGGCCGCACAAGGCTCCGAAGCCCGCGGTGGGCACTCTGTGATCTGGGAAGGCCGCCCCAGCCTCTGCCCACTAGACCCCCTGCCCTGCCGTTTCCACACCTGGACGCGAGCCTGAACGGGGCTGACCACGTCTGCCTGCTGTCTGCCGGGGGCGGGGCACACCTGCCCGGGCTGCGGGGTCCAGCCAGTGGCCACCCGGGCCAGAGGCCTGACCAGCTGCGCCTGCTGGGGGTGAGCGGTGAAGGGTGGAGTCACCGGCGGCAGTTTGCGAGCCGCACTGTGGAGACGCCTCAGTTGGAGAAAGTCCTTCCAGCGGCCGGACTGACAGAGGGAGCTACCTGCGGCCAACCCGGGCCGTGCCGCCTCACTGCAGTGGCGCCCCATGGAGGTGGGCGTGGGGGGGCGCAGGGGGCGTGCGTTGCTGGCTGCCCACTGGGCTCAAAGGCCCTTACTCTGGGCATGCAGACACGGCGACCGGGCGCCCGTCTGTGGGCGGGCCAGCGTCCTCCCTCCACACTTGCCCAGAATGTCCACTGGCCGCGGGGACGCTGACCAGGGGTGGACGAGGCCACAGAGCCGGAGGAGCCGTTGCCTGCTTGTGCCTCGGGCTGTTCCTTTGGGATCCCTGAGCGGACGTGCCCGCGCTGTGCCAGCGGGCAGCTGCAGACATGTGCAGCCTGACGTCCTCCTCTGCCTCTCCCTGGGGAGGGTCGGGCCGGGGCGTGCGTCTCCGCTGAGCCGGTTCCGCGCAGAGCACCAGGGCCCGCGCCGTCCATCTGGGCTGCACCACGCGGCCGGCCGGGCGCTGAGTCACTCCGCCTTGGAAAAACCCGCTCAGGGCTGTGTGCCAGTGGGCAGGCGGGGGGCCGGCGCAGCCCTTTGCCCCGGCCAGCGGCCCTCCTGCAGGCCTGGCCCTGCGGCCTTGGGCGTCTGCTCTCCTCCCCGTGGCTCATCCCGAGCTTCTGGGCAGGGCGGAGGACGTGCTCCCTGGGCTGACCCGCGGAGCCCGACAGGCCTGCGACCAGGTCCCGCTGAGTCCTCCCCCCGACCCGCGCGGCTGCGTCTTGGTGTCGGGACGGCGCCTCCGGCCGCCTGGGCCCCCACGGGGTTTGCCTGGTGGTGCCGGCGCCTGCCCAGCCCCGGGGCCGCTGGGGATAGAGGTGTTGGCAGAGCGAGCCCTCGCCGGGAGGCGGGCAGGGAGTGGACGGCGCACAGAAGCCAGAAAGACGATGGCGGAACAAGGCAGAGGGAGGGGCGCAGAGTCCGCCCACCTCCGCCCCAAGTCCACGCCGTGAGGGAGGCCAGTGAGCCACCCGCCCGGAGCGGCCACGCTCAGGCCTGGGCGGCGCCGCCCGCCACTTACCCTTCAGCACCGGGCAGATCTTCCAGACGCCAGCAGCGCCCTCGCGGTTGAACTGCCCGAGGGCCAGCTCCATGTAGAACAGCGGCATCCCCGCGATGACCATGAAGAGCAGGTAGGGCACCAGGAAGGCGCCTGCGGGGTGGGCGGAGACCTCAGCCTGGGGCCGCGGGGCCCTCCCGGCGTGCCCATCCCAGCCCAGGCCCCTGCTGCCCGCTCTCCGGGGCTGTCGCAGGCTGGGGCGGCCAAGTGTCCTCGCCCACTGCCCAGCACAGCCGCTGCCCAGTCATCGAGTGGCCTTGGGCAGAGCGGTGGCCGCGCCTGTGCATGGGGACCCTGGGGGGCCCCTCCAGCCGATCCTGCCAGGCCTGGGGCCCCAGCTCATCAGCACCCCTGAGCTGTGCTGGGGGCCCCGGGGCTCTGCTGGGGCTCCGGCTGGTGGGTGGTGCCGGGTCAGGGCAGCGCCCGGGTCCCCTTGGAGCGGCTCCTGCCTCCAGCCGGCCCGGGACACGCGGCCTCGAGTGTCCGGCGGGGATGCGCGTGGAGGCGGCGGGCAGGCACGTGGCCCCGGGCCCCCCTCACCCCCGGCTGCCCGCCCGGCTCACCGCCGCCGTTCTTGTAGCAGAGGTAGGGGAAGCGCCAGACGTTGGCCAGGTCCACCGCGAAGCCGATCACCGACAGGAGGAAGTCGATCTTCTTGCTCCAGGTCTCCCGCTCCTGGGCCCCCACGGGCGTCTTTGGGGGGCTGATGAGCGTGGAGTTCGTGAGCTGCACCCCGTTTTGCTCCTTGACCAGGACCAGCTCCATGGCCTTGGGGGCCACTGCGTTGGGCTCCGTGGTGGGGGCCGTCAGGGCCAGGGCGCACTCGCCGTGACTCATGGCGCAGCCGCTCCGCTCCCTCGGCCTTGGGGGGGACAAGCAGACCTAGCAAGGCGGGCACTGAGCACCCCAGGGCAGGTGGCGCTCCCCGCAGCCCTGCGCCCCCTCCCCTGAATGCTGGTTTTCAGCAGCCGCAGCAGAGCCCCGACACCACCCCACGTGCGCCTGTCAGGCCGGGAGCCCCACAGCCGGGCCCTGGGGATGGAGCAGCTTGGGGCTGCAGACCGAGTGTGAAAATAAGGAGCTGGGAGCTCGGAGTTGCCCTCGCGGCCTTGCCGCTCCCTGGTGCCCCCCCACCCCGCCCGCCCGGCACAGCCCCCAGAGACCACAGCATGCCCAGGAGGGCAGCGTGGACGACTGCAGGAGCCCCTTGGCGCGGGGTCCCGGGGGACAGAGCCGGGGCGCAGTCACAGCAAGAGCGGGGCTCACGGCCAGGGGCGCTCAGACATGCCCGCCGCCCCCACAGCCCCTTCCCATCCAGAGCTGGAGGGAGACCCTGGGGGCAGGGGGGGTGCGGGCAGGGGCTGCAGAGGGGAGGGAGGGAGAGACGCGGGGCGGGCTGGGCGGGTGACCCTGCGGCGTGGCCCCTGCCTGGTGACAACTGCTCGTCGCTGGCCGGGGCGAGGCGCTGCCCGCGGGTGGGTCTGGTCTGGTTGGGGCTGCAGCGGGCGCTGCCCAGGGGAGGCTGGAGGCTCTGAGCCCAGCCCTGGCCACACCCCCAGCCTGCTGCCCCCTACCCTGGACATGCCCCCAGCCTGCTGCCCCCACCCCCGCCCCCTCCGCCCAGCAGCCCCGCCTGCGCCCCGCAGGTCTCAGAGGCAGGCGGGGTGCACGGGGTGGGGGGTCCCCAGGGAGGGGCTTCCTTGCTGCGCCCAGCGACGCCGGCAGCCCGTGCGCGGCCCCCTCGTGTCCAGCCCGCAGGTGCGGCGCCCGGGGCCGGGGCCCAGCCTCGAAGCCGCCGCGGGGAGCCGGCTGGAGACTGGACGGGACCTGGGGGCGGCGGGACCCCCCACCCGACCCCGGGCGCTGCGGGCCGGGCCGCGAGGCAGGCGGGCGGGGCTCGGCCGGGCCGGCGCGGGGCGGCGCAGGTGGCGGGGCCGTCGCCGCCCCGGACCCCGGACGGCAGCCGCTGGCCGCCCCAGGCCGCTCCCGGGCGCGGGCAGCCTGGGGTCCGGGGGCGCGGGCGGGCGCGGGCAGCCTGGGGTCCGGGGGCGCGGGCGGGCGCGGGGCGCGGGGCGCGGGCGGGCGGCAGAGGCCGCGGCGCGGGCTCACCTGGCGCCGCCAAGCTCCGCGCTCCGGTCGGGCGAGGCGGCGAGAGCCCGGCGGGGACTTTGGGCGCCGCCGCCCCGCGCCTCTTATCGAGCCCCGGGCCGCCCCGCCCGCCCGCCCGGCGCACCCCGCCCCGGCTCCGCCCCCGCCCGCCCGCGCCCCCGCCCCGCGCGCCCGCGCCCCGCGGTCCAGGCGGCCGAGCGCGCCCGGGTCCTGGCCGGGCAGAGGGAGCGCGCGGCGGGGTGCCCGGGCCGCCCCCTTCTCCCCCCCCACCCCGCTGCGCGCACCCCGCCCCGGGCCTCCCTGCCCCGTGCCCCCCCCCGCGCCCACCCTGCCCCTGCCCCGCCCGCTGCGCCCACCCGGCCCCTGCCCCGGCCCGCTGCGCCCACCCCTCCCCTGCGCCCCAGCCCGCTGCGCCCACCCCGCCCCTGCGCCCCAGCCCGCTGCGCCCACCCCGCCCCTGCCCCGGCCCGCTGCGCCCACCCCGCCCCGCGCCCCGGCCCGCTGCGCCCGCCCCGCCCCTGCCCCGTCGGCCCCGGGACCCCGGCCTCCTCCGTATGCGCTCCAGCCCCAGGGGTGCTCCAGCCCCAGGGGTGCTCCAGCCCCAGGGGCTGCTGCAGTGTCTGCCCCAGACCAACCGCCCTGCCCCTCGCCCCAACAGCCTGGGGGGGCAGCGGCTTTGGGGGCAGTGCCCTGGTGGGAGCGAAGGACTGGTCACCTGGCATCTATCTGGCTGGGCTGGAACCTTGGCAGGCGCCCCAGCAAATCACCCACAGCGCAGAGGCCCGGGCCGGCCCCAGCGGCCCCAGCGGCCAGCAGCAAGGCCTTGGTGAGTCTCCTCCAGGCGGCCAGGATGGTCAGGGCTGGGGTCAGGCCCCCTGAGGCGCTGACCACGTGGGGGCACCTGCATGTGTCCCGCCCTTCACCCGCCTGCTCCTGGCCAGCCCCCTCCTCCGCCTGGCCCGGGGGGGCCGGCAGAGCTGACTCCGAAGGCAGAACCCCCTTGGGGGTCAGGCCGCTGTGGCAAACACCCCGCAGGTGGCGGAGGGCCAGGCAGGGGGGCGCAGGGGGGCCAGGTCGGGAGCTGGCTGGGGGTGCAGGTGGGGGACACGCCGAGAGGCACACTGACCCCCCAGCCCTGGAGGCTGGACGCTGAAACCCTGAGGCCAGGGCTCGGCCGTGCACAGCTGACGGCACTTGTCAGGGGGCTCAGCCTCCCCACGCTGGCCCGGGGCTGACCCTGCTGCCTGCCGAGGAGGCTGCACCGTGGCCAGCTCCCTGGGAGGGGCTGCTGTGCCCCGGCTCCCAGGTGGCAGCTGCTAAGGTGGGGTCCCTGTGCGGGCCGGGAGGGGTTGCCCGCCCTCCCCCCACCCTCTGGCCCTGCACAGTGGCGCGGCCGTGGCGGGCCCACACCCGGGGAGCTGGGGCCGAAGCCTGGGATGGGCAGCCCATGGTCAGGCGGGCCTGAGGCCCCAGGGTGGGCGCTGGGAGGGTCTGGGCAGCGGGGACGGTGTGTGGAGGCACCCGGGGCTCCGAGTTCCGAGAGTCCAGCCTGTGTCCAGCGACTGACAGCCGGTCGCCTGAGGTCAGGGTGCGGCCGCGGTTCCTGGGGCCTTGGATGTGCTGTCCCCTCACTGGATGGGGCTCCCAGCCCTGGGGACCCTGTGCCGCACTGGGGGCGACAGGGCCGGGCCCGGGTGGTGTGGTGACCCCACTTTTGGTCACGGGGCCTTTTCCTGTCGTCGGCCTCCGCCCTCTGCCGCTCTCAGCCCTGCGGTCACCCAGGCCAGGGACCAGGGGCAGCTCAGGGTTTTGAGTCCTGCCGTGTAGGACGCTGGCCGAGCGAGGACAGTGTGCACGGCCGGGCACACGGCCTGGGGGAGCCGGGCAGCCTGGCAGGCCACGGGCTCAGGCACCGTCCCAGGCCCCCAGCACAAGCCAGGTGTCCAGTGGCTCCAGCCTGTAAGCTGGGCACGGTGGGGTCCTGGTGCCCCCAGTGGGGGCCGCGCCCTCCAAAGCAGCAACCCAGCCTCAGCCCGAGCCTGTGGTGCCCTGGCATCCCGGGCTGAGGGCGCGTGTCTCCTGCTGGGCGCTGGCCTCCGGGTGCTCAGCCAGGCTGCTCATGGACTTGAAGCTCTGCAGCTGGCGTGGCCGCGCGTGGGGGGACCTCATCGCGAGATGAGGACCTGCGCGGTCTTGGCTCTGAGGTGGACATGCAGTGGCCGGCCCCGCCCTGTGAGGAGTGGCCGCCATGTCCCTCTCCGCCCGCTGCCTCCAACCTGACCGTCCTGCCCTCCCGCCTGCACCCCCTGCTGCTGGCTGCCTCGCTCCCCTCCTCCCTGCACTCCCCGGCGCCCTGCGGGGAGTGGGGAGGTGTGGCTGCTGTGCTCCACCCCCACCTGAGTGCTCCAGCCCTGGGGGGCCCTTCTGCGCCTCGGGGTGGGCTCCGTGGGTGTGTGTCTGGGAGGGTGTTTGCTTGTGCCGGGGGCCGAGTGTGCTGGGTGCCTTCGCGGTGGCACCCGGTTCTGCGGGGCCCTCTCGGCGCTACTGCCCGGCCCAGGGGCCGGAGAACGAGCTCATCTGCCGCTCGTCCCCTTCTTGGGCCGGGCCCTACCCGGTGCGGCCAGCCCTGGACGCCGGTCTGGAGGGGCCCTGGGCACCGCGGGGTCGGGTCACTCCAGGCCGGGCCATCCCCCTCCCTGGGGACCCAGGCCTCGTGGGGGCCGGGTCATTCGTGCTCGTGTGAATGTTCTGGGCGTAGGTCGGCCACAGGCTGCTGGCACGGCCTGGGCCGGCCCTTCTGGCCTCGCCTGTGAGCTCTGCTGGCCAGGCCCGAGCGGGGCCTGGGGGTCGGCACCTCCTCAGTCCGGAGCCCTCGCCGGCCCCAGGTGCCCGCGCCCAGCCAAGGCGGCCGGGGTTGGGGGGGCCTGGCCGGCCCGGCCCGGGGTGGGGGTGGCTCTGCTCGGCGCGTAGCGGACTTTGAGGTAAACATTCTGAGGTTTATCGAGATTTGCCCGCGGCCTGCTCGGCTGCCGCTCCGCGCACACTTGAAGTGGCAATTAAGTCAATTTGGCAAATGGGGCTGTTCCATCTTCTCCATAATTGCCTTCCCTCCCCGTGGCCCCATCGACCGCCCGCGGCTGTGCCCTCAGCCTGTGGGCTCTGCTGCCCCGCGCTGGCTCGGGCGCTGCCCTGGGCGGGAGTGACCGCCTGTCGCCGCGCTGGGCAGGTGGCGCTGCCTGCGCCTGCGTGGGATGGGGAGACTGGGGGGCTCCCCGCCCTGCCGGCGTCTCGACAGGGACCTGAGTCCCCAGAATTAGTTATTTCCTGCTTCGTCTGGATAAAATGAGGATCTGAAACCCGTTTTCTCTCCTACTGGCCTCTTGTTTACTTTGTTGGGGCGTTTGCTTGATTTCACGGGGGACTCACAGGCGTTAGCTGGACTCACAGGAGGGCGTTAGCTGGTCACAGCCCCCCAGACCCGCCCCTCCATGCCCCGGGAGCTGGCGGGCAACACCACGCTGCCGCTGCTTGCTGGAGACGCCTTCGTTTGCCCTTGATTTGGGAGCTGTGCTGTGCTGTGAGCGCAGCACTGGGGCAGACGCTTTAATCCTGACGCCGCCTTGGCCTCGGGGACCGCAGACTCCCCCACCCCCGTCCCCAAAGCTGCTCAAAGCTGCCCGGGTGGGGCCCTCCAGGGTGGCCCTCGGGGCTTCAAAACAGACTCCCCCAAGCCCCACTTGTCGGTTGTCGGTCTGCTCTGCTCTGCTCGTGGCTGGCGATGCACCTGGCGGGCGGCTAACAGCCCATGGAGGGGATGCAGGGTTCCCGCCCGCAGGGCTGGCCGGGCCCCCCGGCCACCCGCGCTCGCCTAGGCGCTGCAGACTCTTCTCATGCCCCTGACCCCATCCAGCGCCCACCTGCTGGCCTGGCACAGCCGCAAGGGCGAGGCGCAGGACGAGGTGCAGGACAGCAGCCAGGCAGCCAGCAAGCTCCTCGGCCCCGCCTTGCCCCCAGGCACCAGCAGGGTCAGGGCCGCAGGGACCGCCCTCCCCAGGGCCTGGACTTCACCCTCCGCCCACACCTGCCCACACCTCTGCGTGTGGGGAGGGGCTCCCCGCACCCCTCCTCCTGCTGCCCGCCGGGACGCCCAGAGGCTGGGCACTGTCTGGGTCCTGCACCCCAGCTAGGGACAGCAACCTGGTGACCTGGGTGTGGAGCCACTCCCCCCGGACATGGCAGGCACCCAGGGTGGCGCCCTGGCCCCATTCTCTGCACAACCTCCCCCCCCCCCCCCCCCCGCCTCCATCCCTAGCTGGTGAGGCGTGGCCCCATGTCCATGTGGAGTGCTCTGCTCGGGGGGCTGTACGGCCTCCCCAGTGCCCCCGGCTGCCCCAGATGACTTCACTCGTCCACTTTGCTGCCCCCAGTCTTGGTGCACCCACTTTTGCTGCAAGAATTCACTTGCTGCCAGGTGAGGGTGCTCTACTGCCAGATGAGTGCTGCCAGATGCGCTGACAGGCGAGTGCTGCCAGGGGAGTGCTCTGCCAGGTGACTGCTGCCAGGTGAGTACTCACAGGTGCATGGTCTGCTGCCAGGTGTGCTCTGCGGCCCACTACAGCACTGGGCTCTGGTCCTGTTCCTAGCCCTGCATGGCACTGCCACTCCTGGCCCTGGGCAGCCCGCACAAGTGCTGGGGTCCTCCTGAAGCTGGGCGGGCAGCGGGCGCTGCCCCGGCCCCAGGTGCTCTTGCCGGAAGGCAGCTGAAGCTCCAGCTCTTAGTATGGGCATTGGGCCTCGGTCGGGGAAGCATCTGGTCCTGGGTGGCCAGGCTGCAGCCTGTGTGTGTGCACGCACGCGCATGTGCACGTGAGCACCTGCTTGTGTTGGCTTCTCACGCGCCCCTGCTGCGTGGCCCCCACAGCCCGGCTGAGCCCTTGCAGCTGCCGCCCGCCCCCAGGGACACAGCCCACGGGGCCCAGCCGGCCGGGAAGAACCACTCGGACACAATAGGGGGTCGTCCACGCTTTATTCCCCACGGCCACGCTGCCCACGGCGCCCACAGCTCTGGCCCGAGCGGGCAGGGACGGGCGGGAGAACAGACATCCGTTCCTGGTCTGTTGTCAGAAGCTTTTCTGGAAACACTTGGCAGCATTTCAGGAAAAAGCCCGTCATGTGCAGACGGGGGCGGCTGCCCCTCGGAACATCTCGGCCTGTCCACCCTCACCCACCCCGTGGCCTCCTCCCTGGGGGGCTGCCCCCCACTCTGCGCGCGAATCGGGCGCCCAGGCGGTCTCTGGCCCACGCTGCCCGGTGCGCCTCCGGACTCCTGCAGGGGCCGTGGCCAGGAGGCGCCGCTGCCCTGGAGGTCGTTCAGACACCAAGTAAGGAGGGAGTCCGCCCCAGGGCCGGCACGGGGCCGCGCTGCCCAGAGGAGCCCGCTGTCGTGGGACCGCCTGAGCCGTGGAGCCTGGGGCTCGGGGCCAGGCTGCCGTGCGTGGGAGGCGCCGGACACAGACGTCTCCCCGATGCCGCCGGCCTGCGTGTGGCGAGCGGCCGGCGCCTGTCAGGCCCACACCCCTGCGCCTCGGCCGGGCTGTGCTGCCCAGCGCCAGCTCCTGGGCTCACGGCAGCGGCCGGCCGGCCCCACAAGGCGGACACCAGGCCCCGAGGTTTATAAAAAGGGCCTGGAAAAGGGGGGGATGCGGAGAAGGAGTCGTGGGCGGCCCGGGCAGGACGACGGCCTCAGTGCCCCTGAGAGTCGTCCGACCCTCGGAGAAATGAAGTAGAAAACGATTTTCATCCTAAAAAAAAATGCTGGATTTTTCCTGAAGTATCTAAATGAAGTTTATAAAATACTCACGAGCTCCCACAAATATAGAAACGTTTAAAAACCACAGCTCCACCCGGTGTCGGGGGGCCGTGGCGGCGGCTCAGAGCGGGGCCGGTGGGCGGGCGGCCCTGTGGGCAGGCCCAGGGCGGCTGCGGCGCAGCCTGGGCGCGGGACGCCACGGGGCCCGCAGCGTGTGCCCCCTGCGCCACGAGCCCCTCGGCCAGTGCCTCCACCCACAGCGGCCAGGCCGGCCCAGGCCCCAGCACAGCCTGGGGCCCCGGTGCGGCCCAGAGGCGGCTGCAGAGGGAGCGGCCAGCCCTCTAGGACCCGCCGTCCTAGTCCAGCTTCTTGCTGAGGGGCTGCCCCCGGACTCCGGCATCCGAGTTTTCGGGGCTGAAGTCGGCACAGAAGCCGTTGGGCGTTGGAACTGAAGGGGGCGTTTGCGAGCTACTCTCAAAATGCTGCTGGGCAGGGTGCAGGTACTCCTCAGCGAAGTCGGGGTGCATCTCCGCAAACCTGGCGAAGTCGTCTGTGGAGACAAAGGAGCCTGTGGTCCGGCCTGGGGTCCACCTCGCCCCCGCGGGCCAGGGTCTGCCGCTGCCTCTGGGGGGCCCGGGGCACTGGTGCGCCTTCTGGCTGGGCTGGTGCTGGGAGCCCAGAGGCACATGCGGGCCCAGGCGCTGCCCGTCTGAGGCTGAGTCCTGGGCTCTGAGTTCTTGGGGCTGGGCCTGGCCACCCAACCCCTGCGGGCCCCGCTGCTGGGCACACGGACCTCCTGGCTGCCAGCGATGGTACCAGTCCGAGCTCACAGCCCCCAGCCTGGGTTCTGTCACCTGCGCCCACCTTCCAGGCAGGGAGGCCGATCAGCCGCCCGGCGAGCGGGGGTCCCCGGGGCCTGCCTGTGTCCTGCCCCCGGCCACTCACCAAACGTGACCCGCCCCTGCGCCTCCTCGTCGATGGCCCGGAACAGGCGGGTCACAGGGAGCTCCGCCACGCCCAGGGCGGTCTTGAGGATGGTGGACAGGGCCTCCTCGTCGATGCTGCCATCCTCCTGCCGCCCGTACATCTGCGGGGAGCTGTGTCAGCCTGGTCCCTGCCACGGTCACCAGCAGCCACCGGGCCTGGCGTGGGCTGTGCAGGGCCCCCGGCCACCCCTGCCCCAGCCGCCTGCCCCAGGAGCTGCGTCCGGGCACTGAGCATGTGGGAGCGCCGGACAAAGCAGCCCCCACAACCCTCACACCAGCCCCAGCCTGCCCCCCAGCCGCCCCCACCCCAGGCCCCCACACCGTGGTGGACGTGTGTCCGGCCTCAGGCGCAGGCACCGGCCCTGCTGCAGGGAGGCACGAGCACAGGTGTGGGGGATGGAGCAGTCAGACAGCCACGAGGGACCAAGGATGCCAGGTCCAGCAGCACTTGCCTTGAATGCCAGCTGGATGGTGTCCAGGGGCCGCGACGGCCGGCAGACGACAGACAGGGCGACCACGTACTCCCGCAGGTCCACGTCGCCGTCCCCGTGCTGTGGGAGAGCTGCACTCAGACTGGCCCATCCCCCAGCAGCCCACTGGACCTGCGGCCCCGGGCTGTACCTCATCAAACAGGGAGAACAGGTCCCTCAGAGGCTCGGAGACGGGCAGGTCCAGCTGGGACGCGAACTCTTCGAGCGAGAGCCGGGCCGGGCCCCGCCGCCGGGCACGCTCACAGTGCTCGTCCAGCTGCTGCTCCAGCTGCTCCGGCTTCAGCCTAGAAGGGGGGCTGCTCAGCGGTGGGGCTGCAGAGGGGGGCTGTGGAGGGGGGCTCAAAGGGACGGGGGAGTTGCTGCAGGGCAAGGGATGAGCGTGTCCCTCTCCGGCCGGCGCCGGAGACCGGCCGCACAAGGCTGGACACGCGCCTGACAGCGGTGTTTGAAAGGGAGACCCACAGGCGCCAGCGTGTGCGGCCGCCGGGCTGGGAGGGTCCCGAGGCGGTCAGCAGGCTGGGGGTGCTGGAGGAGGAAGCGGCAGGAGTGCCCGGCCCATAGCGCGGCCGCCGGGCCACTCACCCCAGACCCCGCACCAGCCTGGCGAACTCCAGAAGGCAGGTGTCTGCGGGGAGACGCAGCTGCCCCTCGGCCAGGGCCAGCTGGCAGTCCTCGAACGTGTAGTCGGTCACGGACACGCCCAGGGCCCTGCGGGCAGAGGAAGGCGCTCAGCCCACCCGCAGACACAGCCGCGAGGGGACGTGGGGCCAGGATGCTGCCACGCCGCGCTGCCCCGGGGGCCGCTGGCCGCACGTGTCAGACGGAGCCGACCACTGTCTCCCGCCGGCGGCCGCGAGGGCCAGGCACTCACTCAGCCATGACGCGGCGCACGTTCCTGGCGAACAGTGCGGGGTCCTGCTTCTCCTCCGCCGAGGGGTGGTACACGGGCAGGAACTGCGGAGAGTGCGGGTCAGCCCACACGGCCAGCGCCACACCCAAGGGGGCAGCGCTGGCCACTGAACGCCGGCCACCTGACGCTGGGCACCCGGCACCAGGCGTGACCTGCCCTTGGGCGGCAGCTTTGCTCAGAGGGGGTGTCAGGGCTCTGGACGCCTGCGGCTGGGGGCAGCGCCCGGCAGGCTCGTGGGGACCAGAGGACGCGTGTGGCAGGGCCCAGATGCCCAAGCCCAAGGGGCAACGGGCTGAGGCCTCCCTGAGGCGAGGATGTTCTGTCCACGTGGACCCGGGATCGGGCAGAGGATGGGCGAAGGTGGGGAGCTCCTGTGAGCTGGGACACCCGCGGCCAGGCCTGGATGTGGCCCGCCCCGCAGACCCCCCCACGCCGCCGAGAGACCCGAGGACGCCACAAGGCCCCCCCACCCCATGTGCACCAGCCCAGGGGGCACAGCTCGTACACACCTCTATCTCCAGGCGGCTGTAGGGCTGGCACAGCGTGAGCCACAGGATGGCCAGCCTGGAGGAAACAGCAGACGAGCCCCTTGTGGAGGCCCGCCAGGCAGCCCCGATCTGTGGCTGCCGCCTGACCTCAGGACCTGCCTGACCACCTCCTCTCTGCAGGCCATCCAGTCCCCGGGGGCCTCGCTCACAGATCCCTCCCCAGGCGCCCCCCTCCCGCCCCATCATGGCCAGTCGCTGGACAGGTTGCTCAGCCTCCCCCAGAGACCTGTCCTGGACACCAAGAGAGCAGGGTCCTGTGGGTTCCCCCCACCCCAGCCCCCTGCCAGTTGGCAGGGGCTGCCCGCCACTGCCCTGTGCCTGCTTCTCAGCCGGGGCCTCCAGGAAGGAGCAGACTCTCACTGACCCTCCTGCTGTGGCTAAAGACGGCCAGTTAGGTCCCAGGACCGGAGCCCCGGCCGCTTGCATTGAAGCCTTCACAGCGGGCCGGGGCGGGCGCGGGCAGGTGGCGGGGCAGCCCCTGCCCCACCCGGGGGTGGACGCACACATAGCGGGGCCGACTCACGCGCTAGGTCCTTGCCACGTCCACGTGATGGTGTCCTGGGGCAGAAAAGGGATGTGTCACGGCTGGGCCGGGCCCTGGCACTCCTGTGCCAGCCCCGGCCTGGCCTCCCCAAGACACTCACCAGCTTGTTGGGGTAGCGGAGAACCACAGGCTGCACGGCCACTCCGGGGATGAAGGCGCCTGTGGAGGGGGGGGCGTGACTCCGGCACCCCTGGGGCCTGTCCACACCCACCAGTCACTGCCCACGCCCAGAAGCCCAAGCCGCTGCCAGCGCCGCGCTGGGTGGGGGCTGCTGCCTCCCACCCTCGGCTCAGGCCTCACCGGCCCAGCAGCGGGGCACTTGGCACGAGGGAGTCAGGCCTGGCTGAGCTCCGAGAGTTGGGGGCAGCCCCCATGCCCCGGGCCGCGTGCCAGAGCTGTCAGTTGAGGACGCGTGGGAAGCACACTGACCGGCTCCTGGGGAGGACATGGTGCACCCCAGCTCTGCCGGCCACATTGACCGCAGGCCACTGTGAGGTCAGTAAGACCGGCAGTGATCAGTGGCAAGCCCCTGGGCGTGGACGGCTCAGGCCCAGGTGGGGCGCAGAGGGGTGCAGGGGCCGGCCCCGGACAGTCCCCACACCCAAGGGCCCCGTGGGCCCCCCGCAGTTTGGCCTCAGGTTCGTCCTTGAGCTGCAGAGACAGCGGGGGGCAGAGACGGTCCCACGGCCACCCTGGCCCGCCCTCGAGCCTGCGCAGCATGAGGCGGCGTCTCTGCCGCCAGCACGGGGCCACCCGTGGCCAGTGCGTGTGTCCCGTCCCCTGGCAACGGGCGCCGCCCGTACCGGGCTTGAAGGAGATGAGGCAGGTCCTGTTGGTGCAGGTGCCTTCCGGGAAAATCATTATCTGGAAGGAGGAGGGGCCAGTGTCGGGGGCAGCTCAGGAGGCCCGGCGGGTGCCCCCCCCCACAGACGCTGCCACGAGGGGATGCACGCTGACCGCGGGCGGCGCTGGAGGGCGGGCCACGCAGGCCCCCGGAGAACCAGGCCAGCAACTGCCCCAGGCCGGTGACCCGGTCGAGGCCGCACGTGGTGGCAGGCAGTGGCCGGGGTCAGGCTGGGGGGCTGGCCGGAGCAGGGGGCCGGGCTCGGGTCAGCACCCGGGGCCCAAACGTCCCGGCTCGAGGGGCTGCCCGGGCCCGGCCAGAGCGCAGAGGCGCGGGCCGCTGCCCGGCTCACCCGCTGGATGGGACTCCGGGCCGGCACGCGCGGCCGGTGGTGGCTGGGCCCGGGGACCCCACCCCCCAGAGCTCAGAGGACGCGGCCCACGAATGGCCCCGCGCCCGGGGCTCTCGCCTGCTTCTCCCTCCTCAAACTCCAGAACCCCGGCCCGCCCGGCCCGCCCGGCCCGGCCCACCTGCGGCCACCGCCCGCGGGACAGCGCGCGCCGCCGGATCTCCTCCACCGTCCTCCGGCGCGAGCTCTGGTCCGAGCGCGACACGAGCACCGGCCGGATGTAGCGCATCAGGGCTGCGGGCACAGGCTGGTGGGCGCCGGCCCCGGTGGGGGGGGCAGGGGGCGGGGGGCCCTCCTAGGGCCGCTCCGAGGCCGGGTCCAGAGAAGGGGCGCGGCCAGGCTGGGGGCAGCCCCGGCGGCGCCCGGACAGTGGGCCCCAAGCCCCCCACAGCACCAGGCCCAGCGCCCCGCGGCTCCGCCCCCACTGGAGGGTCCAGGCCGAGGACCTGGGGGGCCCTGCGGACGGCTGGTCACCGTGCGCCCACGGCCCCGCACTTGCCGCCCCCCCAACCCCCCCACCCGGCCCAGGGGCTGGCGCTCCAGTGACAGCGCCCACGAGGGCAGCGAGGCCCGAGAGCGGCCACGGTCCACGCCCGCCCCCCGCCTCGGGGAGGCCGCAGCGACCCCTGCGCCCCGCCAGGACCGACCCGGACCCTTGGGGAAGGCGGCGGGGGCGGCTGCTCGGTCCGGGAGGGCGCAGGACGACACCCCCGCGCGCCCCACCCGGCACTGCCCAGGGTCCTGTGCTGTCCAGCCGGCGCGGCAGATCGGCCTGCGAGCCCCCCAGCTTCCAGGCCCCGAGCCGGGGTCCGGCCCCCCTGCTCCCACACTGTCGCCAAGCCCTGCCCCAGCCCCCCACCCCTTTCCCCACCCCTGCCCCCAACGCTGCCCCCACTGCTGCCCCCACCGCTGCCACGGCTCCAGGCAAAGGGGCGGCTGGGGCTGGGGGCTGCGGAAGGCGCCGGGAGCCGAGACCCGGGGGCCTGCGGACACGTCCCGCTGGGGCTTCGCCCTGGTGCCAGGAGGGCAGGGGCAGCCCAAGGCCAGTGCCCAGCACCCGTGGCGCCTGGCAGGGCCTGCGCTTCACGGTCCGAGGGCGGGGTGGGGGTGGGGGTGGGGGTGGGGGTGGGAGGGCCCACCAGGTCCCGGGGCTCACTCACTTCCCCATATCGGGATGTCTCTGCTCTCGGCCTTCATCACGATGGAGGACATCGTCATGGTGACGGGGATGGCATCGAAGTAGGAGGAGTGGGGGGCCAGGGTGAGGATGGCCGCCTCGGAGGGCAGCGCCTGCCGCCCCTTCACCGACACGTGGTAGAAGCCGCCCATGAACCACATGGTGCGCATGAGGGCTCTGAGCAGGGCGTCCACGACCCTGCAAGACACGGCGGCCGCTCAGGCCTCCCGAAGACCCGGGTCCTCCCCACCCCGGGTGTGCGGGCTGTGCCGCCCCGCCTCACCGCGGGCCTGCGGGTGCCCTGAGGGCGTCGGGCTGATGTCAGAACCTCCCCATGCTCACGGGGCACGGGCCGGCCAGTGCCCACCTGCCACCCCCCCCGCCCCCGCCGTCAGGGCGTCTCTGCAGTGCGAGGGCACGCCGTGCATCTCTGCAGTGAGTGGCCGGCACTGGCCCTGGCCCTGGCGCGGCAGACACCGCAGGGCACACACCCGGGGCCCCGGGACAAGGGCCAGCTTCTCAGGGATGCGCCCCTTGGCGCCAGCACCGGGCGGTCCACCGGACACAGCCCTCCCGGGAGAGCCCGAGGGCCTGCCAGTCCGCCGCAGCCGGGCCTGGACGAGGCGGCCACCGCGCCTGTGCTCCAGCGGGCAAGCCACAGGTGCCACCCCTGCCCGCCACGCTCCCCAGGGCGCCTGCACACAGAGGAGCCGCGTGTGGGGCTCCGAGGCAGGGGGCGGGGAGCTCTGAGCAGGCTGGCCGGCAGGGGCGGGGCGAGGCACCGCTGAGCAGAGACGCCCACATCTGGGTGCCTTCCTGGGACAGGGCCCCAAGCGTGGGGAAATGTGCGGCAGGAAGGGGCAGGTCGGGGCTGCAGGCACGGGGTGGGGGTGGGGCTGTGAGGCTGCCCTGGGGGCCAGACACAGAGCTCCTGCAGGGCGGGACCATGAGGCCAGGGGCCTGGGGCCAAGGGCCTGTGGCTGCCCCGGGGGTGCGCAGTGAGAGCTGCGGGGATGCAGGCCAAGGCTGGGGTCAGGTGCCCAGGGCTGCCCTGGCTATGGCTTCACTTGGACATTGGCAGGGACAGGGGATGGCCAGCAGAAGGCTCGGGGTTCAGGGCCAACCCCCAGGCTGCAGGCAGGACCCTGGTGCTCTCCACACTATCCACACCCACCCCACGCCCAGCCCCACTTCCAACAACCCGGGCGGCCAGGTGGTGGGCGCTGACCCTACAGGGCTGTGGCCCGAGGGCTGGGCCAGCACAACAAGCCAGGAGGCAGCCGCCCACAGGCGAGCAGAGTCCTCAGACCCACCGCAGCCCCCAGGAGCCGGGGGCAGCTGAGGGCTCAGGTACACGCCCCAGTGCACACCCCACACACCCGGGTACACGACCCGGTGCACACCCCACACACCTGGGTACACGCCCCAGTGCACACCCCACACACCCGGGTACACGCCCCGGTGCACACCCCACACACCCGGGTACACGCCCCGGTGCACACCCCACAAACCCGGTACACGTCACAGTGCACACGCCACACAGCCGGGTACACGCCACAGTGCACACCACACACACCTGTGTACACGCCCTGGTGCACACCCCACACACCTGGGTACACGTCATGGTGCACACGCCACACACTGGGGTACACGCCACGGTGCACACCACACACACTGGGGTACACGCCACGGTGCACACCACACACACCCGGGTACACGCCACAGTGCACACCACACACACCCGGGTACACATCCTGGTGCACACGCCACACACCTGGGTACACACCACGGTGCACACTACACACCTGGGTACATGCCCTGGTGCATACTCCATACACCCGGGTACACGCCCCAGTGCACACCCCACACACCCGGGTACACACCATGGTGCACACTCCACACACACCTGGGTACACGCCCCAATGCACACCATACACACCCGGGTACATACCCCGGTGCACACTCCACACACACCTGGGTACAGACCCCAATGCACACCACACACACCCGGGTACACACCCCGGTGCACACTCCACACACCCGGGTACATGCCCTGGTGCACACTCCACACACCTGGGTACACGCCCTGGTGCACACGCACACACACCCAGGTACACGCCAGTACATACCACACACACCTGGGCACATGCCCCTGGCGCACACTGCACACACCCAGGTACACGCCCCCTGTGTACACCGCACACACGCCTTTCAAGTAGATGCCGTGTGCACACAGCACACACATGCTCATGCCTGTGCTCCCCAGAGACCAACCCCACCCCCGTGTCGGCGCAGGGGCAGGGCTGCCGCAGACCAGACACTGTCCAGAGGAGCGAGGAGGCTGCACCCGAGGGCTCCGAGCGCCAGGTGCAAGCACCAGGGCCACAGCCGGCGTCTGGCCCGCGGCCACCCCACCCTAGCTACTGCTTCTGTCTCCAAGCAAAGCGCCCGAGGACCCTCAGCGCCGGCCCCGGGGAGAGCCGCCAGCGCCCCGGCCCCACGGGAGGTGCTGCTCCGAGCCAAGCCAGAGCCGAGGCACCGCGGCACTGCCCGGCCCAGGCGGGCCACGGGCTCACGTGCTCGTTAGTCCAGCGGAGCCACAACACGCCGGCCCCAGAGCGGCAGGTCGGGCCCGACACAGGCCAGCGCCCAAAAGGTCCGACCAGCGGGGGCCTTGGGGAGCCGGGGACGGGGGCCTTGGGGAGCTGGGGACGGGGGTGGGCAGGCCAGGGACACAGGAGCTCTGTGCTGTGGACCTGGGAACAAAGGCCAGTGGGTCGCAGAAGCGGGAAGGTGTGTCCCTGTGGGACGGGGGTGGAGACAGGACCCCCTCAGGGGTGCGGTGACCGGGAAGAGGGCAGCTCTGGACACTGGGCAGGGAGGCGGCGGGAGGCCGTGCAGTGTGGGAGACGCCCAGGGCCCCACTTACTTCCGCCACAGGGCCAGGGGCTGCTCAGGCTCCTGGTCCTCGGTCCCCAGCGAGGCGACCAGCGCGAGCGGCCAGGCCAGCAGCATCATGCAGGCGGCGAGCAGCAGCCGGACGGGGAAGAGCGTCAGCGTCATGAGGGCCACCTGGGGAGACAGGCCGGTGAGCGCGGGGCCTGGCCGGCGGGCCCCACAGCCTCGGTCACGCCGCCGCCGCCGCCATGGAGCTGAGGCCGTCCGGGGATGGGGGCAGCCCCCCATGTACCCCCAGGCGCCCCACTGGGCCAGCTGGCGTCTGGGAAGGGGTGAGGGGTGGGCGTGGGGGGCCAGCGCGGCACGCACCCGTGGAAGAGGGTGGCCCCTGCCGGCCACGCCAGGCTGCCCGTGGGCACACAGTCAGATGACCGCGGGGTCAGGAGGCGGGAGAGGCCTGACCCCAAGTCTTGGCCGTGGAGGCGTCTCCAGGCCCTGCCGCCAGCCCCCGCGAGCCCCCCGCCGCTGCTCCGTCGTTTAGACCCCGAGTGCTGGAGGCGCCCGTCCCGCTGCCCGGGCTCCGCTGGCCGCAGGGCCTCCACCGGAGCGCCTGCCCGCACCTTAGGGGTCCCGGTTCCCCCTCTCAAACCCGCTTTGCTGGGTTTCCCGCGGCTCGGAGCCCGTGTCCGTGCTCACGCGGGGCCGCCGCGCTGGGCTGCCGGAGCTGCCCTCCTGCTGTTTCCAAGCCGCCGGGTGACCCGAGTGTGCCCTCCTGGGCGCCCTTCCACGGTCACCGTCACCTGTGCCCACGGCCACCCGCCGGCTGCTGTCCCCGCACCAAGGCGCGTCCCCGTCGCCGTCCAGCTTGTCCCGACACCCCGACTCTGGAGACCCCCAGCTGTGTGTGACGGCGTGGGGTGTGGCTACGGGCCTCCTGCCCCCGTTCCTGCCGGGTCCTGCTGGCCACATCCTCCCCCACCTGACAGCTCAGCGGGGAGAGGAAAGAGGATGGAGCGGCGGGCCCCCACGGGGAGCGGGTCCCCCACGCCCGCACGGCCGGCTCCCAGGGGCCAGAGCCCGCCCCTCCCAAGCTGAAGCCGACAGGACGCGCCCCGAGCTGGATGGGAGAGCAGAGGCCCCGCGTCGGGGCACAGAGCCCGCCCCCATCAGGACGCCATGCCACACCAGGACGCCGGCTGGCCAGCACGCAGCATGCCCCTTGGGCCGCCAGAACCCGGGGTTCGCGCAGCCACCCCCACGGGACACCCGGGCCCCCCTGGGCGTGTGCAGCTGCCTGGAGCGGCGGCACCTGGGGAGCCCGCGGTGCGGGGGGACCTGCGTCCTGGCTCCCAGCCCCGTGTTTGCAGAGACGCCCCACTGGGCCCCACGGCCCTGCCGTGACCCGGCCCCGCTGCCAGGCCTGCGGGCCTCTGTGGGCCCGTCCTGCCGGGAGAGGCGGGGAGTGGGGTCTGAGGCCTCCACCGCGGCCTCCGGGGGCTCCCGCCGCTGACGTCTGGGGCTCCTGGCAGCCCCTGGGTGGACCATCCGTCCCCCCATCCCCCGGCCACCTGCCCCTCCACAGGCCATGCCCCAAAGCCACCCTGTACCCTGACTGCCCCCCCCAGGCAGACCGGCGCCCCCACGGTGCAGGAAGAAGGGGCGGAGGAAGGAGAGGCCCCCCCAAGTGCTCAGAAAACCCGCAGGACAAGCAGAAAGAGTGTCTGGAGAGGGCGCCGGCCGGCCACCCCCGGGCTGTGCACGAGGAGGCAGCAGTGGCCAGGCCTGGCGGCCTCGGGGCCAGGCCTCAGGGTCTGTGTCTGTCCCACGTGGGCTGGGGGGGGGGGAAAGGAGCCCCCAGGGAGGGCTGCGCAGACACACGGACCCCGCACCCCACATGGCCACCAGCACCTCTGCGGGAGGGGCCGCAGTTCTCAGGCCGGGCAGCCGCTGCCCGCGGAGGCCCAAGCCGTGCCCCGGCCTGGCCGTTACTTATCTGCCGGTGCAGCCGCGCCCGCGGGAGCTCCTCCGCGAGAGATAACCCGGAGCGGGCGGGCCGCGTGCCGGGCCGGGCGGCCTGCACCCCCAAACCCGGCCCCGCCGGGAGACCGGCGTCCGTCCACCTGGGGACGCCGCCAGGGTCCTGCTGCTGCTGAACACAAGTCGCTGCTCAGCCTCCCACTGGGTCTAAAATTAAATGGAGCTTTTCTAACTCAGCTACCATTTTCCCCCCAACCGGCGAGTCCCTGCCTCCCCACGGGCCCCGCCCGGCAGCCACGGACGCGGGGCACGCGCCGCCCAGGGAGGCTGCGGGGAAGGGGCCGCCTCCGCGAGTCCCCAGCTCTCGAGTGGGCCCCGCCCTGGGCAGGCCCTGCCCGCACAACCTCGACCACCTCGCACCCCCAGGCCCACGGCGCTGGACCGCGAGCCCCGTGTCAGGACGCCTCCCGGGCCCAGCGGGAACCTGCCGCACCCCCCGCGGGCGCCCGGCGCCGGCACCGCAGAGCACCCGCAGGCCCCGAACGGCGCCCGCGAGTACGAGGCCCCGGGGAGCGGCCACCGGGAGGAGGCCGGGCCAGCGCCGAGGGCCAGGCTCACCCACGACATGATGCAGACCCCAGGCCACCGCCCGAGCCCCGTGGGCCCTGCCCCAGCTGTGGCCACGCAGGCCAGGCCCCACGGCGCACCCCGAGAGGCCAGAGAGGCTGCTGGCCTACCGCACAGCCCGCGGGGCAGCAGGGAGGGGCCGCCCGCACCGCCCAGACAGGCCCCAGGAGCCCCTGTCCACCCCAGAGGGAGTTCCTGAGGCCTCCACAGGCTCCGACCCAGGCACCTGCTGGTCAGGGCCTGTGCGGTTTGCCCGTCCACTGGTCACTGTCCAGGGCCGGCAGTGGGGGCTGCTGGGCCCAGCTTGGAGCGCTGTGTCCGGGTCAGGGGTGGAAGTGGGCCTGACCTGGGGGCTCAGCCATGTCCCACACAGACCCCCTGCTGGTGACAGTGGCCACTGACCAGCGGGATGAGGCCCGGGGCGGACGAGGAGTCCAGCAGGTATGTGCTGAGCGAAGGTACCATGTCCCTGGGGGTTCTGGGGCTCCACAGAGGAGATGCCCCTCCACACCTACACGGAGCCACCTGGGGGCTCGGTGGTGTCTGGCCACCGGGCCCTGCTGGGCAACTGTCCATGCAGGACGGCACCTGGCCCCGCGGGGCTGGGGCTGCAGGACGCTGCGGGGGTGACGCTGGCCGCGGGGGCCGCAAGGCGGCGCAGGGACACAGCGAGGAGCCCCGCCCCACCCCCTTGAAGCCCCAGAGCTTAAAAACACAGACGGTTTCTCAGAAGCTCCCCGGGGAAACAGGTTGTTTTTAGGGGAAACACGTTTCTGGCTCGAAGACGGCGTGAGGACTCCGCGGGGTGAGCCCGCGGCAGGGCGCGGTGCACGACCCCACGCGGCCCTGAGCACGGCAGGCCGCCACGCCGGGGCGCGGGAGGCCCGGGCAGGCCACGGCGCGGCTGCGGGACGGACACTGTGGTGCCCCAGACGTCTCTGGGGCCGAGGGGCAGAGGCAGGCGGTGGCTCAGGAAGGCGGCGGCTCCCATGGGTGCCGCAGCAGGAAGTCCAAGGGGCAAAGTGCGCCCAGCCTGGGACTCAAGGGCTGCGCCTGCCCTGCGGAAGCCCCGCCCGGCGGCATCGCCTTGGGCACTCCCCCCCAGGGCAGCCTTGGGCCTGCTGCTGGGCTGGTGGCCCTGGGTGCCCATCCCGGGACCACACAAGAGTCTGAGGGGCGGGGGGCAGAGGTGGTGCCCCACGGCAGCCTCGACCACACCCCCCAGTGGCCGGTTGAGGTTGAGGTGTATCCTCTGGCTGCGGGGAGCAGGGTCAGGTGCCCAGCCAGTCCTGAGAGGAGGCGGCTCCAGGTGGCCACATGGCACCACCCCTGGGCCCTGCTCGGTCACCTCATCCGTCACCTCCTCCGTGACATGGGCACAGGGCCCGGCCGGCCGCCTCCCAGGGCTGCAGAGTGGGGGGGCGGGACTCTGGTCCCTGGACCTTGGGGGCAGCCCTGCAGGTCCCAAATGCCCTGCGGAGGCTGGGGCCTCCCCTGCCCTCCTGCCGGGCCCCTCCGGAAAATCCTCCCGGCTGTGCCACCGCCACCAGGTCTCAGGAAGGCGGCCCCCCCTGTGCCCGCGGGTGCCCAGGGCTGCTCCTGAAGCCTCCTGCCCACGGGCACCACCGCATACCCGGCAGGAGAGGGTGGGCGAGGGGCGTCTGCGTCAGAGGCCGCCCTGTGGCCGGGGTGCTCGGGGCCAAGGTCAAGCAGCACCTCCCCAGGTGCGGCCAGGGGGGCGTGGTCCCCTGCAGAGTGGCCACGGAGGGTGCACGGCCCTGGGGTGACTCAGCCCCAGGCAGCCTGTCTGGGCTCAACCCAGGATCCTCTCTGGACCCCGGTGGGGTGGGGTGGGGTGGGGCGGGGCGGCCCCTCCAGGACCAGCTCCGGGCGCAGGGGAAGCGCAGCTTTCCAGGAAGGCCGCCCTGCGGGGCGGCCACGGGGTCAGAGCGGGGAGGGCGCCCAGCCCGGCCCCGGTGCCCCGAAGCCCCGGTGACATGAACCACTTCCCCCCTGACCTGGACAAACCTCAGCTGAGCGCAGGAGACCCCACCCCGCGGGGCCGCATTCTGCTCCCCTGCCGTCCCCGAGCTGCTCGGGCGGCTCCCGGCGGGGGCAGGTGGGCAGGCCCTGAGCCGCTGGGCTGGCAGAGCCGGGGTGCACGCTGGCTATCTTCACCGGCCTCGGGGTGCCTCTGCGCGCCCGAGGGCCCGCCCTGTCGATTGATTTGGGGGTGGGCTTCCCTAGGTGGAGGGGGGCTCCGCGGTCCACAGCCTGGGGGGCCGCAGGCCACACGCAGACAGGTGCAGGGGGGCTGGGCCGGCCGCAGGTGGTGGGGCAGCCCCTTCTGGGGGCCGGAGCTTCCCGGCCCCTTCCCGAGGGCCACGGCGGCAGCCCAGGCTCGGGGGAGCCGCCCTCGGCCCAGAGCCACGGGCGAGGGCAGGGCCTCCGGGGAGGGTCGGGCTCCCCGAAAGGCAGGGCCCGGGGCCAGGGCCCGGCTGGAGCCCAGAGGCGGCCGCCCGCAGGGTGGCGAGGCTGGGGCGCCGGGCGCGGGCGGGCGCCGTCCAGGGCGCTAAGGGCCGTCCAGGGCGCTAAGGCCGCGGGTCTGGGCCGAGGCTGGGCCGAGCCCCGCCCGCCCGCCGGAGTCTGGGCAGGGACAGGCGGGGCCGGGGTCCCCCGCGCGGCCGAGAGGGGGTGCGGGTCCCCGCTCTCCCCGCGGCCCCCCCGCCCCCCCGGGAGGGCAGACGGGGCCGGGCCTCGCCGTCCACCCATCTGGGGGCGCCGCACTTCCAAACCCTCAGCCCCCAGAAAGTTCCGCCCCGCGCAGGACGGGGTCAGCCGGGGCAGGTCGGGGCTGCAGGGGGGGCCGCCCGCGACACCCCGACACCCCGCCCGGAGCATCGCGGCCCCGGGGCGAGCGCGCGCCCAGCCCGGCCCCCCGCCCCGACCTCGGGCCCGGCCGCCCCCCGCGGCCCCCGCGGCCCCGCGACAAGTGGGCCCGGCCCGGCCTCCTGCGGCCCCGCGGGGTGCGCGGCCCGGGCGGGCGCGGGGCCGGCGGGGCGGGGCGGGGCGGGGGGGCGCGGGGCCGGGGGGGCGCGGGCGGGGAGCGGGGGGCGCGCACCCACCTGGGCCTTCTGCGGGCGCTGAGGCGCAGCTCGTGCACGAAGGGGTTCCGCCCCGGGGGCGCCGCGCCGGCCGCCCGAGGACCCCGTCCCCGCAGCCTCATGGCCGCGCGCTCAGGCTGGGCCGGCCGGGCCCCGCGGCGGGAAGCGGGGGATGCGCGGGCCGGGCGGGCCGGGGCGCAGGCGCGGCGGGCGGGAGCGGCCGTGACGCGAGCGGGGGGCGGGGCGGCCGGCGGGTGGGGCTCCCCGGGGCCCGCCCCCCGCGCCGGCCCCGCGGCCCCGGCGGCCCCGCCGCGCCCCCCGCCCCCGCGCCCCGCCCGCGCCCCCCTCCCCCGGCCCCGCCCGCGCCCCCTCCCCCGGCCCAGGCCCGCGCCCCCCCCCCAGGCCCGCGCCCCCGGGCCCCGCCAGCACCCCCGCCCCCCCCCGCGCTCCCCCTCCCCCGGCCCAGGCCCGCGCCCCCGGCCCCGCCCCCGGCTCACCCCCCAACGCCCCGCGCCCCCGGGCCCAGCTGTGCGCTCCCGGGCTGGGGGCACGACCCCCCAGTGGCCCCGGCACGAGGCCCCATTTGCCCACATCCCCAGGGGCAGGAGGGGTCGGCGTCCAGGCTGCGCCCTGGGCCAGCCCCGGCCCCCCAAGCCCCCCCCGCCGGGCCTGGCTGCAGCCGGGTCCTCCCCAGGCGGGGCTGGCACGGGAGACCCGCCAGGACCTGCCCAGCGCCCTGGGCTCGGCCCTTGGAGAGGAGGCCGCTCTCGCTGCGGGGGCCCCAGGTCTTTGGGTGTCTCCCGGGGCGGGGGGAGACTTGAGGGTCCCTGGTCACCCCGCAGCCGGCTTCCCTGGCCCAGAGGCGCACGTCCCCAAGAGCCCCGCGCTCTCCCAGCAAGTGGGTGTTTCTCTGCGCGCCCCAGACAGGCGGCCGGCAGAGGGGATGCGCCCCAGAGGGCCAGTGGGTCGCATGAGGCCGCACAGGCCGGGCGGGACGAGCCCCCCCTGGCCCTGAGAGGCCCGCGAGCTGCGGCACCCCAGCCCCGTGCCCCGGCCCCGGCCGCCCCCCCCCCGCCCCCGGCCGGCCACACGGAGCAGGAGAGCCCCGGGGAGGCACGTCTGACTGGACAGACGCAGCAGTGGGGGCCCCTGCCGCCCCTCTGGCTCCGAGGAATGGGGGGGCCGCAGCCCCCTCTGCCACCAGGCAGTCGCCCTGGCACTCGGCCTCCGTTTGCTGTGAGCTGAGACACGGGAGGCCGCGGGGCCAGGACAGCGCAGCGCTGAGTAGGGGCCAGGAGGAGGCGACCCGGGGCGCCGCGGGCGGGGGGCAGGCGGCCGGGAGCAGGCGAGCTGTGGGGTCGGAGGCGAGGGCGGCCGGGCCGCTGCCCGCTGGCGGTAGCCTGTGGTGGTGCCCACGGGGCCACCTCGGGGTGGGCCGGGAGGGGGCCCTGGGGGAGGTCCTTTCCTGAGACCTCGGGCCGGGCCGGGCGGGTGGAGGCGAGTGGTCTCGGGTCGGGGAGGGGCCTGTAGACCTGGGGGCCAGCGCTCGGGCCAGGGACCGTCAGGCCAGGGGCCGGTGGCCGCGGCTCAGAAGAGGGTGGTCAGCAGGCGGGGCCCGGGGTCCCCTGCGTGGGACTGCGGTGTTCTCTGCGGCTGGGGGTGGGGGGGGCTGGTGGGGGTGATTCAGGGAGGGGCCAAACACACTCGGGCTCCAATTTTAATGCAGTAGAGGAATGTTCTAGAAGCCCCAAGTTCTGCCAACCTGATTAGAACAAGTTGGGCAATTTCCATGAGGATGGAGGAGGCCTCAGGGAACTTTCCGGAACACGGACCCTTCGCAGACAGCGGAGGAGCCGCCCGCCTGCCCCCCACAGCTCCCGCTCCTCGAGGTGCAGACGCCGACCTGAGGCTGCCCTGGACGCCCTCGCGCCAGCCGCAGCCGCGCCCGTCCTGGGCCGCCTCGCGTGGGCCGGTCTCCGAGCGGCCATTGCCTTCATTTTCGTCTCGTATTTATTTTCAGGCCGGCCTTCCTGCTGCTGAGCCACCCAAGCATTTATTCCTCTGCCGGCGACCTGGTGGCCTCCCTGTCCCTCCTCACTCCACGGGGCACAAACACGGGCGTCTGTAAGCTCCGGCCGGCGGCCTGGCCGTAGCAGGGTGAGGCCCGCTGGGCGCCTGGGCCAGAGTGACGGGGGGCACCCACACGCGTCCACCCCGTTATTGATTCCAGTTCCCAGTCTGTCCAGTGGCTGTTTCCGCTGGGAGTTTGTTTCCAGCCGCGTCAGCCTGGAGGCGCGCGAGAGCCGCAGCGAGGCTTGCTTAGCCCGGCCGTGAGGCCCGGTGGCGACCGCCGGGAAGGAAGCGGCCCGGCACCCGGCCCTGGAAACGGGGGCTGCACCGGGGGCCCAGGCGGAGGGGCAGGGGCAGCGGGAGGGGTCCACTGTCCCCGCTGCCAGGTCTGGACCTGAGCTGGAGAACAGTCGGGCCCTTGGCCGAGCCACCGCGTCCACCTCGGGCCATGACGCCGGCCGCGGGAGCCCGGCCCCCGGAGGACACCCCCGGCCACCGGGCTGGCCAGTCTGGCCTTTGTGACTGGGAGGAAGAAGTCAAATTCCTTTGTGCTCGGTGATGATTTTCATTTTTCCATGAACTCGGCCCCAGTGAACACACGTGCCCCAGGACTGCTGGGACTGGACAGGCGGAGGCAGGCCGCGGGGGACAAGCCACTCCGCTCACCCGCGGCCACGTCCCCCGTCTTGGCCCAGCCCACGGCCTGCCCCGGCCCAGCCTGCTCCCTTCTGTGCTCTGGCGCCCAGGCCGCCTCGTGCCCCGAGCCACGGCCCAGCAGCTCCAGAACACCGCGTGCAAGGGCAGGTTCTCAGGGCGCCACGGGGCTCCCCAGATTCAGTGGCCCTCCCGCCCCACCTCTCTTGAGGACATGCACCCTGACCGCCAGGGCGGTTCCCGGATGGGCCCGACAGAGCGGGAGCGTAGCAGGGGAGCCCCAGCGCCTGACAGCTGCTCACGCGGCATCCCCGCCCCACCCCGCCCTCCCCGGGGCCGCACAGCTGGGAGGCCACCCTGAGTGGAGGCGTCCGGTCACTGCAAACAGCCGCCCAGAGCCACCTGACCCACTCGGAGGCACTCATCCCCGGAACCGGAGCACGGAAGCGGACGCCCTTGACTGACCAGGCCGGCCCTGCCCCCGTGCCCCGGCTTTGGGGCTCCACGAGGCAGGCGCGGGTCTCACCGGGGCTCCTGGAGGAGAGCCGCAGTGGGGTGAGGCGGCCCGGGGCGGGTACTACAGGCTGCCCTGGAGGGTGCGGGGCAGTGCCTGCGTGAACCCCGACAGGGCCTGCCCAGGAAGAGCTCCCAGCCCTGCGCCCGGGCCGGCCGGTCCCCTGCGGTCAGTGCTCCTCGCAGGCCCAGGCGAGAGCAGGCCCGACTCGAGGGGCCCGGGGGGCCTCCACTGGCGCGGTGGACCCGTCTCCCCGTGGGGAAGGGCGTCCGTGGCGTTTCCCCACCGGCCGGCCACATGGGGCTTCATGAAAAGCCGGGTGTCCTGCGGATGGGAACCGACCTCCCAGGACAGGGACCGTCCCAGAATGACGGGCTGGGCACCGCGGAGCTGCTGCCCGGTGTCGGGGGACTGGTGACCTCAGAGTGGGCGGTCTGGTGGGGTGGGGGGGCTCAGCCCCAGGGCGCCGTGGACCCCACACGGGCAGTGGCTCCAACGCCCGTTTTCACGCGGGCATTTCGCTGCTCCCACGGGAGCGGTGACTTCGCTGATGCGAGGCTCAGAGCCAAGAAGGTCCTCGGGGGCGTTGGGGGAGCCGGCTCCCCTGCTGCGCGCCCGCCACGGAGCCCGCTGGCCTCTCCCGGTCTCGGAGCTTTAGAAGGGATGGTCATCACAACAGCCTACGCGTCCGTCTTCCTCCAGGCAACCTCTGTCTGTCTTGTCCTCCGGGCTGCCCGCCACGTCCACTCGCTTCCCCACTGGCCCCGACGAGCCTCGCAGCCCCTGTGGCGATCTGGGGCCCATTCCGCCCCCCGGCCCCAGAGTCCTCTTTGCTTGGAAGGGCAGAGCCTCCTCTTCCTTGTGGCCGACTGCTGGGGCCTCCCTGCGGTGCGGGCAGGGGTGCGGTGGGGCGCAGTGGGGCGCAGTGGGGCAGTGCCTGCCCCGTGCCTGGCTTTGTGCCCTTCACTGGCCGCGGACAGGCTTGGGCCACACATGAGGCGAATGCAGGGGCTGGAGGACCCTGGGCACATCCCCCGCGGGTAACACTGAACCCCCCGAGCCAGCAGGCAGCAAAAGCTACAAACTGGGCAGAAAGTTAGAGCGACTGCCCCGGGAAGGAGCTCGTGGAGCAAAAGGGGAGGATGGACAGGGGTCCAGGGGGGCTCCGCGGGCCAGGCGCCCACCCGTGGGGCTGAGCCGGCTGATCGCCCAGGTCCGAGGTCTGGAGGCCCCACAGGCCCCGCCGCGCAGGGATCTGTTCTGGAAAGGCCAGCGCAGAGGAGCCGGGGGCGCTCACGCGATGTCGCAAGCCCCTTGGAGGGGGAGGTGGCTGAAGCGCGCACGTCACCCCATGGGCGCCCGTGGGCGTGGGCAGCCGAGGCTCATCCCGCCCACCTGGGGCGGAGGAGCGGCGTGGAGGGGCAGGCCTTGTGCGGCAGGGGCGACACCGTAGGGGTGCAGGGAGACCCAGGCCCCCAGGCGCAGTGCTGGGCACCGAGTTTTAGCTCGTCTGGTCACGGAACGGGTCTTTGCATCACTCACTCCAGCGTTTCAAGGTTCTTTTTTTTTTTTTAAAGATTTATTCATGCACACAAGAGCTGGGGTACAGGCCAGAGGCGTGGGGGGCGGTGAGAGCACTCGCCAGACAGAGCGGGGGCAGAACAGGCGGCTGGACCGAAAGCACGGCTGAGGGGAGCGGCGGGCGCACGGGAGAGTCTGCCGCGCAGGGAGGGACCCTCCCAGGCCGGCCGGGGATTGAACCTGCGCTGCAGAGGCTGCGGACGGCTTCACAGCGCTGCGCTCAACCGCTGCATTTTCCTCTGAGGCTGAAGCCGCTTCCCGCGCGCCACCCCCGCGGTTCACGTGTCCGTGGCCTCCTTGCTGTGTCTGTGGCCGCGGCCGCAGGGTCGGTGAGCCTGGCACTGGCGCCCTCGCCTGGGCCAAGCCGTTCCGAGGAGTGGGGCAGGGTCGCCCCCCCCCCCCCCCCCCCCCCGTTCCCCGGGCAGAGCAAGGCGCGGGAGACGGCTGCGCTGCCGTGTGTGAGCCGGGCCCAGGCCGCTGGAGGAGGCCGAGCTCCGGGCACCCCCTCTCCCTGGGCCGCCCGACTTCCCGCCGTGGCCCAGCACCACACACAGGCCCCTCTGTCCCCGCTGGCCGCCGGCCAGGCCCGGGCCTTTGAGCAGGCTGCTGGCCAGCGAGCGCGGGCCCAGCACAGAGGGCCCCTGTTCCCCCGGGGCCAGGGGAGACGGGCGGCCGGGCGCAGACACCCAGACGGCGCGGGCAGGGCTCCGGAACTAGGTCAGCGTCGGCGGGACAGTGAGCCCTTCTGGTTCAGTGGGTGAGCCTGGAGAAAGAGCCGTCCCGCGCCCCCTGGGCAGCCCCAGAGCCTTCCAGAACCTCAGCCACGTTTCTCCTGGCTGCAGCAGGCTCTTGGGCTCGTGGGGGCTGGCGGGCCTGGGGGTGCCTCTGGGCCAGGGGAGCAACCTGTCAGGGAGGGGTCTCCTGCCGCATAGCCTGGCACCTGCCCCTGCCGGGCGGGGGAAGCCTCAGGCCTCACCCCGAGGGCGGGCACGGGGCCTGCGGGGTCAGGCACACACGCAGGGGCTGCGGGCCTGGGGGCCGGTGTGTGCTGGCCAGAGGGTGCTGACCTGGCTGCAGGGGCGGGTGGTGGAACATTCTGGGGCCTGGCAGCACCTGAGCGCCCTGGCCGGCAGGGTCTGCAGCCTTTCCTGTGGGCAGGGCCTGGCCGTGAGGTGGGGAGGGCGCTGGGTTCCTGTGGCGCCTGGGCCGCCCAGCAGAGGCAGGGCCGGCTCTCCCTCCTCTCCGCGGAGGTCTCAGCGTGGGGTTCAGGCCCGGAACCAGGCTGAGTGGAAAAGGGGGGTCCTGCCCTCGGGCGTCCCCCACCCGTGTGGGCTCCAGCCCCCTCCCCGGCCCCGTGTCCCCACCGTGTCACCATCACGCTGATGCCCTGGCCTGACGCTGGCCCAGGCGTTGTGGTGTGGGGCGTGTGGCGACGGCCCCTCAAGTCTCTCACGTTTGCCCCTCACTCCCCCGTGTCTTTGGGGAGCTTCGGGGGTGTGGTGGGGGGTGTGGGAGGCACATCAGTGACCTGCACAGGGCTGGGGGCTCTCTCCCGGGCAGGTGGGGTGCTGTGTGGGGTCCCTCCCCAGGGTGCTGAGGCCGCGCGTCCCCGGAGGCGTCGCTGGACCCCGCGCCCGGCAGGGGCCGCCCTGCTGGGTTTTGAAGTGGGGACGAGCTGCAGGCGTGTTCCGGCCGGGCGGAGCGGCACGTGGAGAGCGACTCGGCGGTCACCGTGTCCTCCGAGGGGGCTGGGCCGCTCCCTCTCCACCTGAAGTAGGGCCCTGAGTGAGCCGGTGGAGGGTGCCAGACGCCCGCCTCGGGGCTGGGTGCGTCCCCGGGTGCGCTGCCGGGCCGGGCTTCAGCAGCAGAGCGGCTGGTCAGGAGACAGCTTCTCGGGGCCTGTCCCGGCTGCCGCGGGCTGGAAACGCCAATCCCCAGCGGGGCGTCTTTCCGCAGAGCTTCCAGTCCTGGGCGGCGTGGCCAGAGGGGCCCAGTCCGCCCAGGGCAGAGCCCGCGGGGTGCGGGGCGCAGGGGATGGCGCCAGGCTGTGCTAATATTTGCTAAGCCCTTGAGTGAGGCTCCTTCCGAAAGGAAACTGCTCTGGGGTTTGCTGACGGGCAACAGGTGAGCCCCTTCCCACCCACTTCCCTCCTCTGCAAGCTCCCCAGGCTCCCCGGGGCACCCCAGTCCCAGCTCCCTGCCCGAGGGTGACCGCCCTGCCCACTGCATGCCCCCAAGGCCTGTGGTGTGTGCGGGGCATGGCAGCCTGAGTTTTGGGGGTGGCAGGGATGCCGGCCACGCATGCAGGTGGCCCCACGACCGAGAACCCGGCCAGCCGGCACATGTGTCCCTTGGGAGCAAGCCCTGGGGCCGCAGGCCGGGCGGGGTGGTGGGTCCTCGAGGCCAGGGAAGGGTCCCAGAGCTGGCAGAGGCAGCCGGAGCCACTCCAGAGTGGACCCCCTTTCCCCACCTCAGGGAGGGCCTGGAAACTCGGCGAGGCTCTGGACACGCCCAGCGAAGCCTCGGCCCAGCACCCGCTTCCACGGTCGCCCCAGCACGGCGTGGTCCCCAGGGAGCATCAGAGCCCACAGAGCCGCACTCCTGGACGCGCAGTGTCCCGGGCCCGAGTCTGAGGAGAGCCTCCCTCTGGCACCGTGTTCTCACTTAGAGGCTTCAGGTTTGGGGTAACGTCAGGGCTGCCTCGTTGGAACCTCCCTGCGCTTAGTCCCCAGTGTAGGAAGGTCCAGCGAGGCCTGCCCGCTCGGCCGCAGCCGGAGACCGGTGGGGGCCAGGGCAGCGTGTGGGGACCCTGCCGGGGGCCTTCACCTCGGCTGAGCTGGCCCAGGCCCAGTTCCCGCGAGACCGCTGGCTCTGCCCGGCATGTTCCCGAGCCGGTCAGCCAGTCATCCTGCCCTGGGTCTGCGCCCCCGGGCCGCCCCTCCCGGCCCTGCCCTTGCAGTCCGGTGACTCCTCGGCCTGCAGGGACTCTGCAGCCTCCCTGCCCTGGGGCACAGGGCTGAAGCGGCAGCGATGCCAGCTTGGCCGGGCCGGGGACGTGGCCAGCGGCCTTGCAAACAAGCATAGCCCCATGGAGCTGGGGCCGTCAGGGCGCCCACGAGGGGCGGAGTGGCACGGGCAGGGCTGCTGGGTTCTGGGAGGTGCCCCCTTCTCTGCTCACGCCCCGCCCTTCCCCGCAGCCAGACAGGAGCAAGGCCAGCGAGGCTGTCAGGGCCGCAGCACCCAGTGCCGGCGCGTTGAGGCGTGGTGGCACCTGCCTTCCTGGCTCACCACATGACCAGGCCAGTAACCCGCGCTGCCGAGAGGTCCCGGAAGCAGCAGCGAGTTGGGGGATCTGGTGCCAGCACACTGATGGGGATGTGCCCCCGCACCCCACCTTGCCGCCACCCCAGGCGCCTGCTCCCTGGCCAGGGAGGCCTCCAGGCTCTCTGCTCGCTCTTTCTGCATCGTTGGGAGTTTAAACTTAACTCAGCCCAGAGTGGGGTGGGGTCTCGTCTCTCGTGGCCGCCACCCCCAAAACCCCCAGAATCCACTTGGGGGGTCACGGGCCCTGGGGCACCCAGACACGTGGCCGATGTGCCCTGGGCGTGGCGAGGTGTCCCTGCGCCCCACGGTGCCCGGATGGGCCTTGTCTCACCCGCTGAAGCCCCGCGGGAAATGTGGCTGCGGCCCCGCTGACTGAGCGACCTCACGGCCCCGGCCCCGCACTGGGCCCCCCGCCCCTCACCCACGAGCCCGCCCTGGCAACCCTCCTCTGTGGGGCTGCCCCTGGGGCTGCTGGCACGCCCCAACCATCCTCTCCACGTGTCTGGGACGGGCGGCGCCCGGGAGGGGCAGGGCGGCATGAGTTGCCCCTGCCTCCGCCCCGCAGACCGGGCTCCGGGGCCGTGAGGACCGCCCGGAGCAGGTGCTGAGCGGGCCCGTCCAGTGCCCGTCCCCTGCCCGTCTAGCGCCGCGGGGAGCCGCCCAGTCTCGCCTCCATTCGCCCGCCTGCCCGGCCCCAGGCGTCCAGTCCTGCTGCCTCAGCGTGCCCTGCCGTGGGGCGGGGCCGGGGCGCGGTGGGGGCCGAGTCACGAGCTCTGGCCTGAGGTCTGGACTGGGGTCCCCTGCACCTGGAGAGCGGCCTGCACCTCTCCCTCGCTGAGCCTGGGGACCTGGAGGCCGGGCCCAGGGTGTGGGTGGCCAGGCCAGGCCCTGTCCAGCAGCCTCGCAGTGCAGACTCTTGCTGCGCAGTGGGCTCTCCCAGGCTCTGGCTGCCCCCCAGAAGGCCAGGCTCCCCCAGCAGGGCGCCTGCCCCCTCGCTGGGCCAGTGAACCCCAGCACCGTTGCTGGGCTGGGGCAGGCGGAAGCTGCCAGTAGGTGGACAATGCAGAGGAGGGCCAGTGTGGGCAAGTCTCGCCGTCCCTGGGCCCTCCTCTGCACTGTGGCTGGGCCTGGCCAGCAGGCGGCCTGGGGCGGCTCTCTGCCCGCCATCCCGGCCCTGCAGCCTCGTCATCCTGTCGTGCCTGGGGGGGGCGGCCCGTCTCTGCAGGAGGCGGCTCCTCACCCGGCCCGCAGGCTGCGAGGTTGCTCCGGCAGCTGCATCGCTTGGGGCTGCCCTCCTCGGCCGCCCACCGCCTTGAAACCAAAACCCGTGCCTGGGCAGCCTCTGGGTCCCCGCACCGCGCGGCACGCTTCCCTGCCCGCACCCGGTGGGCCGCGCCCGTGCGCAGGGTGGCGTGTGCAGGGACACGGGACTAGCCCCCGCCCCCAGACTCCAGGGGACGGCGGGCCCAGGCTGTCCACTGGGCGTCCGG